TACTTGGAAGTGAAAAAATCAGAAGTTAGAAATAGTGTTTCAGCTGCCTCTTCCAGGTCTCTTGACTTTCCCAGAGCCTGCCTTTCCGAGACAGTCATGGCCAAACACACATCAATGCAGTCTTCTGTGCCAGGGGATTTTCATGGTTGCCTTGGTTTATAGAATGACCTTACTGAGTTTAAATCACATTAACTATCACGAGTATCTGTGAGATGCAGGCAGAGCACTGATGAGGTGTGACCGTGGCTTTCTTTTTCACCTCTCACTCTGTCTTTTGGTGGTTTCATTCATGACCTTGGCTTCCCTCCACTCTGAAGCCCCCGAGGCCTCTCCTTCTGGCCCCCACATCTTTCCTAAGCCTGTGCTTGGATTCCAGCCACATCCCTCCACCTGGAATGGGGTCCCCAAACTCAGGGGCAGATGGAATGGGTCACTTTCCCCAAAGCCTACTCCATGTCACCTCTTCCCGGTCTCCAGCTCCTGCTGCTCATCCAATTAAGAATGTGTGGCCCTTCTCTTTTTCTCAGCTCTGCCATGTGGCTCTGCTCCTCCTGGCAGTTGAATCCAGTAACTTGAAACTCTGGAAAATCCCTTCCTCTTCTCCAAATTTTCCACCATCCAGTTATAGTGCTCATCATGTGCCGGGCACTGTCCTGGGTGCCTCACATATGCAAACTCATTTTTTCCTCACAACCACCCCACAAGGGACATGCTATTATTATCCCCGTTTTACAGATAAGGAAACTGAGACTGAAATGATAACACTCATCAGAGTGTAGTTAGCTAGATTTTCTATGGTTCTTTCTGCCTTCAAAACCCAACTCAGCAGCTTCTTCTAGGAAATCTCCCCAGCATTCCTATTATTGTCCCAATAATTTCAGAATTTTAGTCTGTCCTCCTCCACGTAAAATACTGCCAGATAAAACATCATGAGGCATAGTTATGCTAAATAATTACTCTTTGTTTATTGAAATTCCGGTTTAACTGGACATCCTTTTTATTTGCTAGTTCTGACAATAGTACTCCCACAAAACCATAATCAACTTGACAGTAGGCCTTATTCATCTCCATGCCCCACCCACCCGCAGGGGCCAGTGCCGAGCCTACCCCAGGTGGGTGCCTGTTCAGTTCACTGTATTGAAATCAGGTCTAAGCACAGGGTGACTGTCAGTCACATTAGCTTTTACCATCCTTTGCGTGGGGAGCCAACTGTCCCCATGTCCTCCCAATGCATGACACAGCTATGTGCCCAAGAAGGAAATTCAGCCCCTCCCTGCCCCTGCTCTTCTCACGTATAAAAGGAGAATCCAGTTCAATACCCACCATCCCCTCCCTCATCTGGGTTCCTTGTGAGGATTGACTGCCACAAGGAAGCCCACCGGTGCTTTGTAACTGCAACATGCTGCAAGGTGGGGGTAACAGGCCTCTGGCCTTGTCTAAATAATAGGACTACACGACATGATGTCATGGGAACACTTGCTTATTTCCATCTCTGGAAATATCAAGCAAAATAGTCTTCAATCACTTTAGTGGCATCTTAGGAGGGAGTAGAGATAAGCACACACAGTGAGTCTGTTATCTTAAGCTGGAAATCATTTACCATAATTCCACAAAAATTAAATCAGGCATATCTGTGGTTGGCTTAAATAAGTTCATGTGAAAGATGAAGTGTTAGTATTTTTACAGCCTCTGCCACACAGGCATACTTTTATAGGAGATGACCAGGTGATGAGGACTCTGAAGCTGTGATAGTGGAGACAGAGGTCCTGAGGATGCGGAAAATGGGGAAGAGAATAAGGGATGGAGTAGACAGACATGGTTTTCAGAGATCTTCAAAACCAGCACAAGAGAGAGGGTTCGCTGCAGCACTAGCTTACGCCCTGCGATGTCGGGTACATTCCCTTTCCCTCCACAAGCCTCCGCTTCCCTCACTGGATTTCGTCAGGCTTTTAGGATTACTATTAATCAAAGGTTCTTGGGTTACAAGTGAAAGCAATGATGCTAATTAAGCAAGTGAAGTTGAAGCTGCAGGTATGCATGAAGACCCAGGGAGCTAGAAACTTCAGCAACTGAAGACTGTGGGTCCCGCTGAAAGAATGTGCATTCAGGAAAGCAATTCACGCAAATGCATCTACTGGCATCGTCACCTACAAGCCTGAGTCTGTGGCTATTCTTTACAGGGAAGAGCCCAAGTCCCTGAGTGACATCAAGACCCTGCCAGCCCCACAAGCACTCAGGCCAGTCTAGAAACCCAATTCTGGACCTTGAGAACAGACTAGGTGGCAAGGTATCAGGGGCTAAAGACCATAACTGGTTCTTTTCAAAGTCTGCACCTTAGCGCACGGCCCAGGATGCAGGCAGCCCCACAGGGTGTCCCACATCAGGATTCCTTGGGAATCCTAAAGCAAGAGGGGGTTCAGGTACATTTGACAGCCCATTTCAATGTCTGAAGCCATAGATAACTTGGTCATGGGCCCCATCATGAGGTGCGGGAAGAGGCAGCAACCTCCCTCATCCAGTTGAAACCTCATGACAGTTGAGAGCTTCTCCCTCAGCTCCAAAGTCACTAAGTGACCATCATGGCCAGCACTTCTCCATGGACGACTTTCCACCTCCAGGAACACGCCTCATCTCCACTGAACTTCTGCTAGCCATGCGTTATCTTGTTAGGGGCAAAGGATGTCCTGAGCTAATTCCACGCAGGGCTTTGTGGACTCCACCCCCACTCTAGACCAAAGCCATCAAGACATTGGGAAAGACAAATCCCGTCACCACCAAAGGGAAGGTGACTGGGACCTGAGGGTGGAGTTAAGCAGCCAGGTTGGGTATAAAAACCAGACACGTGGGCCTTGGGGGTCTCTCTCTCTGCTCTCCTGGCTTCACGGCTCTTGGCTCACCGCCAGCTCTCAGAGTGCCATTTGGGATTCCAGATCAGCGGATCAGGTAGGATGCATTTAAGACTTTATATCCCACTTTTCTCCCTGAGTTGTACATTTCCTCATTTTCCCTTCCCTTGTCAATAAACCTTTTATTAACCTTTTGTGTGTGCCTGCAGTGGAGTATTAATAAGTCCTTTTCAAGTGTGTGGGTGAGGACCCACAGTCAGGCACCCCATTTTGTATCAGGGCTGCCCTGTAACAATCCGAGGGAAGAATCGTGTACTGGTCCTTTCTCAATCTCCAGTTCTGGGCCTGGGCCAGAGTAGATGCTTGACTTGTAATAGTTGCTAACCATTAAGAACCATTGCTATGGCCTAAATGTTTGCCCTCCTCACACATACACACTCACTCCCCCCAATTCGTATGCTGAAAACCTAATGTCCAAAGTAATTGGAGTAGGTGGATCCCTTGGGAGGTGACTAGGCCACAAGGGCATGAATAATCCTCATGAATAGGATTATAATCCTCATGAATAGGCTTATAAAACAGATCCCATAAAGAGCCCTCACCCCTCCCACCATGTGAAACACAGCAAGATGCTGGCGGTCTGCAACCTCAAAAGGGGTCTTCGCCAGAACCAGGCCATGCTGGCACAATGACCTTGGATTTCCAGCCACTAGAGCCATAATAAGTTTGTTTTTATAGCCCCCCGGCCTGTGGTATTTTGTTATATCTGCCCAAACTACGGCAACCATGTTTGCCTCAGTCAGGAGACATGGACTTAAACCACTGATGTTGATGAGAACGAGAGACCCTCCTCCTCTCTCTGGTTTCCCCATTGCTACAGGAAAGAGAACCACAAGATTCCCAAAGGGCCTTCTTGTTCCTGATGTCCTCTGGATTCAGTGGGTTCATGCGGGGAGCCATGCTACTCATGTCGTCTGACAAGGTTCCGGGCATGGGGCAGATTCCTGAAAAGTCAGGAATCTCGTTAGCTGACTCCTGCTAGAGTCTTCTCATTTGTTTTTGGCTAGTTTCTATATGGAAATTGTCAAAATACACATTTAAAGGTAAAACTGCAAATGCTGTTTGATCAACTACTGAATAACCAATTTGAGGGCACATGGCACTGCGTGATTCATTGACAACATTGGTTAGTTAGCGTACAAATTCTTGACACAGGAAAAGGGGAAGGATGCAGATCTTCGAGAATGGCCCAGGAGAACCACCAGGCCAGCAGGCTGCCAGGCCTTGTTTAGATATGCTTATTTAGGAAGCAAACTCGTCTTTTACTTACATTTCCATGTCTATGGCTCTTTAACAGGGAAAGATTTCTTTTCCTTGACAGTTCCCTTTCATTAAGTTACCTTTTCCTTAACAGTTCCCTTTCTGTACTCTCACGGTTTGCTTGTAATGTATAAATAAAGGGCTGCTGAGACTCTCAGCAGGACGATGTCTGCAACCTGATCAAGTGTTTGCATCTCCTCATTCCCCCTCCCCATCACCCCACAACTGCACCAACGCCGTCCCATCCTTCAGGAACCCCTGACACCCAGGCCGCTGCAGCTGGCTCACGGAAGGTTCAAGCCTCTGTTTTGTGACAGCAAAAATAGCTGCAGTTTGGCTGGGGTCAAAGAGGGGCACTGATGGGTAGACACGGCTCCTCACACTCTGGAGATGCACAGCTGAGGGCTGCACCTTAGAAGGGGGCGGCAATGAGAGAAAATTAGTGAGGGAGCCTGGGATGATCAAGCAAGAATAAGGTTTAGGCAGGTGACTGTCAGGAATGGAAACCAGACGCCTGGCTGTGAGTCTCCCACCCACCACTTAACCCTTAAGTCTGAGCCCTTGTTTCCGCCTTGGTGACTGGTGAGCAAGCAATGTGCCTGTTGTGTCGGATTTTGGAGCTGGAAGAGCTGATGAAGCAGGAAGCCACACTCTGGGCTCTGACATGTCATGTCCTAAGGGGGACAGTGGAGAAGAGGTCCATGAACTCAATCCACCTGCTACCCCAACCCTCACCTGCTACTCCTGACCCAACAGACCAAAAGGTGCTGATACATCTAGTTCCAAGCCCCCACCACCTTCTGCTATCAGATTAGAATCCAGACTAGACAAGAGCCATCACAGGTTAAAGCTTTATGGAAAATTCTGTAAATGTGTATAGTGGCCTGTGGTGACCTGCCCACAAGGCCTTGCTCTCAAGGCCCCTCAGCACTTGCTGTAGATGGCTGCGCTGCCCCGCTCCTCAAATTCTTCCTTGCTGACCCAGAGCTGCTGGAAGGCTTGCAGGGAGGCCAGGATGGAGCCACCGGTCCACACGGAGGTCTTCCTCTCAGGGGCGGCGGACACTGCAAGGTTGTCCCGAGGGCAGAGAAGGCTCAGCTCCCTCTGGAAGCGCTGGGGGAAGCCATCCAGCATGGTGCAGCCGCCACACAGCAGCACGTTGGTGGCCATCTCCTCCCGGAAGCCCGCCTCCTCGCAGCGGTCCAGGCAGGCGGCTGTGAGTGCAGGGAGGCCAGGCTCGCTGCTGCCCACCAGGACTGGTTTGAAGAGCATCTCGGCGCACTGGAAGCGCTCTTGGCCGATGGTGATGAGTTTGCCATCCGGGAGCTTGTAGTCCACACGCAGGTCCTCCAAGCACAGGCCGATCTCCTCCTCGGGCATGAGAGCTGAGTAGCAGCACTTCTTCTTGATGTGCTCGATGATGTGCAGGTGGTCGTCCGTGAACCTGTGGCCGGCCTCGTTGAGCAGCTGCAGCAGGTAGTTGGTGAGGTCACCCCCCGCATAGTCAGCGCGGCTGGTCAGGCCAGGCAGCACGTCGCCCTCCGAGATGGGCACCACGTGGGACACGCCGTGCCCACTCTCCACCACCAGCCCCGAGGTCTTGCCGTAGGAGTAGATGGACAGCAGAGACTGGGATGTCACGTGCATGGCAGGGATTCCAAAGGTCTCAAACATGAGCTCTGCATACTTCTCCCGGTTGCTGCTGGGGCTGAGCGGGGGGTCGGAGACCAGCACCGCGTGCTCCTCGGGAAGGATCTTCATGGCCGTGTGGAAGATGTACTCCCAGATGCTCTGGACACAGTCCCAGTCCACCACAGCACCGTATTTCAGCGGGTTCATCAGCTTCAGGGGCGCCTCCATGTGAAGCAGCTCGTGGCCCACAAAGGTCTCCTTGCGAGTATCACCGGAGTCGGCAGCCTCAGCGGAGCGCTTGCCCACTGTGGAGGAGATGAAGTAGGTGGGCCTCGGCTCCCCCGCATAGCCACACTTACAGTACTGGGAGCCCAGGTCAATGATGAGTGCCTTGATCTTGCGCACCTTCTTGGGCTTCACCTTTAACTGAGTGGCCAAACCTGCATCCCGGATGCCAGCATCAGAGCCTGGCAATGTTCCTGTCTCTCCAGGGTCACCCTGGGCCGTGCCCATGGGCATAGGGCTAAGGTTGCTCCTTGTTGCCATCAGCCTTCCTTGCTCTCCTGTCTCACACTCACCTCCTAGAGCTCCATGGGGGAAAGTAAGAGCGCCCAGCTCCAGCGGTGCCTAGCAACCCCTCAGAATTGTGAGGTCACGGGGGCTGGTCCATTCAGGAAGCACGGGGGAGGGCTTCACTGTGGCAAGCTCTTGATCAGTCACTCCCACCCCTTCTGCCTAACTCAACCAGGCTCCAGGCCAGAGCAGGTGGCCAGCAGTTTTAGAAATCCAAATACACTGAGGTCTCTGCTCCCTGTTCTTCTATCCCAGCTCTCAGTCCCTTATCCACTGATAGAACACTTTTCCCCCTCTGCTTCTTGGCTAAGAGTATGATAGATTATTTGAGCCTTTACAGTAAGCCAGGCACTGTATCAGGCAGTTCACATCTATTAGTTCATATAGAGTCCTGCGAGGTAGGACAAACTGAGGAAATCAAGGCACAGAATCGAGATGATTTGCTCAAGAGCAGACAGTTCTTGGAGAGGCCCAAGGTATTTTGAGCAACACAGGGATCTAACCAGAGACCCCAGGGAGACCACATGTACTTTAAAGGGCTGGTGTGGGGGCTGCATGAGCCAGGCAGTGGAGGTTTTGGGTGAGGGTACCAACAGTCTCTATTTTCTTCCATCATTAAAAGGAGAGACACAAAAGGTGACATGGAGGCTGAGGAAAGAGGGTTTCAATTAGGAGAGATATCAAGTATGTAAAATCCTGAAAGGTGAGGTGAAAGTAAAGGATTCACTGGCTTTAGCCCAAAGGATATGGAGGGAGACACCAGAGTCCCTGCGCCCTTCGCCTTATAGTCTAGTGGGAATTGTTGGGTTTAAGCCGACACAGCACCTTCTCCATCCACAATGACAGAAAAGGCTAAGGGGTGGGTGAATTATGGTCCCCAAAGATATCCACACTTCAATCCCTGGAACCTGTGAATGTTACATCTTGCAGCAAAAGGTGTTTCACAGGGCCTCCCCGGTGGCGCAGCGGTTGAGCGCTGGGTTACGAAGCTGCCCGCGGCCTCTGCGGCGCCGGTTCGATCCCCGGCTGCTCCCTGGCCACCTGAGGAGGGTCCCACATGGCGCGCAGACCTCTCCTGCCGCCCGCTGCTCCCCTCAGCAGTGTACTTCGGTCCTTCTGCCTGCTCTGCTCCCCGCTCTGGCTCTGGTGAATCCTCTCACCCTCCCGCGCTTCTGACTGTACCCAGTGCATGTGTAAACAGAACAAACAAACAAAACAAATAAATAAAGAAATAAACATGCCTCTATAAAAAAAAAAAAATTAAAAAAAAAAAAAAAAGGTGTTTCACAGATGCCAGTGAAGGAGTTTGAGGTGGATAAATTACCCAGGGTGATCCGGGTGGGCCCAATGTAATCACAAAGGACTTCTTTAGAGGAAGACAAGACAGGTAAGGTGAGAGCTGTGACCAGGAAGGCAGAAGTCTGAGTGAGAGGTCTTTGAGGATGGAAGAAGGGGCCATAAGTCAAGGAACTCAGGCTGCCTCTAGGAGCTGGAAAGGGCAAGGAAAGAAACATACCCCCTAAGACCTCCAGAAGGAAAATGGGCCTATTAACAACTTCATGTTAGCCCACAAAAACTGACTGTCGACTTCTGACCTCCAGAATTGTAAGATATTAAATTTGCATTTAAAATCATTAAATTTGTGGCAATTTGTTACAGGAGCAGTAAGAAACTAATTTAGGTTCTTCTAAGAATCCAAGTCAGTGAAAATGTGCTAAAGCAGCTGCAGATTCCTCAGAATTCAACAGAATTGAAGAGAAAAAAAAAAATAGATGACTCTAAATTAAATTATGCCTTTGGTAATAAGCTGTTTTGAAATAAAATTCAAGCCATGTTGGCCATGCAAACCTGAGTGGCAGAGGCAAGGAAATTATTTTCCTGGCTACCAGGCACAGAGAAAAGTACTTTGCTCTTCTTTTAAAATTCAATGTCAGGCCTCCCCAGTGGCGCAGCGGTTGAGCGCTGGGTTGCGAAGCTGCCCCCAGCCTTAGCAGCACCGGTTCAATCCCCGGCTGCCAGGCAAGGGCCCCACATGGTGCGCAGACCTCTCCTGCCGCCCGCTGCTCCCCTCAGCAGTGTACTTTGGTCCTTCTGCCTGTTCTGCTCCCTGCTCTGGTTCTGGTGAATTCTCTCACCCTCCCGCGCTTCTGACTACCCAGTGCTTGTATAAATAAATAAATTTAAAAAAAAAAGCTACTTTTAAAAATAAAATAAAATTCAATGTCATCTCATCCACTACCCACTTTATCTGAGCTGAGATTTTGTGACAACTTGCTTGGCCCTGTCAGACAGTCACAGGCTCATGAGGCTGGACTTGATCCTTTTCTTCTCTCATGTCCACTAGGAACCAACAGTATCCCCAGAACCTCCTTCTAGGAGAAAGCCCATCATTGTAGTGACAGCCTCTTATGCAGAACCACTTATAAATCCAAACTGCATAGCATCAGTTTGATTCTGGGGATCCTGCAAGGGACAGATGTCAGCAACCAACATGCCCAGGTTCAGAGATGGCAACGATTTGGTGGCTGAGCAGCCTGAGATATGTTTCGGGTAAGCTGTGTCCACAGCAGACCCCTGGGAGGAAGTCACACTTGGCAGGGCTTGGTCACTGCTGGCCGGGAATCCTGGTTGAGCTGCGCACCTGAGAGCCACGAGTTCTCACCAGTGGGAGGCTGTGGAGTTTAACTTCACTGCCAATCCAATGACATTTAATTTTTTCCATAAAGGGCCAGAGTATTTTCAGCTTTGTGGGCCAGCTTAGGTTGCAATGACTCAGCTCTGGGGTTGTAGCACAAAAGCGGGCATGGACAAATGAGCAAGCCTCGCCGTGTCCCCAAAATAGGTCACAGGCTGAAGTCCGTCGACCCCTGCTAGAACTCACCAGACACAAGGCCATCTCCCGTCCTCTGCATCTGCTGCTGCCCAATACACATGGGGCTGCCTCCCCTCCTGCAGCTCTTCACTTGTTCACTGTCTCAGGGTGCCCTGCCTGGCAGTCACTCTCGCCACTCTTTGCTTTGGTTTTCTTTTCTGCCCTTAGCATCTTCTAGCATTGGTGTATTCTGGTTATTCTGTCTTTCCCCAAGCCCCACTGACTAGAATGTGAACTCTACAACTCTATAAGAGAGTTGTCCTTTTTTTTTTCTCTCACTGTTCCCTTGTATTCCCAGCTGCCTCACACATAGTAAGCTCTCAATATTGATTAGGTAAATCTGGTTTGTTGCAAAATTTAGGGAAAAAGTCACTTCCAAACTGGACCCCAAATCTACCCTAACATGGAACAAAGATGACCAGTATCTTGAAAGCCTTGGGCTAGTGGATGATGTCATAATCAGCAATGTCATTGTCAGAGAAATTCTCAAGCTGCCCTCTGACTTAAGCCTTTCAGGCCTTGAGGCCAGTGGGATTGAGAAACTTTCTGAGAGCAAGATGGCACTTGATAGCATGTGGGCACCACAGGCAGCAGTCTTCGGGGATGGCCCTGCCAAGAGAGTGAGTGAACAGACCGCCTCCCAGACACAGGTCCTCCAGACCGCCTCCTTAAAGGATGGCCCGGCCAAGCGGGCAGTGCGGGTCAGCCGTAGCAATTCAGGGCCGCCAGAAGTGGGCAAGGCAACAGAGGCCAGGGAGAGGTCCAAGTTAGAGGTGACCAAGGCAGTGGTCGTGGACCTTGGCACTGGCTACTGTAAATGTGGCTTTGCTGGGCTCCCAAGACCCACCCACATGATCTCAACGACAGTGGGCAAGCCTTTCATGGAGACAGCCAAAACCGGGGACAACCGCAAGGAGACATACGTGGGGCAGGAGCTCATCAATCCAGGCATTCGCCTCAAGCTCATCAACCCTCTGCGACACGGCATCATTGTGGACTGGGACACAGTGCAGGATATCTGGGAGTATCTCTTCCATAAGGAAATGAAGATCAATCCGGAGGATCATGCCGTCTTGGTTTCAGACCCGCCCCTGAGCCCACACACCAACAGAGAGAAATACGCCGAAATGCTGTTCGAGACCTTCAACACCCCAGCCATGCACATTGCCTACCAGTCCCGCCTGTCCATGTACTCCTATGGGAAGACCTCCGGCCTGGTGGTGGAGGTTGGCCACGGCGTGTCCTACGTGGTTCCCATCTACGAGGGTTATCCTCTGCCCAGCATCACCGGGCGGCTGGACTATGCAGGCTCTGACCTGACAGCTTACTTGATGAGTCTGATGAACAATTTGGGGAAACACTTCACGGAGGACCAGACTGGCATTGTGGAGGACATCAAGAGGAAATGCTGCTTTGTGGCCCTTGACCCCATTGAAGAGAAGAAAGTCCCACCTGCTGAGCATACGATGCAGTATAAGCTGCCAGATGGGCAGGAGATCTACCTGTGCGAGGAAAGGTTCCTCTGCGCAGAGATGTTCTTCAAGCCCTCTCTGATCAAGTCCATGCAGCTGGGCCTCCACACCCAGACGGTGTCCTGTCTTAACAAGTGCGACATCGCCCTCAAGCGGGACCTCATGGGAAACATCCTGCTCTGTGGGGGGAGCACGATGCTCAGTGGTTTCCCCAACCGTCTGCAGAAGGAGCTCAGCAACATGTGTCCCAATGACACCCCCCACATAAACGTGTTGCCCGAAAGAGACACTGCAGTGTGGACGGGGGGCTCCATCCTGGCATCGCTTCAGGGCTTCCAACCACTGTGGGTCCATCGCTATGAGTACGAAGAACATGGGCCTTTCTTCCTCTACAGGAGGTGCTTCTGAACTCTGGCCAAGCATGGCTGCCGTGTTGCTGTGCGCCAATTTGTCGGGTGAGCACAGGTCCCACACAGGGGGAGCTGAGCCAGCATATTCATGCTATAGTATTAAACAAGCTTCATGTTCCCTTCCACAGTGCATTTATTTCCTGACTTAATGAGAACACTTTCCTACATGCAGCATCTGTCTTAAAATATATACTCACCAAACAGGGGTGGGGAGCTGGAGACAAGGGACAAAGAAGACATATTACAAGTTGACAGTTTAAACTTTCTTGGGAGACATTAGCCCCAAAATAATTCTGCCACTTATTTTGTGTAGTCCCCACTTCAAGAATGAAGTTAAAATGCTGTTAAAATCTTTTTGAAAGAGAGAGTGTGTTGAGATTGTAGAGAAAATGCTGTTGGGCGGGTAAGACAAATAACCACAGGAAACACAGTGATGGTCAACCTCCTACAGCAGCAGGGTCCAATTCATTCTTCAGCAACCCTGAAAGCCTGGAAGGGGCTGGCAAAGATACCTTAGCCCTGTTTTAACTATTCTTTTAGTTCCCACTCTTACGTCTCCAAGCCAGTTCTTCTCAAGCCATCATGATGACTGTGCTGAAAGTGGGCAAGGTTTATATACATGTCTTAAGGGAGCAGCTCTCGAGAGAATGCACATTATCCACATTTTCCCTGTTTAAAAACTGAGGCCAGGTTTATCTTGATTATCAGCACTGAGGTCAGAAGGATGTGAGCCACCGTCATTCTCAAGACACTCCAAGCAGCAGCTATTCATCCACCAGGATGGATTTTCCATCAACCGGTAGGATACATAGCTAGAGTTTAGGATAGGCTCAGAATGGAGACTGCCAGTACTGGGGTGGTGTGAGTTTGGAGGAGGCTTCCCAATATGGGTCATTACCCAACGGAGTAGCCTGAAGGAACATACAAACTCTCGTGACTATGGAAGCCCTTGCAAGGCCCAGCATGTTCTAAGGTATTTCCATGAGGCCAGTTTGTAAATGGAGCACAGGCTTTTTTAACAACAGTCCCCAAGACCCCTTGTGCCTGTTTCTAAGACTCAGCATCTGAACAACACAGGCAGACCGCATGAAACAGTGGAACCAACACTGGTTTGAAATCCTATTTTGCTTCCACCTAATCTAGCTGTGTGACCTGAGTCTGCTTACCTATAAAACTGAATTCACAGTCTACCTCACACAGCTGATCTAAAAAGCAGAGGCAAACACCTAAATATCAGTATCTGGCATGCAGAAGGAAATCACAAGAGCTATCTAAAATTCATTTGCAGCTGTGTACCCCTTAGAACTCCAAAATATCACTACCTCCCTTAGCCAAAGGCACACATTCAAGCATTTAAAGGAGAGATGCCATCTACCATCCCCAGGGAGAAGCCCTACAGAGTCACAGCGTGAAGTTTGCCTGCCCAGCCTTAAAAGGCCTAAATGCCTGACCCTGGATCTAGGCCTGGTGAGTAAATACAGGTGGTGGCAAGCTGGGGTAGGGAAGCAAATACAGTCACTGGATGGCATCTGGAGACCCCACAGTTCCGCAAGGATGACTAAGCCTTACCCTGCAGTATTACGGATCAGGTAGGAATTGGGACATTGTACACCTTAGTTTCTGCCCAACTGCTCTACTGCCAACTCTACTGTGTTGTCAATAGAACACTCACTACTAGGCAACTTGAAGTCTGGTTAGTTCTTTACCCTCAGGACCTCTCTGTCAGGCTGGTAAAGGCTAAGGACTCAGATCATTGCATAAAATAAGGATTACAGAGGACATCAGTCATACATAAATAATATACTATCTTTGGATCTGTTGAAGACCAAGGAACCCAAGTCAAGAATCCCCCCAAAATGTGAGCCACTTCATGAAGAGGTGTGGGAAGTGGTTCTGGAAGACGGGACTCACAGGTTATCTTAGGCCTGAATGTTGCACTTTATTTTTAAAGAAAAATGCCAATGTAAGGCTGAACAACTGTATATTCTTTTTTGAAACACTTAGAAATTCTCTCACCTGATCCTTAGCATTCAGTCACCTTTGTAGAAAAGGAGAATCCTCACAAAAAAAGATGAAAAGTTTTAGCAAGTATTTAGAAGTCATCTTAGCCCAGTGACCCCAAGGGGATATTTGGCAATATCTAAAGATGTTTTTGGTTGTTACTACTTGAAGTAAGTAGTATTAGAATCTAGTTGGTTGAGGACAGGAATGTTCTTGAACATCTTAACAATGCACAGGACACCCTACAACAAAGAAGGATAAGGTCCAAAATATCAAAAGTGCCAAGGCTGAGAAACCCAACTCAGGCCAATGAGTACAGAGGATTGATAGAAAGCAAGATTAAGTAAGATTGTGACTTTGTCCAAGGACACTGAGAGAGATGAACTGATGGCCCCGCTCTTTGTGGTCTACCAGGAGGGCATCTGTCAGTCTTGAGGAATCCAGAGTAGGCCCCCAGTGTCGCTTATCAGCTCTGGATTGACTACAGCATTTTAGGTGTTCATAGTTAAATAGCTTCTAAGATGTTCAACCTCACCCCAGCCACTAGTAAATATGACAGATAAGGAAGGACAAACAAAGACTTCCAAGGGCCTGTCCATGTGGTGTTTTAAGTGAAGCATGAAGGTTTATGGGCCAGCTAATTTTGCATCCTAAACTTGCAGTCAACTTAAATTATTAAGAGTTACATTTTTATTTTGAAAAATGACCCCTTTAAGTATGGCTATGAAACTCCTTTAAATGTACACACACATTTAAGGGACTTTCATAAATATATGGGAAAAATTTTTATTATAAAATATATAGAGAGCAGTGCTTAAAATTATATCAAGCTATACTCATATACATAATAAAAACATCAGCTCCTATCTATCTCCATTTTTAAAAAGTCTAAATTTAAAATGCTGTAGGAGACTACTTAAATTGATCATTGGAGACAGTTCTCTGTAAGTTCTCTCTTGATGTCTGAAGCATATGAGCAAAACTGATTCAATAGAAACAACAAAACAACTGAGGCCCTTAGCTTATTTCAGTACGAACTTGCTTTGGGACAGAGTTCAAATTTGGGGGAAGAATTATATATACTCTTTTCTAGAACCTGACAGAAACTTTCCTCCAAATCAAGCATTCATCACACCCAGGAGTTTTTTTTCTCCAAGCACTATAGTTTCCCCCATAAATTTTTCCTTGACTTTGTCTTCCTTTCCGAAGGTCTGCTTTCATCTGCTTCTATAAATAAATACAATTCCATCTTGCTCAGACGAGAGACACAGTAATTGATAATAATTTGTATTCACGTCAATTCTTTCTTGCTGCCTCAATACATTATTTTATGGGAACTGAAAATTCATAAAAAGTTATACTATTATCAACAGACACATTTACGTCTATTCCCACACCATCAGCATGGGTCCCTATACTGTAAATCACTGCAGACGATATATTAGAATATCACACAAGTCACCATGCCCATTTAGCCATGCCCAAAAGGAGCCACAAAACACTGTCAGCCTATCACTGGTTGGCACAACAGTAGCAAATCCATTATGACTATGAGTCAAAAAATAGATGTTTCCAGAGCAGGAAAGATCTTCTTATTCTAATATTTGGTCACAATTTTCAGACATATAGGAAAGTGAATTAGATAAGGAAAATACCTAGAACCTACAAATAATGTTTGGAGCATATTTTCCATGACAGGAAAATATGTGTTAAATTCTAATTCCAGGTCTATCAACACTTTCAGATCAAAAAGCAGCATTTCCTGCTGGTTCACATACAGTAATTAGAGTCTGATTCTGGTATTAAAAGCATGAAAGAAATTGTTAACCTTGCCCAAGAAATAGCCATGAAGCTGCTGTCAGAATAAACGGAAGTTTTTCTAGACTCAACAAAAAGAGAAAACACTCTCATTTCTTCCAAAGAAAATAAGTGAAAGACAGAGGTCAGTTAAGCACCATTAAAAAAAAAAAAATGAAATGGCCTAGACTTAGACAAAAACATTTTAGTTAAAAGAAGTAATATTTGAAGGAAAAAAAATGAATAACTGCATTCTGTATGATGCACAAAACTCACCATACCAAATGTGCATTATAGTGTTCCAGAAATTCTAATCTCTTCCAGCTCCAACGCTGCTAACTCTAGCAGAAAATTTACAGGCAGTAAAACACTAGAGCAATGGGAGACTCAATTCAGTTACAACTGGAAGCAATTATAAAATAACAGCTATCAGCATAGGAAAGCTTAGAGATTCAAAGGATTATTTTCAGCTTTTTACTGAGCTTTACTTCAAGGTGAAGAAGTAATTTAAATGATTAAATGTGACCAAATATTGGTAGCATTATAATCATATCGTTTATATATATATATATATCTCCTCCAGGATCATAACACAATTTGAAAACATTATTTTACTTTGCTTCACACTTCTGAGGTAGAAATTCTGAAACATTATTCCCAATTAACTGAGGCACAAATCAATATGTAACTTACCCAGGCCCAAATTTGAATCAGACCTGTAGCTGGGAATGAAAACCAACCTCCTGATGACCATAAATACCAAAGATAGGCTCTCAAACAGCATTTACTAAAAGAACAGCTATACAAAATGATGCTGCACTGGTTAAAACTTATTTTGCTTATAATTAAGATTATATGCAAAATAAAACAGAACTGCTCGGTGTCCACTCAAGTCTGGTGTAGAGAATAACTCTCCAAAATGTTAAGGTAGCTCATTAGCTTAAACCTCCCAGTTCTCAACAGCCAGGCCTTGAGGATTTCCGAGTGGAAGGAAACCAGTCTTCCCTGCTGGAGCACTCTGAACTTCCGTCACAGTCACTCTAGAAGGCTCAGTTTCCATTGGGTTCTTTTGTTGATCTTTGGCGGTAGAAAGAGATCAGTATCTAAAAGAAAGGAAAGGGAAATTGTGACAGAAACACACTCCTGTTGTCAGATGGAGATAGGAGCTTTGAGCTACAACTAGTGACTAGGCTTTGCTGCTCCAGGCAACCATCAGAACCAGAGTTAACGTTTCTGCTTCTCTTGCAACCTCCTAGTCAAAGCAAACATAGCCTGAGGTCCTGCCCCAGAAGGAGAATTGCATTTCACCTTGACGTTCCATTGGAGGATAGAAGAAAAAATGCCCACTGAGTAATTCAAAGTAAAATACATATTTATTAATTAAAAATTAAATTACATTAAAAAAAAGTAGAAGAATGTTCTATATTTCCAATGGGAGGGCTGGGGAGGGAAGTGACTACAAGGTTGCCTCCATTTATTAAATCTCATCAAACTGTATGCCCAAGACCAATGCATCTCACTTTATGTAAAATTTACCACAATTTAAAAAATAAAAGATATTTTACATGTTCAATATATAAAGTTAATGGAAAGTACTTTATGATCAAAAAATTCCACAAACTCATTGATGAATAGAAACATCTCTACTTAAAGAAAAAAAAGTAAGTGGAGAGGAGTTGGCAGGGGCTGGGGGGGATTTCTGTTACTAAAACTAATGTTCTGTTACCAACAATTTCCATATCCTCTTTCAGTTAGATCTGTGGAGCCTCTAAGTAGGAATCAGATAAAGGAAATAGAAGACATAAAATACATTTGTAACAATGCTCTTTCTTAGCATTATTTATGACGAATTTTCAACACTACATATGAGCCATGTAGACTTTAAAATTTATTTTTAAGAATATTTAGTGAGGAAAATGTGCAAGGTAATTTTTAATATGATTTTCATATACATAACACATGTATGTATACATAGAACTAGGAATTAACAAGTTTAAATTTTATTTGACATACTTCTCTGCACAATCCATATTTTCTCTACTAATCGTATCAGGTTTATAATTTCACACATATTTATAGCTCTCCATTCTACTCAAACAAAAAACTAAATAGACAAAAAGACTACAGCTTTAGTTACTTAATACTGATACTGAGAGGCTGAATAAATTCATTGTCAACAAAGCCTATAGTTAAATGTTAAATAGTGATTAAATTTTGAATAAGATTTTCTTTTAAAAAGAAAAACAAGTTATAAAAACATTCTTTCTTATTTTAAAAATTAGGCATAGCCATAACTGTGATTCCTAGACTTAACTAAGAATAAATACTAAGTATTTTTTTTTTAGCAACAGCATAACTAACTCAGTAGGACTCGACCTCTTTTGCATTTCCATATGCATGATTTTCACAGCATAAAGTCATTAAAAAACTACTTTGAGGTCTTTGTCAATTTTTCCAAAGATTTCCTCCTTTGATAGTCAAGTCAAGTCACTCTCACTGGATGCCCTGATTTGGTTACCAATTGTAACACGTCCAACTCAGCTACGATTCAATCCCTTCTCTGATATTTAAATCCATTTTATGAAGGCCTACATTTTTGCAAGACTTGCATTCAATCTGCATGACATTACATCGTAAAACTGAAACAATCAGAGAAAAAGCCTCATCCAAAGTCACTGATCACTCTCCTGGGGATGTAAGAGTGTGCTAACTAGTGCTCTTGTGGGGAGGGACAGTTAAGGATATTTGAATGGAACTGATTTTATGAGGAGTTCATCTGCTATTTGTTAGGTCATGAGAACGTCTCTTTTCCTGCACAATCTTAACCACAAGAATGTTGGTAATACTCAGACAATGAGGAACCTCAAAATGTTAGATCAGAAGGCTCCCTGGAAAACAGACGTGCTCTTTGATAATGGCACCTAGAATATCCCAGGGAAAGTTATGACTAGACTTGACCTGAAGGTCAGCACCAGCTCAGCAACCAGGAAAACAAGGCAGATACCACAACTGAATTGGATAGAGTACAAGCTATACAATAACCAAACTGCCTAAGGACTAAGATGAATTTTTGCCATCTTCTAAGTAAATGTATGCTTTGGGGTTGACACCCACAGTAGAAAGAAGTGGAGCCGAGGATGGATACAGTGGTGACTATCCAGAAACATGAGCTCAGCCAGAATGGAAAGTATTTAGGTGAAAGTATTTAGGTGTTTACTTCTGGCAGCAACATAAGCCACTAAACTTAATCTGAACTTCCAAAAGCAACTTCAAATGTCATCAAAACACCATTACAACATAGCATTTAAATGGGAAATTTTCAGAATGCTTACTATCACATACTAGAAAACACAAATAGCAGTAGTAAAAACTGTCAGTTTAGAAAATGTCACTAACAAAGCTAAGAAAGGTCAGTATGTTCATTGATCCATCTGAAGGGCAAAAATATTCAGGCACCAGAGTGATCTATTAAGTTTCTAGCTAACTTTCAAAACAAAAAGCCTATAGGGCTGAGACTATGTAATCTAATTGAGAGTCATCTCTCAAGAAAAAAATTAAACATTTAATATAATTGAATAGTAAATGCACATAAAATGCTAATGTTCTTTGGGCTGCTTTTTAATTATACTGTCAGTCCTAAAGATGATTCATAAAGTCCAGTTATTAAGCAAGGACTATGAAAATGACCCCAGGATGCAATGCCTAACTGTCAATAGCCAAAGTGATGATTCAGATGATCTTTAAAATGAATATATTACAGGGCCTCCCCCGGTGGCGCAGCGGTTGAGCGCTGGGCTGCGAAGCTGCCCGCAGCCTCTGCAGCGCCAGTTCGATCCCCGGCAACCGGCGAGGGTCCCACATGGGGGGACAGACCTCTCCTGCCTCGCCCGCTGCTCCCCTCAGCAGTGTATTTCGTCATCTGCCTGTTCTGTTCCCCACTCTGTCTCTGGTGAATTCTCTCACCCGTGCTTCTGACTGTACCCAGTGCTTGTATAAATAAATAAATAAATCTTTAAAAAAAAAAAATGAATATATTACAGGGCCTGCCTGATGGCGCAGTAGTTGAGCACTGGGTTGTGAGGCTGCCCGCAGCCTCTGCAGTGCTGGTTCAATCCCCGCTCGCCGGGCGAGGGTCCCACATGGCGCGCAGACCTCTCCTGCCGCTCGCTGCTCCCCTCAGCAGTGTACTTCGGTCCCTCTGCCTGTTCTGCTCTCCGCTCTGGCTCTGGTGAATTCTCTCACCCTCCCGAGCTTCTGACTGTACCCAGTGCTTATATAAATAAATAAATAAATCTTTTAAAAAAATAAATAAAATGAATATATTACATTGTTTAGACTCAAACTTCAACAGTGAAGGGCCTCTATGAATGACTATATGTCACTGTAATGACAACTGAATGTCAAGACAAATTTTTTTAATCAGATGTTTAATGTCATATTGGGATTCCCCATCCTGCAGGTCCCAACACTAGAAGCATTAAACTGATTTTACTAAAGATGTAACCTTAGAATTGAGGGCAAAGTGTGATTAATACCCAATTTCTTCCTATACTAATGACCTTGTCAACACTTTGGAGAAAGATATACCTCCTGCTTAGTACTGTAATAAGTTATAGGGAAAAAATACTAACCAAGAACAGGAACCACAGTCTTCTGGTGTTGGTATGCGGCCGTGATACTATTTGCAGTAGAAGTGGGGCCTAGAACCTGAGTAGAAAGAAGTTTGTATCAGCAAAGATCATTTTATAGTTCTGAAGATTGTAAGTACTAAAGGCCAAGTCTTAGCCAGCAGTAAATACCCTGTCATTTTTATTGGTGCAATATCAAACAAAGTTAAGTCTATTTTCCTATGTGATTTGAATTTGCCAGTTTCTCTAGTCTTAAATCTCTAAACTTCCTTTCTGTCAAAACAAACTAATGATGGGGAGGAAAAAAAGAGATAATCTTGGTGATATATGCCTAGTTCTTTCCAAATGAGCAAATTGTACCCTGAAAGAAGGGGGTTTGTATAATAGGGAATCAGAGTACACAGAGTATCAAACTATACTCATCGCCTGGTGGGTATTTTGGTATTAAACCAACTATATACATCTCATGGAGTGGGATGCAAAATGCACATGTGTTCCAGGTAAAATGAGACTTTGCAGGCATTCAACACCTGCACAAGACTCAATGGGCACAGGCCAGGCCTTCTAGGGCTCTGCATAAAGCTCCGCGGTGGCGCACTCAGAAGCAATGACGTGCTCGAAAGATCTTCCAAGTGACTCAGGGCATCATGCACACAGGCAACTGTCGTCCTTCACTAACATGATTTTCCCCTAGAAAACTCTTAAAGTTGGTGTCTTAGAAGTTAATATTGATACAATCTGAATAGAAGAGGGTGGAGGAGGGCACAGGGAGGCAGGATAAATGGTTAGCTTCAAAACCTCTACATTTTTTAAGATGATCATTTTCTTCTAGGAAATAATCTACTAAAATAAATTCAAATATTTTGGGACATTGATTCTTAAGTTCCTTGTATTTTCATGGCTTGTAAGCTACTTTAACACCTACTGTCTTATCTGACCCTCGACACATTCCAGTAAAGTTCAAGGAATAGTATTAGCCCCATTTGTGACTGAGGAAATCAAGGTCCAGTAAGTTTATGAGTTTCCAATGAGTGAGTTGACAATCAACCGCTCTCTTAGCTTCAAACCCACCCTTCCACACACTGCTGGTGTTGGAGGCTCGGAGCCTGAGAAACAGTGCCCCCTTATCAGCTGGCTCCGTAATGCTCTGCCAGCAGTGGCCACCAGAGGAGGAGTGCAAGGCTAGCGGGGAAAAGACTTTGCTCCTCATTCACTTGCTTTCACTTAACAGCAGGTCTTACCCCAACAGCAGCTATTCATTGCAGTTTCTGCTTATTTCTGCACACTTAGAATCAGTTGCTCAAATCCTCTCAAATATTAGCACCAGTAGACTGGGACCCCTTTCTCAGAGAGTCAAGAATCAACTCTGGGGCCCCCCAGTGGCGCAGCAGGTTGAACACAGCACTGTGAAGCTGTCCGCAGTCTCTGCAGTGCACCCTCAATTCCCAGCAGGCCAGGGAGATTCCCACATGGCGTGGCAGACCTCTCCTATTGTGTCTGCTGCTCCCCTCAGCAGTGCTTTCGGTCCATCTGCCTGTTCTCCCCCCACTCTGTCTCTGATGTATCCGCTCACCCTCCAGTGCCTCTGGCCCGTACCCCAGCTATTGTATAAATAAAAAATAAATCTTAAAAGAACTAGACATAAAACAAAGAGAAACCCCACTGACTGGGAGAAAATTTTTGCACCCAACACTAATGATAAAGGACAGATCACAAAAATCTACAAAGAGCTGATAAGACTCAACAACAACAAAGAAAATAATCCTCTCAAAAATGGGCAGAAGAGCTGAAAAGAAACTTCACTGAAGAGGAAATGCAAATGGTCAACAGGCATATGAAAAAATGTTCAACATCACTTGTAATCAGGGAAACGCAAATCAAAACTACCATGAGATACCATCTCACACCAGTGAGAATGGCACATATTAAAAAAACTAGCAACAACAAATGTTGGCGAGGATGTGGAGAAAAAGGAACTCTCCTGCATTGCTGGTGGGAGTGCAAACTGGTCCAACCACTATGGAGAGCTGTGTGGAGATTTCTGGACCTACTAAACATAGAGCTTCCATATGATCCAGCAATTCCACTCCTAGGTATTTACCCAAAGGACACAGAAACATCAATTCCAAAGGGCACCTGCACACCTCTGTTTATAGCAGCACTATTTACAATAGCTAAGCTTTGGAAACAACCCAAATGCCCAAAAACAGATGACTGGTTCAAGAAGATGTGGTACATATACACCATGGAATATTACTCAGCATTCAAAAAAGATAAACACATGCAGTTTGCAGCAACATGGATGGAGCTAGAAGAGATCATGCTTAGCAAAATAAGTCAGAAAAAGAAAAATACCGGATGGTCTCACTCATAGCAGGAATTTAGAAAACTTAAATAAGAGACCAGGAAAAAGACTAATCAAAGTAAAAATCAAAATCAACAAGCAACTATAAACCAGAGACATACTATGCGGAGGGGAGGGAAGGGCGGGGAGAGGAAGGACTAGAGTCAAAATAAGGGGGGAGGTGCAATTGTATGGGGAATATAGCCATAATGAAAATGCATACATTGTGCAAAGATGAAAAATGATGTAAAAATTATATAAAATAAAATCTTAAAAAAAAGTCTTAAAAAAAAAAAGAATCAACTCTGGAGTGTCCCCCCTACAAACTACTAAATTAATAGTTCCAAACTTTCTTTTGTCTCCTCAGCCTGAGCTGTACAAGGTGCCCCGAGGCTCTATCTCAATGTTCCTTCTCTGTATCTCCCTCTTGCCTGTTCAGTCCTTCAATACTTGTTTAACCAGTTTCATATATTAAATTCTCTCTGATAAAATGATAGCTGTAGTTTTTGTTTTCCTTATTGGATCCTGGCTGAAACATCAGTGTTTCTGAATCCAAACTGAAATTTTTAACAATAGACCTGCAATGTGAGAGAATGAGGAGAAGCATAAACAATAAATAGAGAATATATTAGAATTTTTAATGGGACCAAACAGCCTTAAACATAATTAGCAAAGCTCATCATAACAGCATAATAAAGTCAAATTTCCCATAAAACAAAAGGAAAAGCAATTGCCTAGATCCCTGAAATGAACAAGTTCTGAATGGGGAAGCGACAGCCCAACCCTGATCCTAGCTCCCACCTCCTCACCCCAATCTCCCTGCAGATTCAGGCGGGTTTATTTGAGTTCTTATCTTCTCCATGATAGCTCCTTCGTGTGGAAAAGAGAAATAAAAGCACTTATAACCTAGGTTGAAGTGTACTAATCGCTGCCCAAACATAAAATCTTCTACTGAAATGACCCTAAAATAATTTAGCTATGGCATATTATGTTTTAAGAGCAGAAATGCTTTTTGCTTTGGCTTTTAAAGGATTGTGTGACCATAATAATCTGTGAATGATGAAAAAATGCACATTCTGTCTTTGAGAAAACTTACAGGTGTAGCTGAACTCTGCAGGTGGTTTGGAGTCCAAATTTCTGGAAGTGACCTTTCTATTAGCTGTAAAGTATCTTCAAAGGTCTTCTGTAATTCCCTTCCTTGCTCATCAAACTCAAAGAGAAAGAGCATCTTTAAAAGTTGGCATATTTCATCTAGAGGAAAGAAATTTGAGAGTGGTAAGTTATATCTCCATTTTGATTGCTAGAATCACATCCATTTCTTCCCCAAGCAAAAAAAATTATCTAATATCACACAATAATAACCATCTCTCACATTTTCTTCTTAAAGGAAAACAAACAGGAACAGGGCCCAAGCAGGAGACAGTGTCTACACTGCAAGAATCATTGTCCATGTTGAAAAGATACCTTTCAATTTCTCAATGCCTTGTACCACTTCATTCAATGCCTCCAAAAGGGCCAAATCCTCCAGTGGACTCCCTTCTTTGAGGCTGTGCTTCTTCCGCTCTGCTTTGCGGCGATTCTTCGATGATCGCCTATTAGAAATGAGAGCGATGCTATGAAAGGGGCACTCCTAGAGCTGAACAGAATGTGCCTGAAGCACAACTCCACTTAAATAAATAATTCTACATTGCTTCTCAAGCAACAAAGTTTCTTCTAACTCCTATTTCCTTAAAAGCTTTGGCATCCACTGCACCCAGCACACGCGCAGTCAATATAAACTTCAATATAAACTTCCGACCAACTGTTATGCTGGAAAACAATGTGATGACTTATTTTATAATGATTTCTTCTAATCCTGATTTTGAATTAAAGAAGATTGAAATAGATTTCTCTATAATCTCTTTTTAGAGCATCATATTAGTCACTTAATATTTATCAGTGAATAAAATCAGTCATTACATATAACGAGTAGCCAACATCAGTGTCTGGTGGGGAACGGGCAGAGACGCAGGCTGCAAAACTGCAGCAGAGGCCATGTCACCACCAACTGTCATCTCTCGGACACACTGGCCAACTTCTACATGGTCTTGCAGAAGTCCTCCCACTCCCGCCGCACTGTCCAGTGGAAAATCCTTCAACTTGTGGGTTATTTTTTTCATATATCCAGGGCACCATCACCATGCTGCATGATACATACGCTGATATCCTGGAGTTACTATGGGAATATTTGCCACTCATGTCACTGCCACTCATGACACTGCTCGTTTCAGAGAAGAGGTCTGATTCCTGACAATGGGGAACCTCATCATCTGAAAAAGAAGAACCAGATGCGGAATGAAGACTCCCTACTAAGGTGGGTTTATGGTCAGAGGGATAAGTGGACTATAGTTAACTAGGGAATATCTAAGGATGGGTGAAACTTTTACAAAGTTGATTTCATAAGACAATATTAAATACAATTATTATTACTGTATATAGGACACCAGTATCAAGCTTCACTTTTCCTTTTTTTTTTTTTTTTAAAGCAAATGAGCCTTTGGAAATGATTTGTAAAAGACAAAATTCAGCTGTTCAGGTTGGGTGGTGGTGGGGGTAGTGGGGGGCAGATTTTCCCCCAACACACACAAACACAGACATACAGAGCCTCTAAGGAGTTTCATAGAATCCTCAGGATTCCCTATGGCACAGAAATATTGCAAGAAGCACCGTACACAGCTAAGATATAGTGGGTGTTACTGTTTGACCCCCTCACACTCCACCCCTACCTCTTACAAAACTCGACAGTCTTCAGGCAGACACTCACCCAGATTCTGCTGTGCTTGCTGCTTGAGCTCTCGAACTACTGATAAACGTTTTTTATGACGACTGAATACAGCTGTCTGAGAGTCCAGAAACACCATATAATTCTTCTGGGCTGGGGGTTCAGATGGAAAATAATTTGAGCGTGATGTTTAAACAGGGAGAAAAAACTACAGGGGATCAGGGAAGGAGTTGGAATTTAACAAAGACAAAAAGGTTACTAAGTTTTCCAAGCAAGATTATTTTTCAAATGAGAATTAACCTATATTGTTTCAGAATGAAATAACTGAAATTCCAGATCTTAAGAGTTCATCAACATCATCCAGAAATACTTCCTATCACTGAAGTTACAAAATTGCTTGAAGAGTTGGTATGTAACCCAAGAGAGGACTGGCAAAAAGTGTCTGGTGGTGCAGGCAGTTGAGCGCCGCGATGTGAAGCTGTCCGCAGCCTCTGCAGCGCGGGTTTGATCCAAGCCGGCCGGCAAGGGTCCCACAGCAGCAGCAGACCTCTCCGTCTTGCCCACTGCTCCCCTCTCCAGTGTATTTCGTCAGTCTGCCTGTTCTGTTCCCTACTCTGTCTCTGTTGAATCCTCTCACCCTCCCGCATATCTGGCCTGTACCCCAGTTCTTGTATAAATAAATAAATAAATCTTTAAAAAATAAATACAGGAAGTGCTAATAAAAATAGGAGGGTAGTCACTGAAAAGCTTCCCGACATAAATATAAGGCTTGTGTAGATGAAGCAACAGCATTTTTCTAGGTTCTCACAGAGAAAATCCAAGTAAAAGCAGGTTAGCTGAATTGTTGCAGGACCAGGAAAATTACTTTTCAGTTTCCAGTTAGGGGTACCTGAAGTGAATAATTCCAAAAGCACCCTCTCACAGTTTTAATTAGGATGGAGGAGGAAGAAACACACAGGGCAAGAATGCAAACGATAATGTTGGAAAGAACAGAATTACTTACAGAGTGGACTGTGCTAAGAGGGCAGAGCTTAAAAATCAACTTCCACTATACTCCGAAAGATTTCTGTAAGTCAAACCAACATCATTTTCCACTTTGCTTGTAAAGGGTCACAGTAACCACAAAAATATGTAGTACTGGTAACATTTGTTCTCTAAGAAATATCACCTTCATTTGCAAAAGTTCATCTTTTAATTTTCATTTTGAAAAATTTCAAACCTACATAAAAGTAGCAAAAGTATATACCCTTACCCAAGATTTACCAATTGTTAACATTTTGTTATTTTTTTTTTAAAGATTTATTTATTTGTACAAGAACCAGGGTACAGGTCAGAGGTGTGGGAGGGTAAGAGAATTCACCAGAGACAGAGTGGAGAGCAGAACAGGCAGACGGACCGAAGACACTGCAGAGAGGAGCAGTCGGCGAGGCAGGAGAGATCTGCCGCACCATGGGGTTTCTTCCTGGCTGACTGGGAATGGAACCTGTTCTGTTTTTGGCTTCCTCTGTTCTCTACACACACAATTATTTTTGTGAAAGATTTAACAGTAAGTTGTAGATGTGATCCTTCTCTCCTAAATACTTCATCATACATTTCTTAAGAATATGGCTATTACTAACATAACCACAATATAAATACTAAATGTAGGAAATTTATGAATGATACAATACTATTATTTTATGTACAGCTCATATTCAAGTACTGATCAACTATTTTCAAAGATTACAAAGATTCTTAATCATATCACAGATGTGCAACATTCAAATACTTTATGTACTATCATTTAACAGTTTAGCATGTTTGAAAAAATGCTGATCAGAATTAAATATTATACCTAGTGGAGAATTAGGGTTGACTCCACATAAAACATGATTAAAGGATATAATAAAGGGAGTGTTTGCCCACCTCCCTCTCCTCCCCATCTCTACACTTCCAAATGAAAAATGCTACCCAAAATGGAGCCCTCACCTTCTAAAACGGAAGGCTTTATATTGGTCTCTATAATATCCAGTCTATTGTACTTGTGTACCTAGAAGAAAAAATAATTATTTTAGGCAGGAAAACTTCAAGTCACTGGAGAGTCAAGACACTTGGAAAGAACTGGACCACTTTCACAGGTGACTGGGATGCTTTCCAGAGGAGCAGGCCTCCAAAATGGCAGCCAATGAAAAGCCAACTTATTTCAGTAAAATGCAGTAATATTTCACAGATAGAGGACGAGTTCCAAATATTTTCAAGAATAAAATTTTAAATGGTTGTAAAAACACTGCTAACCTCAGGCTGAGAAGCTGCATAATTTCACTAGCCTCAGAGGACAAGGCACTTCAACTCACCTTGCCACCCTGTACTCTAACTTTGCTTAGCATGTATCACAGGGGCGATTTCTGAAGTTCTCTTACCAGTCTCAGAGCTTCTTCCCAAGCAGCTCCTTCTAACAGCAAGAGCACAGCTTCTTCATAATCCTGACAGGGGAACATCAAGGAGGATAACAAGTTAATGAAGCAAGTGTGTTAGATGCCATCTAGCAAAGCAAAATACTGCCTACAGAATGACCTCTATTTACCTTTCCAGTCTATCCCTTACAGACCCAGTTCTTAGCATCATGCCTGGCCTATGTGCTCAGCAAATATCAATACCAAAAAAAAAAAGGAGGGGGAAGATTCTGGAAACAATCGCAAAATACATGTTAAGTACCATCTATATCCCTTAGCATTAAAAAACTATAAGAAGAGTCTGTTAGAAATGCCCATTTCTACAAAAAGAAATAAATTAACACATGGCACAATATGAATAACCTCAAAAATATTATATGACTTCTGATTTCCAGCCCAGCATGTGAAGAATTTGGAAGTCATCACTCCATCCTAACAAATAAGCTAAACAAACTGAGAATCAATTCTTAGATCCATCCAAATTTTCCAAATTGGAAAAACAGGCAAGCATAGAGAATTAGAATTTGCCACCATAAAAAGCCAAAAGTAGAAATCTCCAATGGAAGTAGTAATGGAGTAGGAAAAAAAAAAATCTAAAATTTAAGTAACAAATGGCTGGAGGCTCACTCTGGACAAGGCTGAGAGTTAAAACTATGTGGGCCCAGACTTAGTAAGGTTCCTACACTTTCGTAAACTTTTACCTACAGGAACTCTACCAGGTTCTCACAATAAACATCAGAGGCCATTCCATTTTTGAAATACACCCAGAGCCCTCGTTCTGAAGAAGGCCTGCTCTTAAGAAAAACTAACCAAGTCCGAACTAGGGCCTAACCAACTCCAACACCCTCTACCCTTCCTGTCCTACCTAAGGATAAAAAAGTAATAAGCAGTTCTAGAGCAACAGGTTCACTGAAAGACTTAGACCTAATCACAGGACAGTAGAATGTTTCTTGATCCTCTCACCTTAATCATAAAAACCTGTATTATGAATTTCCTTGTACCCAGTACATCATGCCAGGCCTTCAACAAAAAATTACCAGGCATAGAAACAAGACAAAAAAAAAAACAAAAACCAGTTTGAAGAGTCAAAGCAAGCATGAAAACCAGAAGCAGATAAGGAAAGGGTGTTGGAATTATGAGACTAGAAATTTAAACTAAGTATGATTAATATGCTAAAGGCTCTAAAGGAGAAAGTAGACAACATGTAGGAACAGATGGGAAATATAAGCAGATATGGAACATCTAAGAAAGAGTCAAAAAGAAATGTTAGAAATCAAAAGCATTCTGTGAGTGAAAGAAGCCAAACTAAAGAGACCACATACCAGATGGTTCTATTTATGTGAAATTCTAGAAAAAGGAAAACCATAGTGACAGAAAGCAGAGCAGTTGATAGTAGGGGCTAGAGGGAAAAGCCAGACTGAAAAAGGGAAGCAGGGAACTTCTAGGGGTGCTAAAATGTTCTATAGCATGACTGTAGTAGTGGTTATACACTCAAACATTTGTCAAAATTTAGCCAATTTTTAAAAACTGGTACATTTTATTGCATGTAAATTCCAAACCCAATTAAAGTATAAATTATAAATATATAAATGAATGAATCTTTACTCATGAAGAAAAAAAGATGGTGGCATCTCACACATTTAATTAATACCTTAGGTGATATATCTTAATGTTTTCTACTTAGTCACATACTTTCTTCCCAAGATCTAGTGATATCACATTTTAGTTCTCTTCTTTCACTCATCCTAATTACATGAAAGACACTGAAGCATTTTAAAAGTACAATTATGTTCTAAAAACAATGTAAAAAACACTGTCTCATCAATGGCCAAAACTCGAAAATACAGTAATGCCTACTCAACTGAGCATCTGTGTCTTGTCTGCAACCCGGGTCAGGGCAGTTTAATATTTTCATAACAAATCCTCTCATCCATTCAAATGTTGGGTACAGGTACTTATCTTTATGATTTGCTCAAAAACTGTGACCCATCAAGTTGCCTGAAGTAAAAGAGACATTGCCAACAGAGAGAATGGGAATACCAGCCCCAAAGTACCTCACTGTTTCAGAATGAGCTTTCTCACTGTTTCCACCTTGGCAAGCTAACATAAAAATTATACCTACCTTGGGATTTAATTTAATACCGTCTACCAAGGTCAAAGCATTAGTACCAAGGTCAAAGCATGAGCTCTTTGGCATTCTACTTCACAGAATTTCAATTATTGAGAGCTACAGTGAATTTAGATTTCCAAGTCAAGTCAGCAAGACAGAAGACCTCCAGGGCAAATACTTCTCAGGGCTTCATAATTATCCACAGTTCCTTTCATTTTCATATTCATTAAAGTGCAACTGGGGAGTCCCTGCACTGACAGAGGGGCTTTGGGAGGGAGGAACTGCATTTACCTGGGCATACTGTTCCAGAACTGTGGCTGCCTCCTGGTGCTTCCTCTGCTCAACCAGCTTTCCTGTGAAGAAAACAAGCATTGGATCACCCTTGGCTTGCTAAGAGCAGTATTACCAAAACTCAAGTTGAAATGGTTTAAATCAAAATGGGCTCCTACAAATTGGAGACTGAGCCCTAAAGAGTGTATATTCAACTCAAACTGCTTTAAAACATTATTTTCAAAAGAGCTCCCTAAAGCTGTTCCACAGAAAAATAAAAGGTAGCATGAAAAAAGCCATTTTGGGTTCAAGTTTGTGAAGCATTGGGTAAAACAAATTTAAACCTTCTTTTGCTGAAGTGCTTCATTAGCATGTCTTTATTATTTATCAGATTATATATTTTGTGAATTTCTGTAAAGGAAATAAGAATACCATGGAGACCTATATTAAATGGGAGCTACAACCGAAATTTAGCACAAAATGTGAAAATCATGTATAGTCAAAATTAGTCACGAAAAACACTTACAAAGACCTATGTGAAAACTTTTCCAGCAGCTCTCTATTCCATTTCTCTAACAGGAAGAGACTGCTGTTCTTTGTTTGAGCACTAGATGGAGGTACTGGCTTATATGTGGGGTCATGCCCTGTCTTTAAACCCTAGCATTACTCTCAGGTCGGATGGTACGGATACTCACAAAAAGACAGATACACAGAAGCCAGAGTTCACCAAGGGGCTGGCAGATCCATGTGTCCCATCTCACACTAACTCCAAGGCATGTTATCACTTCAAAACCAGGATTCTACCTTATGTACACATTCACTATTTAAATAGCTTCTCTGTGTTTTCTTTTTCTTTTCTTTCTTTGGCTTGTGGAAATTGTCCAAGTTAAAGGTGCACATGAAGTGGCTCTACATTATGTAATATTTCACAAAAAAAAATCTTTGACAATGGCCTTCCCTACTTATTTTTAATCTTTTTCTCACTATCTTTTATTAATGCTCTCTCATAATGCAAGGCACAGGCAAGCTAAGAGTATAAAGAGAAGATAACACAGACAATAAGAACAGAACTAGAGGGTATAACTACCATAAGCATAAGTTTCTCAACTTGAAGTAACAATGAAGGGAACTGAATAATTAAGTTTCAAAATAAGGAATTCTCAACACTTGTATAAGAGTTCAGCTTGGAGGGGCCTCCCTGCTGGTACAAGGGGTTAAGACACAGCACTATGAAGCTATTCACAGCCACTGCAGCATGAGTTTGATCCCTGGCCAGGGAAGTGACACACATGGCACAGCAGACCTCTCCTGTCTCGCCCACTACTCCCCTGAGCAGTCTATTTCAGTCAGTCTGCCTGTTCTGTTGCCCACTCTGTCTCTGGTGAATCCTCTCACCCCCTGCATGACTGGCCTGCACCCCAGCTCTTGTGTGCATAAATAATAAATCTTAAAAAAAAAAAAAGAGTTCAGCTTGGAAATTGGTAGGGTTCACAGAAGAGAATATAGACGTAATAACCAAGAGATATCAGAAAAAAAAAAAGTGATTTTACACATTTTTATAATCCCAAGGGGAAAAAAATGGTACAAATAACTACAGAGGATATGTATTTACATTTGGAAGTTTTTCAGGACTATATTTTTCTGGAGACCATAACAATATTCGTAAGACTCTTGAAAAGGTAGGGGGAAAATATACAACAATCACTTCCTTCAGCACAGAGACGGCCAGAGCACCCAGTCATTTCTCCCCCCACAGTCCTTAACCTCTTCCCACTCCATTCTGGTACAGCTTCATCTCATGTTCATACCATCTCTAGACCCTGAAACATCTAAATTACTTTTCAGTCTCTATGCTTTGGCATTTTCTTTCATCTCATTTCTGACAACTGGTATTAAGGTATCCAATAACCTATCATCTATACAGCAAGGGCACCACCCTTCACCTTACAGGGCATGTGGCCACCCAGCTACACTACACTAGGTATGGTCATATGATAGAAGTTTCAGTGAATGAGATGGAGTAGACGCAACAGTGTAACTTCTAGGTCATTCCTAACCTAAAGGTAAGCGTTCTCTCATGACTTTGAAAAGACAGAAAAAACCAGCATGCAAATACGCAGAAACTCCAGCAACAACTGTCTGGAAGGACGTGTTGGTCTTTGTGCAAGAAGTGAACTGCCATCGTATGCCACTGCATTTTGGACTCTCAGAGCAACTTAACCTTTGCTTAAGAAAATATTCTAATTAATTTTTATTACTGAATATGAGGCTATTTTAAGGTAGGCTGCCCTAAATTTATTTTCCAAAGAAACAAAAAAAAAAAACCTTTTTGAAAAGGTCTCATTTTGGAGAATCTAAAAGGTGGCGTTTACCTGCGAGAGTTCTGCTGAGGCCAGCCAGCTGGTCTTTGTTTAAATTAAGTTGGGATGCCACGCAGAGAGCTTGCTGCCAGCTGCCACATGCCAAAAAGGCATCAAGGGCTTTCTCATGGGCACCACAGCGAGCAAACACAAGCCCTGCGGGCTCATAGCGGTGCTCCTGCAGCAAGTGTTCCCCGTAAGCGATGCTGACATCCTGTGACAAGAGGCGTAGGGTGAGTAAGGAAAGGTGACGACCATTTCTTTAACTCTCCAATGTGAGCTGCCTCAGTCACTACCCTTGAAATTCTTTTGAATTCCTTAGGAAAATCCTGTGGTTGATCAGTGAGTTCAATCATTCGTCCCTTCAAAACTGTTCTGAGGATATACAATTTATTCATTCAACTAGTAATGATCTGGTACCTACATATGCACTGTTCTGGGCATGGGAATAATACAGCAATAAAAAAATAAGGACAAGCAAACAATCCAAGCAATAACAAGTAACACCAAGTTCCCACTCTGCAGCGGTAGAAAATAGACTTACAAATACAATATAATCAACAACATGACAGCAGATAGTGGTAAAGGGACAGGGAGTGCTAAGAGAGCTATTTCAAAGGGTTATGAGGCAAATAACCCGCATAAAGAGTTAAGAGAGAGTATTTCAGGCAGGGAGCACAGAAGGTACCATGACCATTCCGCAGCAGTGTGCACGGAATACACAAGAAAGAATAACAGGAAGATGGTATGACTGGAGCAGAGAGGACACAGACATGAACAGAAGATGCAAATAAGAGCACGGAGGCAGCCAATGGCCAAGGAGTCCACTTTTCCAGCTCAGTGTTAGCCAGGGACACAGAGAGGAAAACAAGAGAGTGCCTCCCCTTAAGGAACTCACAACCTAGTAGGGGGGGTTGGGGTGGACAAATCTATAAACCAGCAGTTTGATAAAAGTGGTCACCGAGATAGGAATAAAGGAGCTCAGTGTTGGACACCTGCTCAGGACCAGCTTTCTGGAAGAGAGACCTAAAAGCTTTGAAGCACAAGTGGGGCTAAGGGGAGGGGAAGGTAGAGACCAGCAGAGAGAGCTGATGCTAAAGAAGCAGGCAGGGGCCATATCATAGATGGGTGCAATTTGCACACAAACTCAAAATGTGGCAATATCATGGATGAGTGGTGGTTGAAGTCATGTGCTCCATGGTCAGACAACCTGGCCCCATGTCCCAGGTTGGCCACTTCACAGCTCTAGGGCTTTAGGCAAGTTGTTTTCTCATTTATAAATTTTGCACAGCACCCTATCGGGTTGTTACCATGCATTTAGTTTATAAGGAAAGTATCTGGCATATAAGCGCAAAATTGATGCTTATTTAAACAACTAAATTAAACCTAACTTCATCCCTTTATCCTAAAATATATGGGAAAAATCTGCACTCATCAAGATAACTAGTCACGCAGCACTGAGGCTGGGCTCGAGGGCTGGGCTGAAAGCAGGAACGCCACGAGGAAGTTACCATGGTATTTCCAATGAGGAATCAGAACCGGCGACTCCTTGATTTCAGAGCTGGGTGGGCAATTTCTTCTGAACATGGAATAGCTCAGGGCCATTCCCTCAGACAAGAAGTTCAAAATGAGATTAAGTAGTTTGGAAAAAACCTTTCAGCTAAGTAGACTCAGTGTAAAGGACCCTTTCCAACTGCCACACAAAGTAAAATAGGACAACATCATTTCACACACCACATACCTTGTATTGCTGCGAGCTTGGCACATACAACTTCAGAGCTTCGTTATACAAGTTTTTATCCTTTATTAAGTTTAAGCATTCTGAGAAGTATTCAGGTCCTGCAGAATAAGATTAATATAAACATAAGCTACTGATTTTGGAGACATAGTGGGTTTTATTTATACCAATGGTCCCTAAACAAAATCAACGGGAGCCTTTTAAAGACCCACATAATCAGAGTCTTAAGAAACTAAAATCTAGGAATTTGAATTTCAATGCACACCCTTGCAGATTTTTAGGTACGAGAAGCACACAGATCAGAGTTCCATTTAAAAGGAAGTTTTACAGCATCCCTGGTAAAAGACCATGCAGCCTGGTGTGTCCTCAATCTCCGTAATGAGACTCAACAGGGGAGCTTATTAACTCTACACACGCCTGAGTCCTATCCCAGACCAGCTGAATGAATTCTCTAAGGAAGCCAGAAGCTCAGTGCTTAACAAGCAAGCACTCCAGGTCACTTCTCAGTGCTCAGGAAAGAATCACAGCAGCTGAAGTCAGAGGCCCTGGCACAGGACGGAGGCAGACGGGAAGCAGAGCCAGCAGCACTGCACTTCTTCCACTCCATCCCGCCGATGAAAACCGTCTCTGAGGCACTGCCAATGACCTCGCCATCACTCCAGATAAGGCAGGTTTCCTTTCCCTCAGGTAAAGTTTACAGATGCCATGAGGAGAGTGAATTATCCACCACTTTAGATTTTCAGACACTGAAGTAAATTTAGGGGGTAATTTTTTTTTTTTAATATTTATTTTTATACAAGAATGGGGTATAGGCCAGAGGCGGGGGAGGGTGAGAGGATTCACCAGAGACAGAGCAGGGAACAGAACAGGCAGTCTGACGAAATATACAGCTGAGGGTAAAGCAGCGGGAGCGACAGGAGAGGTCTGCTGCACCATGTGGGATTCTCGCCAGCCGGCTGGGATCAAACCCACACTGCAGAGGCTGCGGACAGCTTCACAGTGCGGCGCTCAACCGCCTGCGCCACCAGGGAGGCCCGGGGGTCATTATTTTTAACCCAAAAAGGATCTGCACTAGTGTCTCAGCTCCGAAACGCCTTCAGTTCATTAAGTCATTTGCTTTACCCTCAGTTTTTCAGAATATATGATAAAATAAGGTGCATATACATACTTTTAAAGTTTTCAAGAGTTGAAATTAAAATCAGTTTATGTCTAAATTAACTTATTATTTTAATTTATAGCCTGCCTAACATCAAAGAAGATTTGGAACTGCCCTGGTGGCGCAGGCGGTTAAGCGCAACGCTGTGAAGCTGTCCACAGCCTCTGCAGCGCGGGTTTGATCGCAACCGGCCAGCGAGAATCCCACATGGCTTCGCAGACCTCCCCTGTCTCACCCGCTGCTCCTCCCAGCAATGTATTTCAGTCAGTCTGCCTGTTCTGTTCCCCATTCTGTCTCTGGTGAAACCTCTCACCCTCCCGCGCATCTGGCCTGTACCCTGTGCATTTATTTATATGCATGAATAAATAAATCTTTAAATAAAAAAGAAAGAAAGAAAAACTAATCCTCACACTTACCACATTTGCTGAGGTGGCCAATGGCTTTTTCATACCGTTTCAAGTACTTGTCTATGGTGAACCTTTGATAATTACTTTCCATTTTCTTAAGTGTATTAAGAAATGGAAGATATTCTTTGGGATCCTTAAATTAAAAAAAAAGCTTTATTGTTTGTGATAGTAACTTCTAAAAACATATACTGAAAATAAATATATAACAATTAATTGTAGCAGTAAACCAAAAGTTGCATAATTCAAAAAATATGGACTATATTAATATATGACTAAATATTACATAGCAATCAAGTGACAAGTTTTAACAAAAATGCATTAATATACAGGCAACAGTAGTTTTCATTCAGAACATTAATGACTAACTTTTAAATCTCACAGTAGCCACTTATTTCACAGGCTAATAAGGTTTCTCTGATCTAGAAGTCATTCAAGAAATGCATCCAAGTCTCTCCTGAAAATGCAAAGCACAGTTCTTGGAGCTGTTTTCATGATGTTCATTGCTCCCCATTTGCAAAGACCAAGTGTTAAGATGAAAATAAATTATAGTAAGTTGAAACAAAACTCTGAGGCTCTGCCAACCAAGCCTTTATTGGCACTGGTCATCTCCTGCTCTGTAATATGTCCATAAGAAAAATGATTTCTTCCTAAAGAGATGTTTCTTGTTCTTAGTGCAGTTTCACCAAACAGACAGGATGATTACATGGAAAAAAAATAAGGGGAAAACCCAAGACAGCAAATAATTAAATGTTCCTGCTGCTGTAATGTGAGCGGATAATTATGGGTGAAAACATTAAATCAACAAACATTTAGTAAAAATCTTCTATGTACGACTGCAACATAACCCTTAACCTCAGGAAGCTTACAGTCTAATGCAAGAGATATGAAGTGAAAGCACATATGAAAGCCATCTAATCCAGGAAAGCCAGGGGGTTAGGCAGGGAGGCAAGAATGGCTTACTGGTAAGATGCCACCTTGGCATCCTCCAGCCTACATGAGTGAGAATTAGCCAGGTGAATGGAGATGGTGAGAGAGCTAACGTTCAGGAGAGGCAGAAGTAATACTACCTACAAGAGAATGTGGTGGTTGGGGGTACAAAGCACTGCCTGGCCCCCTCAATAAAGAAAAGGGGATAATGTCAAGAGATGAGAAGAAAAATACCCAGACACCAGGTCATGAGAGGGTTTTTAGGCACTACTGCAGCATCTGGACTTTATCGTAGGGGCATCAAGGAACCCACGAGTGATTGCCAGAAGAATGAAGAACCAAATTTTCCTTTTTTGGAAAGATTATTCTGACAAGAGCAAACAAATGATAGAAGACAAAAAAAAAAAAAAAATGAGGCTAAAAAAAAAAGATGGAGGGAGATAAAAATACAGAAAGCTCAAATTTTTTGACTGTAGCATGTTAGAGTGGGACAATACACAAACCGTTCTATTCTCCAGGTTCCTACCGTCCCCTGGAAAAAGTCATGTGATAAAGAAGTAGAGTGGAATATGAATCATGTATTATATTACCTTTATAAGAGGAGAATTTGTTCACACATAAGCATGTAATCTTAAAAATAAGTAATTTCCTTTCACCGGCTATCAATCAAAACACTGTGATAAGCGCAGAACAATGAAGACAATGAGGCTTAAAATGTAGGTCCTGGAGATTCACAGCTCTGCCTCCAGGTCTGCACTCACAACGTAACACTGGACAAGACGCTCACTATGGAGGACTTCATACTGCCATGATTATATACACAAAAACCAAAAAGATGGCAAAGCAGTAACTCCACACACCTTCTGTGACTTCTCCGCCACCATGAGTACCAAATCAAAGTCATAGGTCCCAAGAGAATGATCATATAATTCATTAACATCTACCAGAAGCAGCAAATACTTCAAGGCCTCTTCAGCACTCACAGCATCAGGAACAGATGGTGCATTTCCTGTCAGTGTGTAACAGAACACAACAGAACAAAATCATTTGGGAAAAAACCTACACACCCGACAACAGAACTAAAGAAGGCAAAGTAAGAAATTTTCCCCTCAGAAATGAATGCCAGATGAATATATACCTTAACTGTTTTGTACACACTTTGCATGGCAGCACTCAAAACAAATGGACACAAGCCCAAAAGGCCATGTCTTAAATCTGTGAGGTGGCACTGGTCTTGGTCAGAATAATCTCTAGAAGACTGGGAGACCAGTGAGTGTCAAAGCCCTGTTAAACACTCTCCACAAAGAGTCTCTACCTTGAAGCTCATGGACCTTCTGCAGCACAATTTCCAGTTCTGGGGTTGTTTTCTTCACATGAGAGGTGAGTATTGATAGGCAGTACCTGAGGTGATAGATGAAAAACACCAGAATGAAAAGGATGAACAAGTTAAGGAAGAACTACGCAGAAAAGAAGCCCAGTAACAAGAGCACACATACTTGTGAGGATTTATGTTCTCCATGGCTGCTCTCATGGCATCACAGACAAGGTCCACCTTTTTCCCTTCAGAATCTTTGGACATCTGGACAGCACTGGTGACGAGTGGAGGGTACATGGTCTTTGTGACATCCTCCTCCCTAAGAGCAGGTGTGTATTATAAAGTTACTAACGGGAGGCCTCCCTGGTGGCGCAGCAGTTGAGCGCTGGGTTGCGAGGCTGCCCACAGCCTCTGCAGAGCCGGTTCGATCCCGGCTGCCTGCGACGGTCCCACATAGCACACAGACCTCTCCTGCCATGCCCGCTGCTCCCCTCAGCAGTGTGTTTCGTAATTCTGCCTGTTCTGTTCCCTGCTCTGGCTCTGGTGGATTCTCTCACCCTCCCCTGCTTCTGACTGTACCCAGTGCTTGTATAAATAAATAAATCTTTAAAAAAAAAAAAAAGTACTAATCAGGGCCTCCCCTGGTGGCGCAGGTGGTTGAGCACAGTGCTGTGAAGCTGTCCGCAGCCTCTACAGCACCAGTTCGATCCTGGCCAGACAGTGAGAATCCCACATGGCGCGGCAGACCTCTCCTGTCTTACCCGCTGCTCCCCTCAGCAGTGTATTTCACTCAGTCTGCCTGTTCTGTTCCCTGCTCTGTCTACGGTGACATGGCTCATCTGGCCTGTACCCTGGTTCTTGTATAAATAAATAAATAAATAAATCTTTAAAAAAAAAAGTTACTAACCAAACAACGTGTCCCAGCTATCAAGCTACTAACACACCCAAGGTGTACTGATGAAAAACATTAAAATGGCATCTGGAAAAGTATTTCTATAAAAAATATTCATAATTGCTGGAAAATAGAGAAACTGAGAGGTGAAAAATGTCCAAAAAGAACTGTATAGCAACATTTATAGATATTTTATTCACATAGCGATAGGATGGGTACAGCCTAGGTGCCCATCAATAGGGGAAGGAATAAACAAGCTTTAGTATGTTTATACCATGGTATGCTAGTGAGCGCAGTTTATACCATGGTATGCTAGTGAGATTCACTGTGGATGAATCTCACGATAACATGGTGAGTGAAAGAAGCTTTATACACAGGAGTAAATGCTGTATAATTCCACTTAGATAGAGCTGGTGAACAGGCAAAACTGATCTAGTGGAAAACTCAAAAACAGTGGGTAGCTAGGGGGTGGGGATGGGAAGGAATGCTGGGAGGAGGGAGTCCTCTTCAGAGTTCTAAACATGCTGGGCTCTCAAAACAATCAACGTGCGACTGGCTAGGGACTTGCTACATCTGCCCTTGGAAAAGGGAAAACATAAAGAGGAAAAAATAATTGAAAATCCTAATTATTTTTTTATGGGTTAAAATGTCAGGTTACTTCAAGACTACCACAGTCCTTAGGCATGCTCAGATGGTGGTTCTACAGAAAGAAAGGCCAGACTCACAAACTAGTGTTCATTTATAAGAAAGGGACATAATGATCTATGTCACTTTGAATTTGTGTTACCTGGCAGAGAGACTTATTAGTTTAGAAGCTAATCTACCAAGATAATGTATTATGTTTAATTCTGTAAGGTATACAACAGTGATCTCCTACTTTGGTGTCAGTTTTCAATAAAGTTTTGAGGACAGGCCAAGACAAATGGGTTGGGGGAACTTTGGGATGAAAGAAATGCTCTCTATCTTGACAAAGACAGAGGTCTGGGATACATGGAAGTTGATATCTGTCAAAACTCACTGTGGCACACTTACGACCTGTGCGTTTCACTGAAAGTAAATCTGACCTGCACAGGGCCCTGTATACAAAGAACACTCTAGTTAATGCTATGCTTGAGTGAGTACTGATAGGTAAGCTAGACTGATGTCCACTATTACCTTGAAATGAGTCTAAAAAAGATGAATGATGGATGGGCAGATGGTAATGATAAAGCAACTATAAGAAAATATGACCTGCACAATCTAGGTGAAGGCATAGGGTGCTCACTGGGCAATTCTCTTTTCTACATTTAAAAATTTTTCATTAAAAAGTTAAACAAAAGTTATCACAGAAAAAGGTGCCATTTGTTTCAATCTCCTAAGAAAAAGTTTTATAAGTACATTCAAAAATAAAATCCAATAACAATTCTGACACGTCTTAGGATCTTAGTTTCTGAGTGGGAAAAGAAAAAAAATCCATAAGGGGAATAAGAGTTATAGTGGTTAAGGTAATACTGAACAGTAATTTTTCTCCAACTTTAACTATTTGATTTTCTTATCTAGGAGAGAAAACTGTGAATATGATACTTATGAATTATTTAAAATACTTACTTCAATTCTGTGAAAAACAAATTGATATGATTTACAGAATCTATCTGTCTTATGAAGGTTTCCACATTTTCAAGAAACATCTACCCAAAAAAAAGAGACAAACATTTTAGTTCAAATCACACTAGTTCGTCTAAAGTAAGTGAAGGTAATTTTCTTCCATAACAAATGACTTAGAAAATTACCTTAGGGTTATGATCATGAATCAGATTGAGATTAATTCTTAGTTTTCTCATGCACTCAAATGCTTCTTTAAACATAAGTCTGTGAAGAAATAGAGAATGAATAGGAATGGCATTTTCATAACTAACCCCTGGGCCCAGCATATACTTATAATGATAAAAACCAGTTATAATGAGATTATAACCCAAATGGATTTCTACTCCAAAAACAAAGGACAAAAAAACCAGGTACTGGGTACACTTACATTCTTAAAAGGTGTGATTTAGTCTTCATGGCAGACTGAGGACTATCCCCAACACACACAAGAGAAAACCACCATGGAGCTGAGGTTCATTTACTTTTTTAAAAAATAATTTTATATATATATTTTTTATATCATTGTTCATTTTTGTACAATGTATGCTTGTATGCTTTCTCCTCTCAGGAGTAGTCCCCATAGAATTTCCACCACCAATTCACCCGTGAACCATCACTATAGTCCCTTGTGCTCTTCCCTCCCCTGTTTTGATTCTTCTCCCTCCCCCTCCCTTGCAGAATGTCTGATTTATAGTTCCCTGCTAATTTTGTTCTTTTTTAAAATTTATTTATTATTATTGTTTTTTTTTGCCCTGATCCTTTAATTGATTCCCCTATATTCCTTCTATAAGTGAAACCATCCAATATTTTTCTTTTTTCCTTCTGGCTTATTTTACTCAGTATAATCCCTTCTAGCTCCATCCCTGTTGCTGTGAAGGGGATGAGTTTAGAATAAAGATCTCTCCAGTACAAAGCAAACACATTCAAACAATGGATTGGCTCCTTCACAACAGCAGCTCAGGCACTTGTGGGTCATAGTTCTCTCTGAAAATCTGCAGCAGGCTTCAGGTAAGTACACATCTGGGTAAGGACACAGACAAGAGTTTGGGCACAATTTCCCTGGGTTAAAGCCCATCTCCAGCTAAAGCCCATCTCCTTAGGATCTCCTTAGGCTAAGAGGGCCTGTTTTATATGATGAGCTTCACAATTTTTCTGCTAGAAATGTCTATTATATATAGTATTAAAATGAAAATATAGGGAAAAAAAGAACACATCTGAGAATTTGATTGAAGACATCTGCAACAATTTTTCAGACATCTCTTCAGAATTTTGTTTTAAAAAATTTTAATAAAATACATAATCTCCACACATATGTCACAACTAGGTAATTATTCATGTACATGACACTTACTTGTCCAACCACTTCCGAATCTGAGCTAAAACCAGAGCTCGATGATGAACAACTTCTAAGTTTCCTCTTGGCATCTTAAAATAAATCAAATCAATGATTTTAATTAAACAGAAAAAATAATTTATTACATTATATATTATATATTACATCATTGTTCATTTCCATACAATGTTTGATTTCTCCTCTCAGGAGAAATCCCCATAAAATTACCACCAAGACACCCACAAACCATCACCGTAGACTCTTGTGCTCTTCCCTCCCTAAAAAGAAAAAATGTAAATACCCAGAATACACAACTTTTAAGTCTTCAGAGCAATCCACAACAACTCTGGAAAATGAGCACACTTTGAGCAGAATATTTAATATTTATGTATTATTCAACATTTATTTTGACTTTCAAAAGAAGTTTCCCTTTCAGCCTTACGAGGCAACAACTGTATTAACATTCCTTTATATAAAGCTAACAAACAACTTTACAAGAAGAGGCTTATTAAAAGTTGTAGCAAATGATAAGTCTAAAATACAATCCATAAGAATTCTGCTTGGTACTGACAATAGCCTAATGACAATGAGAATCATGGCATGAAACACCAGCTTACCTGTAGAATCAGCTTGGTGTCCTGGGGCACCACGGTAACAATGCGTGAACCCCTCTCCACCTTCCGCAGAGTTTCCCCTTGAGATGCGTGGCTGCTGCTCAGACTGGCCTGTAATGCTAAAGACACCACCGGCTAAGCGTCCGGAACCACTGTCATGCCAAGCTTCCCTGCCTCCACTGCAGCTGCACTGCACAGAATCCCGCGCGGAAGAGAGCAATCAACAGCCGGGCCCTGCTCTCTGTCAACCTCGAGAACGTTAACTCTTCTGATAATCTCAGCCCTGGCATTTGCCCTCTCAAACGAGCCCTGTTCCATGACCACACACACAATTTGTCAACTGATTTGAAAAGCACAGGTAGCTTGCCTATTTCTTACCATTATCGGGATACTCTAGTCATATCAGTGTAAGAGCCCCTGCTTCCAACTTAGGAGGAAGAAAGTGGACCTTTTTGGTTGTTAATATAAGAAAAACTCACACTCATGGGGGCAGAAGGGTGAGTGGAATAGAAGGAAAAATGGAAACAATTGCCTTCCTATAAATCACAGGGTGGGGCCCTTCAGAGATACAATGGAGGGTGGCCACGGTGAGAAAAGGCTCATTAAGAAGAAGTTAAAGCACACTGCCAGCTTGGTATTTACATGGCAACTCAAAGTAAAGTATTGATCAGTTATTTAATGAAATTTTTGTTTAACTGTAGGATGTTCTGCTCAAGAAAGACACTCTTCTCTGGAAGTCTCTGCTAACTGGTGCTGAATTATTTAACTGAGATATTATTTGAAAATAGGAAATAAGAAAATGAACTCTAAAGGTTTTCCCAAATGTAGGACTCCATGATAAAAAGCCAAAGTAGGTGAAGAACTTACAAAGTCATCAAGACTTCAAGGAAGAGAGATATTAGAAGAGGGGCTATTTTCTATTTCATACACTGAAAACTTACTTTTAAATGAAGCATCTCTCAGGCAGAAACACTGGCAGGTATGGGAATGCGTCGTCAACAATAAAAACTCATCATATACCGCAAATGATGTGATATTTGAAGCAATCTGCAACAAGCAAGGGAGGTAAAGTGGAAAGTTAGCTTTGATACTTGAAGCCAACCATGATATGATCCAGCACCAAACCCAGCCTTGATACCTCAGTGTCATTGATGAAAAAGCGACACCTGTCAGACAGACCAAGGACACATTCCTACAAGAAATATAAATGAAATTACAAACAATTCTAACCACACTGTTAAACTTAACTTTTCTATTATGCATTTCTATTGCCCTGTGATTTCACATCTAAGATCGTATAATCAGGACTCAGTATAGACATGTAGGATTATTTAGTCCAGTACAAAATGCAGTAGGATGCCTTTAATCCATTTGCAAGTGCTGTCATTATTCCGTCCTCTGCATATCTCAAATACGTCTCCTTCCTGACCCACACCACCTCACTCTAACAGTCACTTCTGATTTTGTCCCTTTCCAACCTATTCTCCACAGGGCAATTAGAAGGACCCTTTTAACCATGAAGTTGATCATACTATTTCACTGACTAAATATCAGCAATAATTTCCCAATCTTTGTCAAATGAGCAAATCCAGTTTTCTCTGCTCCATCACCAGCCACACTGCTTCCATTTTACTCCTTGAGTCAGCTGAGTTCTTTTTTTTTTTAAAGATTTATTTATTTTTATACAAGAACCGGGGTACAAGCCAGATGCGCGAGAGGGTGAGAAGATTCACCAGAGACAGAGCGGGGAACAGAACAGGCAGACTGACTGAAATACACTGCTGAGGGGAGCAGCAGACGAGACAGGAGAGATCTGCTTCACCATGTGGGATTCTTGCCAGCCGGCCGGGATCGAACCTGCGCTACAGAGGCTGAGGACAGCCTCACAGTGCAGTGCTCAAACACCTGCGCCACCAGTGAGGCCCAGTCAGCTGAGTTCTTTCCAAACTCAGCTTGTGTACAGTTCCTCCCACTCGAACACTATCCCTTCTTTCTTGGGAATAGAACTTTCTTTTCCTCCACATCTCAACATATACGCAGCCACCTCATATAGCTTTCCAGGTTCACAAAAAGTAGGTCTCCCTATCCTCATAGCTACCATCCTCTAATTAGCCCACACACACCTCAGAATTCTCTACTATGACACCAAATTTATTTCCTTCATTCTCCTCTTACAGAGGATAATTATACATACACTGGGAGATTATAAATTCCAGAAACTCAAGGATTAGCCAGCTGATAGGCTTTGTAGCCACTGTATCCTATTGCCCACCATACTTAGAGGTATCCTAATATTTGATGAATGGATGCCGTTTTTAAGATTACATTTCTCCTGTTCCCATAAGGTATTTAATAAGACTAACTTGACGGTTCTGCACAGCTGGGGATAGAAGCAGGCCAATTATACTTTTCCATTTTTGAATGTACAACCTCCAAGGAACAGAATAACTAACCACTACTTTCTGGCACTCCCTTAATCCTATTTTATAGACAGAAAAAGTTGAGGCTCAAGAAAGTGTCTTAATTTCTCCTTGTTGCCTAGGATACCTGGGTTATAGAGCCCTGGATCCACCTCTAAAGCTCACACTCTTTTTACCTAGCACAGTCATATCAGTACATGGGTTACTGCTCTTAGTGAAAAATTTCTGTCCTATGTTAATTTACCTCTCTTCCAATCATGGCCAAATCAGTCTGTGTGCATGGATAAGGAAATCGAACAGGAAATCCAGCAGAATTCTTCCATGGTTCGATAGTCATAGATGATGGTTCTGCAGGATTGGTAAATGAAGTTTGTAAAAGCTGGTCTGCTCTTTGCAAAAAACATGTCAACATCAACACTTGCCAAAACATTTAATGTGCATTTGGGATCACCTTCCAAATGTATTTTGGAAACTCACTAGGTTACTGCAGCTTATTACAAAAAAATAATAGAGGTAGGATGCCACCTGCCAATTCTACCCTTTAGCTCAGGATTTTGCCAGGGTAGTTGAAAGACCTAAGACTCAATGAGACATTGATAAGATGCTTACAAGTACATATTCTTTTTTTTCAAAGACTTATTTTTATTTATTTATGCATACCAGAACTGGGGTGAAGGCCAGAGGTGTGGGGGGAGGGTTCACCAGAAACAGTGGGGAACAGAATAGGCAGATCTACTGAAAAACACTGCTGAGGGGAGCAGCAGGTAAGACATGAGAGGACTGCTGAGCCACATGTGGATTAGCGCCCTGGCTGGATATTGACCTCAGGCTGTAGATATGACAGCAAAAGACAGAGACTTAACCCCTGTGCCACCAGGGAGGCCCACATAGTCTTAAGAATTAAATATTGATATAAGTTGTAAACACATTTTTCTGAAATTTTGACACTCACCCCAAAGATACTTGAGTATCTTGCCATCAACCAGTTGCAATGCTACTGACTTGTTCTTGGAATTGTAACACAGACTGATTATGATTCCATCCACTGTCACAGATGAACTGACAAAAGTTCCAAAAAATAAAAAGAGGAGAGGGCATTTTGTGAATATTTTTTCCAGTGGTGACATCTTACTGATCTTGCAAACCAAAAAAAGAAACAATTTTCCTTTGGTATTAATTGCTTATTGCAATGTACATTATCTACACATAACAAAATATATAATATACATAGTATATATATGTCTATAATATAGATAATACAAATATTACACATACTACTCACACACAAACATATACACACTGATAAACATTTGCTAGCCCAAGGCAAGATAACACAGTTTTTGGTCACATGACACTATTTTCCACAACACAGTGCTATGCTCATGAAAGAAGCATAACTGCATCTGTGCATTAATGTCAGGAACACAGGGGGCATTGCCATACCTAATATTGAGCTGTCCTTGCTCATCCTCTATTTCAGAAGAGGCCACAGTTAGATGGTGAATGACAGACTGTGGGCCGGACTGACTGTGGCTTACAGCCAGGAAGATATCTTCTTGGATCCAGGTGAGGAGGCCAAACTTCAAGGGGTTTACTTCTTGATCTTCACCATTCTCATACTGAATCCTGTTTTAAATATTGAAAAATATCCAAGATATGAACAAAACTTTACCATCTGAGATTTTCCTGAATGAAGCATGAGACACTTTGTATACAGAATGTTTTCCATTTATTTAAATTTAAATCTCTTATACTCTGATCTAAAGAGAACACTTCAGGAAACTGACTACACAATATACTTACCTGTATCAGGCCCTGCACTAAGAACCCCGGAGGTTTTTCCACTGTCACCACTGACCAGCATTCAAACCAGACTCCAGGAAATATGTAGGCTCAGCAGAACAGGTCCTTTCCTAAGGACCTCACAGCAAAATAACGAACTTGAGAGATGACTTCTGTGCCTTCCTTCTGAGGCATTAATTCAGCAAAACAAGGCATGTTTTTGCCACCTCACACAGGAACTTATAATGGCTACTTCCTGCCCTTGAGTTCAAGCAGCAAATCCTCAGGGCACATGGAAGAGGCTAGGTCACTCACCTGATCTTCCGCCTCAACCCAGCTCTCCTGGTCTCAGTCACTCCACTGCATTCAGCCCTGAGCAGAAGTGTCCCCACCTCTGGCCCTCACCTCTTCTGCCCACCATGCTCAATGTCCCTAGTCCTTCGCTGACAATCCTACACCTTGCTCTTCAAGGGTCAAAGTAAGTATTTTTGTTTTTCATGAAATGTCCTCTAAATGACTAGGAGCTACTCACTCCATTTATATAAATATACGATATTCTCAGCTTTCTAGTTTGCCTCAAGTCTCTGTCCTCTAATAGTCTCAAGTCTGTGTAATGAAACAATCTATGTAAATGTTCTTTGAAAACCACTCAGCATTATAAAGGCAGCTCCAAAACATAAACAGGTTGGATACTTAAATATATTTGTTAGATACACTGCATACATTTAAGTAATATTATTTATTAAATTCAGTTATTTATTCTATCAATTATCAATTATTCCTATTCATTTAGAAATAAATGTTCCCAGGGCCTCCCTGGTGGCGCAAGCAGTTAAGCAACACACTATGAAACAATCAACAGCCTCTGCAGCACGAGTTCAATCCCCGGCCGGCCGACCAGGGAGAATCCCACATGGCGTAGCAGACCTCTTCTGTCTCGCCCGCTGCTCCCCTCAGCAATGTATTTCAGTCAGTCTGCCTATTCTGTTCCCCGCTCTGTCTCTGGTGGATCCTCTCATACCCTGCATCTCTGGCCTGTACCCCAGCTCTTGCATGCATAAATAAATAAATGTTTTTTCAAAAAAAAAAAAGAAAGAAATGTTCCCAGAAGGCAAAGTAGTGTGGTTTAAGAACATGGGCTTATCAAATACACAGCACCCAGGAGTTCTGAGTATGGGATGAGGCACAGAAAGAGGATGTAGAGCCTCCCTGGTGGCATAAGGGGTTAAGACACAACCTATGAAGCTATCCATAGCGACCACAGCACAAGTTCAATCCCTGGCAGGGGAGCTACCCACATGGTGCAGCAAATCTCTCCTGACTTGCCCACTGCTCCCCTCAGCAGTGTATTTCAGTCAGTCTGCCTGTTGCTCCCCACTCTGTCTCTGGTAAATCTTCTCACCCCCCACACTGCTAGCCTGTACCCCAGTTCTTGTATATATAATCTTTAAAAAAAAAAAAAGAAAAAAAGAAAGAGGTTGCATTAGGTCAGCCCTATGTTTACAACCCAAACACCCTCAATTATGCATGTGCATGCAGCTCTATCCTATTGTCTGTATCTCTAGCTTTCCCATATGACTTCTGGAGAAATAAGGGCTGCTGCAGGAGTGGGTTCCAGGTCAGCTTATCCGGGGAATCTCCTGTCAACCATCAGGACAGGCGGCAGTCAGATACACAAAATGACTGGCCTCCCCATGTTGGCTTCCCAGGTGTCATAACTAACTGTTCCACTTGACATTAGGTCCAGAATGACAGCTGGCAAGATTCAGGACTCAATGCTGACTGCTTTTGTTCCCAGAGATTCAAGATATCCAAGAACAAATTACCTGTATCTCTTTTCCAGATGAGGCATTCTGAGGGAGACTTTAAATGAATTTCCACCCACAGCTCCCAGTTTCACTGTAGGATCCACACTTGGAGAGTCACCTAGAAAACAGAAATGCAAATACCATCATAATAGACTATAAACATTTTTCTTGATGTTAAAGTTACAGGGTCCTGCGTTCTAAAAGGCAAAGCACTTTACAAGTAAAGATTCTGGGAAATAGCTGCACCTCAACTCCTTTCTTAAATCTGCCTACCTTTCAGATTTAACCAAAACTTACTTTTGCCTTAATTCAAAGCAATCAGCATCCTCGCTGTGCCTCCTGGAGGCAAGGTGGAGGGGCTGCTCTCTCACCTCAGGGCTATCTCCAGCTATTGTCCCGCAACTACCTCTCAACAACCCTGGCTCCTCTGACATCCTAAGCACTCAATAAAAAGACATCCTCCATTCTTGATCCAGTTCATCCAACACACAGGCAGAAGTACAAGTCTTTTAAAGATTCAGTCAGAACACTGCACCCCTCTGCTCCTAGCTCTCCAGTGGCTTCCTGCCTCAGAGGAATTCAGTGTAAATACTAATATCTTACTAGAACCTTTGAAGCCAGCAAAGGTTCTGTTCTCTGACACCTTCCCCATGATCTCACCCCCAGTATCCCTTTATTTGCTCTGCTGCAGCAACACTGCCCCCTGACTATTTGCTAAACATGACAGGCAACTGGGAGTTGCATGGAACATTCTTACCCCAGATGTTTGCAGATCTCCATGACTCCTACCAGGTCTTCTGCTTAAATGTTGTCTTCAAAGAGAGAACTTCCCTGATCACCCTAAAGACAAAAGCCACCTTCCAACAGGCCTCAAGCAATTTCTTAACCTCTACCTTGCTTTATTTTTCTCCATAGCACCTGCCATCTGATACATATTTTTATTTAAAATCTTTCTCCCCAACTAGAATACAAATTCTACAAACACAAGGATGGGGATTGGGGGGGGGGGGCTGGTACTTAATCGATAAACATTGAGGAAAAAAAGAAGACTCACATTTTAAAAGCCACCTTTGAAAATTGTGGCCTCTCATTTGTCTCTACCCAATTCAAATGTCCACCACTCGTCTCTAGGTTCTTCATTGGTAACCACAAATTTGTGGTGGCAGTTCTTTCTCTTCTGCTCAGGCACTGAGCACTTAGCACTATCTGACCTATTGTGCTCAAACGAGGATATTCTGACTTTGACCTCAACCTCCAATATTTCTTCTCATTTCTTCTGAGCTCAATAAAACGTCTAACGTCACTTGACTCCCTGCACACCCTGGAAGCTGTCAGAAGCTGCTTCTTCACTGGAACTCGAACTCCCACCAACCTGTCCTTTGCATGCTCACTGGCAGGTGCCGGACACAAGCACTCTCTTCAATTTCAACCCCACGAGAGAAACCCACTATGCATACCAGGGCTATCGCCTGAAATTGCCCTATGTTTGAAAAGCTAATCTCTAAACCTTTCCCTTGAAGAAGGGCTCCCACAAGCCTTTTCCAGAATCATATCCAAACTCTCCACAAAGTGCTCTTTTACTTTTCAAAGGCTTACAGCTCCTGGATTTCTATGATCTTTCTCTTTTTTCCATTTTTACAGACATTTCCTCGGCCAAGCTGGCACCACCTAGACACTCTGCAATAGTTGCTAGACACTCTGCAATAGTCTTTGCCTAACTGGTGTTTCTGCCTGATACCCAACCAATCTTCTGAAAGCGGAGCTCTAAACCTACTACAGTGGAGGGTGGCACAGGATTTCATTTTGGGAAAATGAGAAAGTTCTAAAACTGATTGCTGAGATGGTTGCACAACCCTGTGAATATATTAAAAACTACTGAATTATATACATGGGGAAATGTTATGAATTTAATAAAGTTACTTTTAAGTGTTTGTGAGATAAAAATATTCTTTACATTGTAAAGTTATATATAAAGTCAGGTAAGTATCATACAGTAAGTACCACAAAAGCTTATACTCTGATTCTTTTCAATTTCACAGAACTGGCAATAGATTATCCAAACAGTAATAGAACATAGGAACAATCATATGTTCGATATGAATGATAAAGACTACTTTAAAAAGCAGTTAGCTTTTGCATTTTCTGACTGGCCTCTGTGACATCAGTTTTCTAAGCTATTAAAAAAAAAAAAAAGCTTAAATAGCATTGTTCAGTAGTCACCCCCTATTTGCAGGGGTTATGTTCCAAATACCCCAGTGGCTGCCTGACACTGCGGATAGTACCTAACTCTAATGTATATATACTATGTTTTTCCCTACAAATACATGTAAAGGTAATGAAAACTGTGAAAAATTAAAGATGAACTAAAATACAATGCTATTTCCAGTGTTGAATGTTACTCTTAAGCCACTCACTCAGATTTAATGAAGCAAAAGAAATTGCTCTTATAAGCCAGAACAGGCGTGGGAGAAAAAATCCCAAAACAAAGCACCCAATAGGCCAAATAAAAATCATAATGATAATATTAAATATAAACTTTAAAATTTTAGGAACATTTGAACCAAGGAAACACCAAACTATCATTTGCTCGTGTAGGAGGGACTTGATTCACAACATCTTGATAACAGTTTTTGAACATACCACATTTATAAACAGAAATCTGGTTACTGGCATCTAGGACAGCAAGGTCATTACTCTTTTCAGGGTGTGCAGAGAACATGACTTGATTAACAGGATGCGGGAGCAGCAGTCGGTAGGAGCTCATGGGAGGGGGGACCACAGCCTGCCGGAAGACTGTCACCAACACCCTGTCTGCATGTGAGAGAGAAAGGCAGAGGGTTAGACACATCGATGATCATTTTCTAAAACAGAGCATCTCGGTAGCACAAGACCACTGACTCATCATGGTGGTAGAAAATACACAGTAATTCTTAAAAAAAATTTTGGTGGGCCTCCCTGGTGGCGCAGTGGTTGAGCACTGGGTTGCGAAGCTGCCCACAGCCTCTGCAGTGCCGGTTTGATCCCCGGCCACCAGGCGAGTGTCCCACATGGCGCGCAGATCTCTCCTGCCGCCCGCTGCTCCCCTTAGCAGTGTATTTCATTGGTCTGCCTGTTCTGTTTCTCACTCTGGCTCTGGTGAATTCTCTTGCCCTCCCATGCTTCTGACTGTACCCAGTGCTTGTATAAATAAATAAATCTTTAAAAAAAAAATTGGTGTTTTCATCATGAATAAACTTAAACACAATGTAGGGGAGGAACATAAATATCGTGGCCTCTGCCTATATCTGGCTACTGTCACCTCCAGGCCTAGACAATTCATCCCTGGGCTTGGAGGTTTCAGGAGCCAGGGACTAAGGCAAGAAGGCCAAGAGGGCAGAGTTCTCATTGTAAACCTGGGCCTGCAACCAACTCAGACTAAAGCAAGGAAATCAATTCCTGTGAAATCCTTAAAGCACTTCCCTATGTTGGGTTTCTAAGGTATATATGATTAACGCTTCCATACAGAATATAAATGAAAATCAGTATTATGACCACCACATAAAACATGAACTATTATGCCGACTCACATTATAATTCAGAAGAAAGTTTCCTTTATGTTATCAGCAATAAGTAAAAACTGTGTATAGGTGACTACTCTCTCCAGTTGCCTTCCGCTCACTAAAAAAAACAAACAAACCTTCAACCCTATTACAAAATACTAGCCCAATCCTCATGAGAAAGTGGTCTGTGATTTAAACTGAACATACTGGACAGTATGTTATTGCCCAGTATTTTATCAGGAAACAAAGTCGCACAGGTGGAAGTCTATGTAAACATATGTCAGAGGGAAAACAAAAGTTAATATGCCCAGTGCTGCAAAACCACTTGCCTTCCTCTCTGCCCAAGGTCAAAACTTTCAATGTTTTCAAAGACCAAACAAGCATATATGTGAAGGCCACAGATGTAGCATGACAGGACTGGGGAGGATGGGATGGGAAGAGGGGTGAGGAGGAGGGACCTAGCAGAGTACATGCCCCACCGAAGGATATTACCATACAGTCAAAGACAAAACAACAAATAAGTAAAATAAACAAAACAAAAATTCCCTTGTTTTAGTCAAACCACCACATTTGTAAGTGCTGGGCTCACAACCCTTACAGCCTGAGAACACATCCCAGCTGCTTACTTCCATCAATAACAGCCACGTTGGCCATGTCACTGGAATTTTCTCCTGAGCTCCGGTCAGTGGTCCAGTGCCAGTCATAGCAAAGGTAATGCCAGCCCTGACAGAGAACATGTAGCCGATGTGGCGTCACTGGGTCCCACATCAGAGACACGATCTTGCTCTTCCCACAGGTGTTGAAGGGCAGACTTTGTTTGAGGTACCAGTGATAGTTTCCAACAGTCCAGAGCTGAACTGCAAGAAAAATGAAAGAAAGGCAGTAAAAGTCCAGAGAACCATTCTGCATACCACCTGCTGTGGAGGTCGGGGCAACCTTCTCTTACTCAAATGACCCCTCTAACTCAACCTCTGCACTAATCCGATATTAACAATAATTTTTGAAAGGTAATTTTCCACAGGGATAAAATGTCAAGCATAAATAAGATCAGAAGCACACGCTTATTTTAGCCTCTATCTTCAAAATTTATGATCATGTGAAAGAAGACGGCAGAACAGTGTTTCAGTGAGTTTTTTCCCATGAAAATTTTAGAAGAAAATTTGTATCACAGTTGTATATTTAACAAAAAAGAGATTTTAGCTATAATGAGAAATACATATAAAAACTGAAAAACAAGAACATTTTAAGTCATTATTACAAAATAACAGAATTATCCTCTCCTTTTTACCTCTTTATCTTTTTCCTAGTGTTTTCACATATTACGAACAAAGTGAAAAATACATATTTACATAATTTAAAAGTTATACAGAAGATTTTTACATCTAATCCAATTTTTCTTACTTTCACAGTATTCCCTTGACCAGTATTTCAATCTCCTGCAGTGACACCATCTGAGAAGAAAAAGTACTGACAACCAGCAACGGTGAATTTTACAGAGCTCAGCTATCATGCCACGTTGCTTGCTTAAACACCAGTAAGGCTGGTGTGGAAAATTTTCTGTAAATGTGATTAACATTTAGTCAGTTGATTTTAAGTAAAGCAGATTACCCTCCATAATATGGATGTGTCTCATCCAATGAGTTCAAAGTCTTAAAAGGAAACACTGAGATCTCCCATACAAGAAGGAATTCTGCCTCAAGACTGTAACACAGAATCCTTCCTGAGGGTCCACACTGTGGGCAGGTCTGTCCTACAAATTTCAGACTCACAACTAACATCATCTCTTACCTGAATTTCCAGTCTTCCAGCTTATCCTGGTTCTGTTTTTCCACAGAAACATGACTGAAAACTGTAAGTAATCAACACCTAACTACTATACCCCAATAGCTACCTTTGATTCTATTAAAAACTAAGTGGAAGATATGAGAGAGCATAAGGTTGAGAAACTACAGCCATCTTACCATAGGATTTTCGAGTGGAATTTTCTTCCTTCTGAAGTTCTTCTGCCCACACGGCAAGCACAGTGGAATCTGCATTCCACAGCAGGTCATTGACCTAGTAGTGGAAAAAGATCTATTATTGGCCTTGAACTTTGTATTTACTTGAAAACCTTTTGATGGCTGAATCCCGTTCTCATAAGCCAAGAAAATCTCAGAACTTGATTTAAACTCTGGTGTAAATTACTAACCCTCAGTCAATGAGAAATTCTGCTAAATATGCCATTATATGTAAATGACTTTAAAAAAACATTATCTTTAAACATTAAAAAAGACAAAGTAGGAACCTCCCTGGTGGCACAAGGGTTAAGACATAACCTATGAAGCTATCTGCAGTCACTGCAGCACGAGTTCGATTTCCAGCCAGCCAGGGAGCAACCCACATGGCGCAGCAGACTCTCCTGTCTTGCCCGCTGCTCCCCTCAGCAGTGTATTTCAGTCAGTCTGCCTGTTCTGTTCCCCAGTCTGTCTATGGTGAATCCTCTCAAGCCCTGCAACTCTGGCCTACAGGTCAGTTCTTGTTTGCACAAATAAATATTTAAAAAAATAATTCTGCAAAATTCTAGTGCCTGTTGAAAGTAAGTAATAGAGACATGGGAGTTGGGAGTTCATTCCCTCTCAATCTTTATCATGTTTAAATTCCACTGAATTAAGGAGTAGAATTAAGTAGAACATTTGATGTGTTTCTGCTCCAGCAAAGATTTCATAAAGATACATAAACTATTTAAGATTTATGAGTTATTAATGAAAAATATCATTATCATTGGAAGAATTTACTTTTGCAAAATAAAATAATAAAAACTAGCACTTCTATTTCCTATGCTTTACCTAGGATGGAGAATGAATGTGATTTCTTCTTTGTAAATTTTCTGAGTTTATGAAAAACAACTTTTTTTTCATTAAAAAAAGTTTTCTATTACAAGAAGTCACTATTTCTATTACTATCCATTCTGCAGCTTCTATTTATACAAACATATCAAATATAAACCCTCTCTACTGCTGTGGCAAGTCCTCAGAATTTGATGGTAAAACAACTTCAGGACCTACCTTAACTTCATCTTTGAGGAAAGGAAGTGTAAATTGTCCATGGAGAAGTCCATTTTTCTCAAAAAAAACAACATCCTGCTGGTTGGGTTTATCTTGAGTAGATGCAATCAAACTACCTGAGGGCCTTAAAGCAAACCCAGAGTTAAAACATCTAAGAGTTTATCCAGCTAGCTAAGAAACAAGATGAAATTCAGAGAAACAATTTTTCAGCCAAAACCAAACCACCCCATCTATACGGAGAAGCAACACTACGTGTCTCCTGGCAAGCAGTCACTAGTACACCTGCCCAGAGGAAAAATGTCTCTTCTGGTTTTCGGTGCCTCAACTGCTCAGCCACATGGATTTAGATTACACTTGGATGACTTTTTTAAACCAACAATTTAAATCATTCCAAGTACACTGTCTTAAAAAAAAATGAAAAACTGAGCCACCCTGGTGGTACACTATCAAATCTCAGCACTGTCAAGCTATTGCCAGCCACTGCAGCATGAATTTGATCCCCAGCCGGGGAGTTAAACCACATAAGTTGCAGGAGAACTCTCCAGTATCACCCGCTGCTCCCCTCAGCAGTGTGTATCAGTAGATTCACCTGTTCTGTTCCCCACTGTATCTCTGATGAATCCTCTCACCTCCTGCACCTCTGGCCTACACCCCAGTTCTTGTATGCATAAATAAGTAAATAAATCTTTACAAAAGAAAAACTATTTTGGGCCTTCCCTGGTAGCGCAGCGGTTGAGCACTGGGCTGCAAAGCTGCCTGTAGCCACTGCAGCGCCAATTCAATCCCCAGCCGCCGGTGAGGGTCCCACAAGGCGCGCAGACCTCTCCTGCTGTGCCCACTGCTCCCTTCAGCAGTGTAATTTTGTCAGTCTGCCTGTTCTGTTCCCTGCTCTGGCTCTGGTGAACTCTCTCACCCTCCCATGCTTCTGACTGTACCCAGTGCTTGTATAAATAAATAAATATTTAAAAAAAAAAAAAAACCCAACAACTATTTCTCCTTCAATTACATCAGCAAATATCCTATGCTCAGATAGGTGTCTTTTAAGATTTCTTGATCTTATATGAAAACATCTCAATCACCTCATCTTGTCTATATCTGTCTACAGAGTTTCAATTCAAATATGTTTCTTTGCTCTATCATCCAATTGCCGAAAACTAACTGGAAACAAAATGTCTAAAACCTAGAGGCTAGTAGTGCTCTGCATATAACAGGTGCTACTACAACAGTGGATAGCTCCCCATGGTCAGGTGGCCGCAACACACGGGGAGACTGTGTAGAGCACTAAGCCATGAGGTGAACTGGGCCCAAGTCTAGCCTGAAGCTTCCTAGACAAGCTGAGCCTTTCATGTTGGGGTTTGTGCTATTGAAAGAAGCTCTTTTCCTAGTTTTCATCAGAGTGTCACTGAGCCCTTCAGACTGCGACTTCCCTGCTCAGTACCATCTTCTGTTTTATGCATTGGCTTCATATTGGCCTACCAAAACCTGCTCATTGTGTGAACAATGTGAAAAAGTTCTTTGAAGAACTTCTTCTGTCTTAGAATCTACCTTCAAATTCAGTCCAGACTTCAGAGAACTAAAAGAAAGATACAAACTAACATCCAAATGAGGAAATGTAAATATTCTTTCATGTTGCAAATATCTCTAATTCGAAGGGTAACACCCCCTCAACCCAGTTCTAAGAAATTCTCTAAGAAGATACAAAGTTTCTTCACCCACTTACTTCCAAGCCAGAGCCGGGCCCAGTCCTGCCACAGGCTCACTGGTTGACTGTAGAGCAAACTCTCGATTCCAAACTCTGACCTTCCGGGCCCCTGCACAGCAGAGACAAGCAAAGCACTATGATGAACGTGAAGTCAGAACTCTCACTTTCCCCACCAATAAAAAAATGTCAAAGTCAATTAGATTAATCTTGCCAAAGTTTATATCCACCATGTGGGAGGCTGGACAAGATGGCCTCAAAGAAGTCTTCTAATTCTCAGCTCTAAATTCATTGACCACCTACACCTTAGATATGTAAGTAAAGAAAAATTCTCAAAGCAATAGAAAGAAAATGTCCTTGAATTTAATGAGATTTTAAGACTTTTTTAAACTTCAGTTTATTTCCATACCTGTCTCTGGGCAAACAACACTCACAGCAAAAAACTGTCCATCACCACGCCAGGTAACTTGTGCTTTGTGGTCATCCCAGGGCAAAGCAGACTCGAGCTAAAGAATGGAAGAAACAGAAACACTACTAGCACCCTTCAATGGAAAGGATGATGTTCCACAACTGCTCTAGGCTATTAAATTTGTATCTCTTATTTGACGCTTAAGCTAGCTATAAAACCAGTGTCATGGAACCTTTATGAACCCATCTGGAAAAGCATTCGACCCAGAAATCTTCAAGAAAAGAGAAACAGATTTCAAAACAAAATCCTACTCTGAGCATTAAAATTAAAGGTGGTCAAGGAAAAAAAGAGAGGGAGATAATAAATAAATAAAGATGGCCTCTAAGCATTTCAACAGTGGAACTCACCCCAGATCTAGATATTAAAAATAGTGAGTTGAGGAAGCTACCAGATAACTACAATAAGGAGATAAATGTTCTGTCTTTCTACATGTAATCAAGTAGAATTCTGCTTATTCAATTATTGAGAAAGCTTCACAACAGCACACAGAAGTGTTAAGATGAAAGGAAACTGGGCAGGGAAGGGCCAGAGGTCACAAAGGCAGTAGCAATGATCAGCGTTTCGTGCTCTGTAATTGGGAGGAAGACAAGTCTCTGATGCCACTTTATCTCGATCAAGGCCTTGAAGACAAAAGCTAACTCTGTGGGGTGGGGGGCAAATGATCACCGGAACGAACATCATCACATTCCAGTGCAGCTAAGTGGAAATGGCAGCAGTCAGCACAACGGGGAACTCACAGGGAGCCCAGCAGATTTATGCTCAGTGAAACTGCCCTGCGGTAGAGACCATGGACTTTCAATAGGAAAGGTTTAATGTGAGTTTCACAGAATGTTGCTGGAAATAATTAAGGACAGAAAAAGTCAATGGCAAGCAATGCCTTATTGATTCACCTATCCTAGAAAGACAGCTTTTGGAAATTTCTACATAGACTATAAATACAATGCCTCCACTTGCTCAGGCTTGAGTGTGGAATCATCATCACTAATTCCTCTCTCAGTCCTCACATCTGATCTATTATCAAGACATCCTGCAGCTCTACCTTCAAAATGTAGCCAGAAAGAAGGAAAACAAAGCATTTCATCCAAAAGAAAAAAAAAAATTGCAAAAAAACTCTCAAGTGTATATATGGAGGAAAAACAGAAAAACACACATGCAGATGACAGCTGTGGAATCAGGACAGCAGCTCCTTCCATAAGGGAAGGGAATCAGAAAGGGAGAGATAGGGTGTTTCACATCTACTGGTAATAACTTATTTTTTTTTTTAAGATTTATTTATTTATTTATACAAGCACTGGGTACAGTCAGAAGCACGGGAGGGCGAGAGAATTCACCAGCGCCAGAGTGTGGAGTAGAACAGGCAGAAGGACCAGAGTACACTGCTGAGGGGAGCAGTGGGCACGGCAGGAGAGGTCTGCGTGCCATGTGGGACCCTTGCCAGCAGCCGGGGATTGAACCGGCGCTGCAGAGGCTGCAGGCAGCTTTGCAGCCCAGTGCTCAACCGCTGCACCACCGGGGAGGCCTGATAATAACTTACTTTTTAAACTAAATGTTGATAATATTTATTATCAACACTGAATGACACAGCAACCTGGAAAAAAAAAAAGCTCTCTCTAGGATGATCCACTCCCTGATGGCTCCAAAAAACTTTGTTTTTACTAAAGAAGAAGAGATCTGTTCATCATTAACCTTTATCTCAACACCTAAGAGTTCCTGGCGTTCTGGAGGCAGGATTTCTATTCCTCCCACTCAAGGTACCTCACCCATAGAGCAACCTTACCATTTGCACTTGAAAGGCCGCTTGCCTGCCCTCTGATCCATGGAACTGTGTCTCCTTCCGGCCCCATCCAACAGTGATAAACTTACCTAGAGAACAATTGTTGAGAATGTGCAAACCAAACAATAAGTTAAATAAAATGAAATAAAATCAGTTCATAGCTATTTTTCAGTTAGTCACTGGCAATCACTTAGGTCGTCAGCAATCTCTCAATAAACTGACCAGCAGTCAACATTTGAAAAACCTACATTCCATATTACATGCAGCAGTGAGTGTGAAGAATCTGAAATGGCTTTATTTTAGAAAACACTTTATTGCCATCTTAAACACTCCAAATTCTCTTAATGAGAGTCGGTAGTTTATAATGAAGTAGAATAAAACATGAAGAATTTACATGATATGGCAATAAATAACAAAGCATAAAACTCAAGACAAGAGGTGGGAATAAAATCCTGATTATAAGTATTCAATCCACTATATGTATCCATCCTCCCCATTAATGGGTAGAGGAGACTGAAGACTATGGAATTCAACCCCTCACAGACTAGACCTCCCAAGTGGCAGAGGTCAAAATTAAAACAGGGCTTCTTGGGCTTTCCTGGTGGTGCAAGGGGTTAAGTCTCAGTACTATGAAGCTATCAGCAGCCACTACAGCAAGAGTTCAATCCCCAGCCAGGGCGATTGGTGCTAATTTCATAGCAACTACTCAAAAATTATTTCCAAATAAATTATTTTTGAATATTAGTTTTCTCAATGATTTCTCAGAGTTTGTGGAACAAAAAGCCATGTGCTTAGATTGCAGCACGGTAAAATACCTTCTCCCCTTTCCCTTCCCTCAACCAGCCCAGTTACCTGCACCCTCAGGTTGTCCAGAACTTCTTATACTCAATAAGCATCTCCCTTCCTCTCCTCCTTCAATATTCCCAAAGACTCAACTCCAAAAATACCACAGTTAAATCTTAGCAAGAAAATAATCTGAAAAGTATTTTTCTCATGAAAATGCAGACTTGGATCGATCAGTAGAAGCGAAAATAAGCCTAATAACTCTCTTGTTTTCTCCCTAAAATTATACCCCAGAAGTACTCTTATTCTAGTTAGCACAGTTCCTTTCATCGAACCCTGAGGTTTGGGCACTAACCATCCTGGTAATCCTAAACATAGGTAGGTCTCCAGTGCCCAGGTCACTGACAAAGTCAACTCTCAGACATGTAGAGCACCTGAGGATGCCTTTTCAGATCTGGGATGGGCTAAAGGAATTGGACTATCAGACACTGAATAGAAGTTTAAGCTTCATGGTTCTTTGGGTTTATGAGTGTAATTAGTACATAAGAAAGTGGCCAAGCCTGCGCAGAAATTCAGGTCACAAGATATTTCAAAGCTATACTCACTTTCACCAAAATCATCCTGGTGAATTTGCTGTTCCATGATTGGTTCAAAGTCTTTTGTCATCATAATTAGGGACTGTTGACCTTGAAAGAGCACAAATAAGAATGATTATGTTTGCATGCAACAAATTTGCCATTCCATAAGTATCTATAACACTGTAAACTACAGAGCTGGAGTGGAGAAGTTTATAGTCAGAACAGAGCAGAAAAAAGTCATGCTGGGCCTCCCCGGTGGCGCAGCGGTTGAGCGCTGGGTTGCGAAGCTGCCCGCAGCCTCTGCAGCGCCGGTTCGATCCCCGGCTGCTCCCCGGCCCGGAGGAGGGTCCCGCATGGCGCGCAGACCTCCCCTGCCGCCCGCTGCTCCCCTCAGCAGTGTACTTCGGTCCTTCTGCCTGTTCTGCTCCCCGCTCTGGCTCTGGTGAATTCTCTCACCCTCCCGCGCTTCTGACTGTACCCAGTGCTTGTATAAATAAATAAATAAATAAATCTTTAAAAAAAAAAAAAAAAGTCATGCTAATGTTTCGGCTCTCATTAAAGAAAAACAAAAAATCTTGACAGGATAAGCCACCTGGTGCTGCTGTTCAGCTATTTAAGTATGTGAACCAGCATAAAGGTCCACAAAGTATGCAGACTTGCATACTTCAGTCATCAAGGTCCTTCTTCAAATATTCCTCATAAGGCTGCTAGTTTATAGAAACTCATCCAAATGAAGAGAATTAAAGGGAAAAAAGCAGTATTTGAGAGCTTGTAAGAGTGCTTAAGAGTTGTAGGATAGTTTTAGAATCTGTTTGTACAGCAACTCTTCCTTTTAGAGTTGGTTAAATAAATACTGCTGACATTTCTAACTATGACTTGGTATTATCTCCAGGTTTTAGGACTTTGAGTCCCATTTCCAAAGATTGAAAAGCTAAATGAGTCCATTTTTAAAACAATTTACTGAAGGGTAAAACTTGAGTAAAAAGGAACACATTCCTTCTAGATTATAATGCTGGTATCATTGTTCAAATAAATTTTTTGAAACCTTAGTAACCTAAAACTTAAGCCTGTAAGGTAACAAGAATCGTATTTTACAAAGCCCAGCGCTAGGGACCAGTGGCAAGTTTACCTGTAGCAAGCAGCACTAGCTCCTGGTCAGGACTCCAACTCATGACAGAGATACCGCTAGCAACGCTCCCAACACATTCCAGCTGAGACAAAAGAAAAGTGCTAAGAGATTTCAAAACACCAGCATCTGGGTAAATAGTGACTATAGCCTTAATCAAAATAATTAAAAACACAACATACAAATGTAAATTAATTCAACAAACATTTATTAAGGTATTAAGAAGTGCTAGGTACTAAGAAAATAGGCATAACACAAGGCTGGAAGTGACTAAGGCCACTCCATTCCTTCCAGAGCTGGCTCATGAAGGAGAGAAAAAGATGACTCTCCAGTGGGATTTGGGATACAACCAAGGTCTCGGGGACTGAGTGGGAGTTTAGAGGCAGGAATGGGCACTGAGCAGGTTTTTGGATCCAGTAGACTGGGTAAAGGAGGAGAGTCCTTGGAGTCCTCAGTGGTTTTTCAGGCTTTTATTGGGATTTACCAGGTACACGGCAGGCAGAGGTGCTAGGGGCCGGGAGGCTGGCAGGTCTCCCAGCCCCCAGCAAGTCTTCAATCTATCTGGGCTGTCCAGCGTTCTCTGGTTCTCTCTCTGCTCTACTATTCATTCTGCTTCTCTCTCGGCTTCTGTTGGCATTTCCGTGACACCACCCTTAAAAGCCCAGTCTTAGCCCAGGCGAATCCCATCTACATATGCCCACACCCTACTCCAGGTGCCCGCCATCAGGCATGCATTCAGGACTACAGGGTTCTGTCATCTATCCTAATGGTGGGAGGGCAGAAAAGCCTGATACTTTTACCTTACCCTACAGGGGCTTCCGAACAGGGGATGACAAACGGCCCTGGAAAACCCAGGCAAGCTTTTCTGAGGTGCCATGAAAGTGATGACAGGACCATGAGAGAGACAGAGGAGGTGCAGAGTTATAAAAAGCAGTTAAAAGTCAGCTGCAACTAGAGCAATAAGATATAGATAAACAGGAACGATGGGGAGAAAGGGGAGGGAAGCTAAAAGGAATTTGGGGAACAGATAAGGAAAGGTCTCATAAGACACAAGGAACATGGATTCTGTGTTATAGACAAACAGGGAGGATCAACACCTGAGCTTAATAATCAGGAAGAGGGGGTGGCGCAAGGAGTTAAGTCTCAGCACTATGAAGCTATCCATAGCCACTGCAGCACGAGTTCGATCCCCGCAAGGGAGATGCCCACACAGTGCTGCAGACCTCTCCTGTCTCACCTACTGCTCCCCTCAGCAGTGTATTTCAGTCAATCTGCCTGTTCTTTTCCCCACTCTGTCTCTGGTAAATCCTCTTACCCCTCTCCCCACACCTCTGGCCAGTACCCCAGTTCTTGTATGCATAAATAAATCTTTAAAAAAAAAAAATCAGGAAAAAAAGTCTAAAATGTTTTGAAAGTAAAAGCATAGCTTCTAAATGTGAGAAACACTAAGTTGTACTTGATTATTTTGATACTTCTCACCATTAGCTGAAAGATCAATTATTGAACAGAATGTTTAAAAGCAAAGTTACCAAACTTAGGGTTCAAATACCCTCTGGCAACTTGTAGTCACAGGAATGGGCACAGTGCAGGTTTTCTGATCCAACAGACCGGGTAAACGAGGAGTCAGAGTCCTCAGTGGCTTTTGAAGGTTTTTTATTGCGATTTACCAGGCACATGGCAGGCAGGGGTGCTGGGGGGCCAAGAGGCGGGCAGTCCTCCTAGCCCCCAGCAAATCCTCACTCTATCTGGGCTCTCTGGTGTTGTCTCTGCTTCTTTTCTCTCCTACTTTTCCGCTTCCTGGCTTCTGTTTGTTCTTTACTTCTGCTTTCGTCCCCGCGACACTGCCCTTATAAACTCAGTCTCTCAGCCCAGGTGTGCCCACTTCAGGTGCCCGCTATCAGGCATGCATTCAGGACTACAGGGGTCCCTCATCTATCCTAATGGTGGAAGGGCAGAAAAGCCTGATACTTTTTCCTTACCCTACACAACTGTATGATTAGAGCCCATTATTGAACTCCCTAAGCCTCAAATTTCTCTTCTGAAGAATGGGAAAATGGCAATTTACTTCATAATTTGTGATGAAGAAAATCTTGCATGAAACAAACTTGGAAAAGTGCCTGGCACACTGTAAACATTTAATAAATGTCAGCTGCTATTATTACACTCTTAATACTACAACTCTTGTAATAGAATCAATGTCAATGAGGTCCCAATTGATGGAGTAATCAAAGAAATTTTAAAAGAATCAGACTGGCTGTTAAGAATGTGAGGAGAGAGGGTCTCCCTGGTGGCCTGTGGCTTAACTATCAGCACTATCACTGCTAAGGCCTGAGTTCGATCCCTGGCCAGGGAGCAAACCTACATAAGGCCCAGCAGACCTCTCCTGTCTCACCTGCTGCTCCCCTCAGCAGTGTGTTTCAGTAAATCCGCCTGCTCTGCTCCCTACTGTGTCTCTGATGAATCCTCTCACCTGGTCACCTTTGGCCTATACCCCAGTTCTTCTATACAATAATAAATAAAATCTTTAAATAAATAAATAAAGTTTTAAAGAAAGAATGTGGGGAAAGAAATCCAGAAATTCAACCTTATGCTAGAGCAGAAAAAGAGGTAAATGGTTGAATTCTATCTCCTCTGGTAGTCATAAAATATACACACAGTGAGAGTGCATAACTTTAGTATCTGTAGTTCAGGGACTCCAAAGTTAGCTATTAATGAGAGGCTTAATCAGCATTCATAACTAAAAATATAAGTTGTATTAAAATTTCAAAAATCTACTAAATTAAGTAATAAAGGTTACAACTTGGGATCAGATTCTGAACTACATTACAGGAGAATGACCAGGGTTTTTTTGTTTGTTTTTTGTTTTTTTTTAAAGATTTATTTATTTATTTATACAAGCACTGGGTACAGTCAGAAGCACGGGAAGGTGAGAGAATTCACCAGAGCCAGAGCAGGGAGCAGAACAGGCAGACTGACAAAGTACACTGCTGAGGGGAGCAGCGGGTGTGGCAGGAGAGGTCTGCGCGCCATGTGGGACCTTCACCAGCGGGCGGGGATCAAACCGGCACTGCAGAGGCTATGGGCAGCTTCACAGCACAGCGCTCAACCGCTGAGCCACCGGGGAGGCCCTGAGCAGGGCTGTTTGGGAATGTTCTGATTATCTGGAATGTTCTGATTATTCCTCTTAAAAGATGCAATGGACAAAAGATGCAATTGAGTTTTAGAAGAATCCTAAAATATAACTAAAGCCATGCCAATAATTTGTATAAAGAGATACATAATGTAAAGATTCCAACTTGTAAATTATATATCCTATGGCTCCCAATTCTTTAAACTTCTACACAAAACAAGCAACTTGTCTGAAGAAGCCTAAGATCTCCTCCTCACTGGCTGCTTACCTGGTGTGTGCTGAGATTGCAGAGTATGACATCTCCGGAGGCGGTGGCCACACACACAGACTCCTGATCCAGCAAATCCTGAATACCAACAATACAGCCACTTCCATCCTCTGGGAGAAAGCCTTCTGCTGCTAAAGGAATCTCATTTTTCACCTTTCACCAAAACAAATAAGCAAAATTTAAGCCGATTTAGATGGTATGGAGTAGAGATCGAAACATAGTTTTAAAAACAGTATATTCCCAATTGAGGCCACTGTTTTATACAATATTTACACAGTAGAGAAATCTTTCAGGAACAACTCATAACTCTTTCTAGTTGTAAAATACTTTTTAATTCCCCTCATAACATTAAAACTTCCAAAAATGTTACCTTTTTAGATTAAAAGCTAAACTTACACTTCAGAAATATCACAATCCTACTCTCTTTAACAGGAAAAATATTTAATGTGAACTTTTTGCTAACCAAACACAAAACAAAAACAAAAAGCTTGGTCACTTTTAAAATATTCAATTAAACATGAAGCTAATAACTAATTTCCTAAGATTTTTATAGTATAAAGAAAAGGCTAAGAATAATCAAAATATATCAGTAGCAAATGATTGGTAAAATACCAAGCTGCAAATACAATGAAGGGAAGATATCAGAATCAACCCAAAGAATTTTTATATGCTCAGAATCCAGCAGTAAAGATTCTGTATTAGATGGTGTGGGGTAGAGATCGAAACATAGTTTTAAAAAACACTACATTCCCAAACTGGGTCGCTACATGCAAAAGAATGAAGCTTGACCACTACCTCACACCATGCACAAAAACCAACTCAAAATGGATTAAAGAACTAGACATAAGACCTGAAACCATAAAATACATAGATGGAAATATAGGCAAAACACTCCATGATATGCACATCAAAGACATCTTTACAGACACATCACCCAAAGCAGTGATAGTGAAGGCAAAGATCTACAGCTGGGACTACATAAAATTAAAGAGCTTCTGCACAGCCAAAGAGACAATAACAAAAACAAAGAGAAACCCCACCGACTGGGAGAACATTTTGCACACAACACTAATGATAAAGGACTGATCACAAAAATCTACAAAGAGCGGATGAGACTCAACAAAAACAAAGAAAATAATCCAGTCAAAAAATGGGCAGAAAAGCTAAAAAGAAACTTCTCCAAAGAGGAAATGCAAATGGCCAACAGGCATATGAAAAAATGTTCAACATCATTTGTAATCAGGGAAATGCAAATCAAAACTACCATGAGATACCATCTTACACCAGTGAGAATGACACATGTTAAAAAAACTAGCAACAACAAATGTTGGCGAGGTTGTGGAGAAAAAGGAACTCTCCTGCACTGTTGGTGGGAGTGCAAACTAGTCCAACCACTATGGAGAGCTGTGTGGAGATTTCTGGACCTACTAAACATAGAGCTTCCATATGATCCAGCAATTCCACTCCTAGGTATTTACCCAAAGGACACAGAAACATCAATTCCAAAGAGCACCTGCACCCCTATGTTTATAGCAGCACTATTTACAATAGCTAAGCTTTGGAAACAACCCAAATGCCCAAAAATAGATGACTGGATCAAGAAGATGTGGTACATATACACCATGGAATATTACCCAGCATTCAAAAAAGATAAACACATGCAATTTGCAGCAACATGGATGGCACTGGAAGGGATCATGCTCAGCGAAATCAGCCAGAAAGAAAAAGAAAAATACCCGATGGTCTCACTCATAGCAGGAATCTAGAAAACTTAAATAAGGGACCAGGAAAAAGAATAACTATAAGAGAGAAAATATCAAAATCAACAAACAACTATGAACCAGAGACACTCTGTGGGGCTGGGGGGCAGGGAAAGGAGGGCTTGGGGTCAAAATAAGGGGGTTGTAATTGTATGGGGAATATAAAAATAAAATTTAAAAAAAATAAAAACACTACATTCCCAATTGAGGGCCATTGTTTTATAAAATATTTACACAGAGAAAGCACCCACACAAAACAAGTCAGTTTTGACAACTTAGATTTAGAATAGAAACAGAGTTAAAGGTTGGTTACTATTTAAATTCTGCCTAATATGACATCAACATAAAGTAAATGAAACATTCATTTAGGAGGTTATGAATTCATTAAGATTTACAGTAAGGTCTACACAGGAGAAGCAGGTTTGGAAGGAGACAAGTAAGGGGGCATGCCTCATGCTGGCATGTCCATCAATAACTTACTTCTCTTGTGACAGGATCTACTTCTACCAGACCATGTTCTGAGCCAATGACCACTGTCCCCTGTTCAGTTCTGAGACAGAAGCACTGAGGTTTCCCCAGAGCATGAATATCCCTAAACTCCAGGGTCTGAAGTAGCTTTAGATTTCTCATAATGAAGTGATTCCTGAAAGAAACAAACAAATAACCCTTTATGAAACATTAATTTCTAAGAGAAAAAGGAACATCTTAGTGGTGATAAGTCACACTCATATTTGAGATGAGGGAATGCCTGGCTTATCTACCTAGAAGGGAGTAAGGGAGGGATGAGAACAGTAAAGCTCAAGAGGTCAGACATGTCATTTCTGGTTGTCATTCATGCAGGCTTATCACATTCATTGTGCTGTTCCTTTGCCATGTTCAGATCATCAAAAAGTCTTACACACTTGGGTTCTACTTACCAATAGTCAGTGAAGCCCTGGGATTCACGGACCCTGAGATAAGAGTCTGGAGGGCAAAGGCAGAAGGAGCTAAAAATGACTCACTTTTCCTGTTATCTTGCAGTTCCTGTTAATGTTGCCCCAGCAATGGGTCTTAACCCTTGCAGAGGCCCCCTACTCCTAGTACTCCCAGGACCAGTGTCATCATTCCCACTCCCCAAGGAAACAACACAAATCAGTCAGCCCCCCTCCAGATAGATGAAATCCAACAACATGGGGCTCCTTCCATGGATTTCGGAGGTATCAGCCCCAGAAATGAGTCCTAGCTTTACAGAGCTTCCCCTCCAAGGTCAGGTCATGACAGCTCCGCTGTCTTCCCTTGTTTTGATCTCAAGTCCTAGATACTTGGAGTTACTTCTATCAGTAGAAGTACTTCTTCATCTTTCATATTACTTCATGGCTCCCTTTAGCTTTTTGTCACTCCAAAAGCTATTTAATCATTTTTCACATTAAATTGTCCCTATTGAAATACTGTGTGGTTTCTACCTTCCTGACTGAACCTTGACTCGCAAATAGAGCAAACAACCCAAGTTCCCAAATCACTGAGTACACAGCCTGACAGCATGAGCTACCTACCCCTACCTCCCCAATTCAGAGTTAACTTCTCTTAATTTTCTCCCATCATCCTTACTCCTTTTCCTTCTCAGGACCACCCCCATTACTTTACATTACTAGCATAGTATCCTCCCAACTCCTCCAGGACCTAAGCTCATTAGCATGCTCTCTTTTGTATCTGGAATCATCAACTCCCCCAGCCCACAATTTAAAACCTTTCTCTCCTCTCAAATGTGCTAACTCTCCCCACACTACAGGTCACTTCTGGATCCTCTCCTAATTTCTGATAATGCCTCCTCCATTTTCTTCCCTTGCCCCTTCATCCACCCACCTCTTTAATCATCGTGCTCACAACTCTAAGTACCAGGCAGAACAGTTACATGTTGACTAAATCTAAATATCAAGCCCCGACTCTCCCCAAACTGAAGAATAAACCCACATTTTCAATCTCCTGATGTATTTAGAAGAATGTGTCACAAGTACATGAAAGGCAACCTGGAAAATAAAGAACTTTTTATTCTTCCACCAAATGAGTTTCTCCTATTTGGAAATAAGATATTTCTGTCCTCTGTCCAAGCTGAAAATTATCTTTGCCTCCTTCTTGCTCACACTGGCTTAGTAAACGATTCACTGGTTAGCTCCGTGGCTGTCAATAACACAGTATGAAACCTTACAGAGTGCTAATCAATCCTCCCATCTGGTGTGTGAGCTACCTCAAACACTGAGTACTTTAAAAGCTAGGATCTGAAGACTAAAGAAGACTGACAGTCGTCGTCTCCACGGAGGTGACAGATTCATGGGAGTGAAGGCCACATAATACACCACATTAAATGGAGAAACTGACGTGCAACTTACACAAAAAACTCACCAACGCGAGAAAGCACGCACAGAAGAGCATCAAAAAAAAAAAAAATCTCTAATAACCATCGCTTTCTTTCTTACATTAACTGATTCGCTTTCAGTGTACTATGCACTCCCGCAAGGAATCAAGTGGCTGGGTAAGTGCTGCTGCGGGAGCAGCACGCCCTCCGGGCTCCCCAGCCCTCCAGAGCCCCCAGATCGCCGCAGAGCAAGGGTCAAGTCTACAGAGAACTCAAGATTCGAAGCCAGAGGTGGTCACGCCGCACTCCAATGCCGGGCCTGCTGCAGGCAGAGGTTAAGCGTTCAAAGGTTCTCTCCATCAGGACACCCCCAGGTGGACAGGGTCCGGTTGCTTGCCTCCCCACTTCTGGGGGGGTCCTTGAACGCTCACCTGCGCCGCGCTCTGAGGACCCCAAAACAGCGGAGCGTCCGCCCTCGTCTCCCCGGCCACGCGCAGGATCCAGTCCGGGGCTGTGCACGCGCCTCGCTCTGTCTGCGGCCGGCCGCGTAAGGTGCCTCCCCACTGCCTGACCTCCAGACCAGGGGGGGATAGCGGGTAAGGCCCCGGGGAGGGGCAGCTGGTGCAAATGACGCTCAAAGCAAGCAAGACCGCGCGACTCGGCGCAGGAATGACGTCACGAAGCGGAGGGGCGTGGCCCGCCTGCTCCCGAAACCCAGGTGGAACTACGCGGGCCTCAGCCTCCTATCCCCGCCCTCCGCCCAGCCTATTGTATTCGTCTTCTGCTTTGACGTCAGACTTCGAAGTGCTGTAATTGGAGCCGGAGGGCGGAGCCTGGGGCCGGGCGAGCAGCGCGCGTGCGCACGATGCGGCACGTGTGCCAGAAAGTCGCCGTCCTCCGGGGCCCTTCCGGCAGGAAATCCCCGAGTCCGGGAGGGCGGGGGTGCCGGCCCTCTAGGTCGCCATGGCTACCGAGCCTGTAGCTGCGGAGTCCGCGGTGCCGTCGCTCGTGGATCGCTACTTTACTCGCTGGTACAAAGCGGGTATGTGGGGAATGGTGTCGACCTCTCCTCGGCCGCTTGCGCCATGGTGACAGATCTTAAACGGCGCGCGATCTCAGAACGAACAGGGGCCCCGACTTCAGAACGAACAGGGTCTCAGTTCCCTTCTAGGCGAAGGAAAGGTGTTTGCGAAGGCTTGGAGGCCTGGAGTATAGTGGGGTGTATGTTGGGACTGGCCAGTGCAGTGCGGTGAGGGTAGGTTGCATACGGAGGTAATAGTACCTTAAAGTGCGACCCCGGAGGGAGACAGGAGCTGGATTGAAATCTTGAGTGCCCCAAGGAACTTGGGGTTCAGTCCCACAGGGAGTTTTGATAAAGAGAATGACATGATCAGGTCGAAACAAAGGTAGAGGTAGTAGGCATGGAGGGAAGGGAGTGGTTAGAATAGAAAGCAGAATTTAACATTTTACTTGAAGAGTAGCTGCCGGTACTGTACATTTGCCACATGGAAGTAGGTACCCTGTTGTACTGCTTTGTGTGTACGCAGTGAATTTCAGTGGTGCGCGCATCCTCAAGCCCCTACTTGCTTCCTTCAACTCAGGGATAATCGGTATTTTAAAAATATTGTAGCATAATTTTATTAGCCAAATTTAGGGTGGCCAGCCGACTCGGTTTACCCAGGACTGACGGGTTTCATCAGGACAGTGCTGGGAAATGGTAACTAACTGTCCAACAAAGTATACACTGTCATATAAAGAATGCCTTTCAATCACATTTTTTAAGTGTACTCATTTTAAAGTGAGGATAAAGCAAAATGGAACAAAGAAAAGATTTAATCCCTTCAATATTTAATAAATTATCCTATTTGGGCCAGGCCCCTTTAAATACCTTGTAGGATGTCTTGTATCTTTTTAAGTAATGAAGGTATCGATACCAATGATTGAATTGTATCCAATCATCATGATTAACTATGAATCGACTTATTACCCAGTGGTAATAAGTATTGACTCAGTCAACAGACTCATTTATTATTCTAGATGTCAAAGGAAAACCCTGTGAGGACCACTGTATACTACAGCATTCTAACCGGTAAGCAAATTGGGAATTCTAAGTTATGGCAAAAACTTTCTGGTCTTATAGCCTGGTATGTATGGCCTTGGCTTGAAAAATATTCGTTTAATTATTGTCTTCCACTGTGTTGAAAAGGTATTATTTATTAGAGGGTTTGGTTGACAAGAATGAGCCTTTCACTGCCTATTCATTCTGAACAAATAAACTTAATTACCCAAACTTCCAAATGAGAACCACAGCCTCAATGAACTACTACCTGAAATAGCCTGCCTGTGTCTAGCCACTGAAGTGTCAGAGTCCACGGAAGGGCTTAGCTAGAAGCACAGGGGGTATTCTGTATTCTATCCATGCTGGCATGCCTTACTTCTCAGTACTCCAGTACTGAGACCTCCAGTACACCTCTTTCTGGGAAAGAAATCACTTCCGTTTTCTCCTCTTTTATTCTTGCAATTTCTTATACAGTTAAGTTTCCAGTCTTAGCCAGAGTGGAATAATTGTTTGACCCAGTTCAGAGAGTCGTATTCTAGTTGGCGTACTGTATTACAGGAGGAAGAATTACACCCAGCAATAACAAAGGATCAATTTTTGCTTTTTGTAGAATATGTGTCATCACACTCGCAGGATCTCATCCAGTTCTTCAAAGTGGAAAAACAATCAAAAGCATTTCCTATCAAATCAGTACCAACTGTAGCAGACTTCAGAACAAGGTTTCTGGGAAGTTTAAGCGGGTATGTTCTTGTATGTCTCTACTTAAATCCTCTTTCTATTACAGTAATTAGCAATTATAGATCATTTATTGTTAAAATTGATAATGTATGCACAGCATAATTCCTGGTAGTTTGAGGTGTGGGTTTTAAAAATACTTTAACCATACAGAAATTCTCAGAGCAAAAAAACCTAGGTATTTCAGAAGGTATAGTATCTGTATATATAAGGTTCTATATTACCTTCCCCAGGAGGGAGGGTGGGAAAGATGGTCCTTTGAAAGGGAAACTCTATTAGCAATATATCGAGATATTTTGTCCCTTCTAGTTTTATTAAACCTGTATCTTGAGTTTTATAAAGCTGAAGTGATCAGCTGTGTATTTTCACAAATTTTAAAAACCTATCTTGAATATAAAATCAATCTGAGAAAATACCCAGAATTTGCTCAGTTTTCCATATTGTCATTTTCATTCCCTTAATAATTGCCAATTTAACACATATCTGTCCACACCCTCTATATCACACAATGCTCACTCATACAAAATGTACCTTAGGCAAGATGGACATTTTATTAAAAGAAGGTATTATATCAAGAACAATTCAGCACCAACTAAAGTATCCTGACATACTGCACAGGAAAGTTTCTGTGGGTGATTTAGGTCCTTTCTTTGCTCAGCTAGTGTAAGTGTTTCTGCTGACTACCCTGGCTTTTCTCAGAGACCTTGTTTATTCTTCCCTTTGTAGGCATGAAGTCTCCTAATAATATGTCTTATAATTAATTTTTCTTCACTTAGGAAACACATGGACTTACAAAAGGATGGAACATCCTTTTTTTAAAGTCTATAAATTACAAGTAAAAGAGTTAGTACTTGTAAAGTTCCTGTGTTAAATCTTTGTGCAATATAGTAACACATTTGTTGTTACTAAAGAACAGAGGGACCCCCACGTGGAACCCATTACTAATGTTTTGATAGGTTCTCGGCAATCATTTACTCTTTTTTTTTTTTTTTTTTTTAAAGATTTATTTTTATACAAGAGCTGGGGTATAGACCAGAGGCGTGGGAGGTTGAGAGGATTCACCAGAGACAGAGTGGGGAGCAGAACAGGTAGATGACCGAAATGCAATGCTGAGGGGAGCAGTTGGCATGACAGAGAGGTCTGCCACGCCATGTGGGAATCTCCCTGGCCGGCCGGGAATCGAGCGCGTGCTGCAGAGACTGCCAGCAGCTTCACAGTGCTGCACTCAACCCACTATGCCACCCGGGAGGCCCAATCATTTATTCTTCCAAGGGAGGAGATAAAAACGAAGTTAAAACACCTTTCTTTTGACACAGACCTAGTGGTAGACAACCCCTCTGGAAAAAAATAGTATTTTGAAATAACCACATGCAGAGGAGCAGAAGCCAATTTGGTAATAAGTCTGAATGCTAATATTGTTTTGAGTGGTAGAGATTGTAAAGAATAGCATCTTGATCTTTCATGCCTGTGTTCACTACAGGACAGTTATTTTGGAAAGCAAAAAAAAAAAAAACAACACATGAGACATCTCTGCACCACTTTCCCATGAGCCTCCTTGGAAGCCTCCCAACTATATCCATTTAGTGGGGTACATGAAATAATAACCATGCCATAACCTTCTAACAGATGCATATCAAAATGTGGCATTTACTTCTGGCTTGTAGGATAAGTAAATTGTTATTATTTGCTACTGAACACTTTTTATATTTTCTTAATTTTCCTCAAAGTGAATTTATCTTGATTAGAAAAATACCCCTTTAAAAGTCTTAGTGATTGGCCCTAACAAAGATGTTCCTTTATTAAGTTCTAATATAAAAACAAGGAATTAGTGAAACTACCCACACTGTTGCTGTCATACTCTGTCATGTTCAGTTTTTTATTATTGCTTTTCCTCTACTTTTGAAATCTTTCCCCTGGCTATATATCACTTTCTCATTTACAATCAATAAAAGAATATTCTAACCTGTAATAAAACTACCTATTATCACATTTCTTAGTTTGCTTTCTCCCAGAGCCTAGGCTGGTCCTTGCCAAAGACCTGGCACTCACTATATAAATGTTTGAATAAAGGAATTATTTCCAGTCATTAAGTCATTTTTATTTTAAAACACAAATATTAGTTCCAGGAATATATCCTATTATGACATTGAGAACTGTCTCTCAAAGGAAAGCAAAATGTTCATCAACTAATTACTTCTTTCCTTTTATCACACAGGGGGCACAGTTTCTAACAGAACTGGCACCTCTGTGTAAGATTTATTGCTCAGATGGAGAAGAATATACCATATCCAGGTAAGTGACATTTTAACCACATTTTTAGTGAAACAAAATGAGGTAATATTTTTCTTCAACAGGATGCTTTTTTTTTTATATAGCTGTGTTAGAGGTCGGCTGATGGAAGTGAATGAAAACATCCTCCATGAGCCATCTATCCTTCAAGAGAAGGTAACATGGGGGAAGGCATGATCCCATTCTTTTCCATCTAGTATCTAATCTGTCCAAGGTACTAGGTATTCTTTTTCCTTTCTAGCCATCCACTGAAGGCTACATTGCAGTTGTGCTGCCCAAATTTGAAGAAAGTAAAAGCATCACAGAAGGGTTACTGACCCAAGAACAGTATGAAGAAGTGCTGGTGAAACGCATTAATGCCACAACAGCCACATCGTGAGGACCAACATGGAGCAAAATGACATGGGACTCTCACTCCTGCCTGGCCCACGGGATCAGTGTGCTAAGGAACAAGCCCCCAGGAGGCATATTTCACACCAGCCATCCGCAGGCGGCCTGAGCCTTCACTTAACCTACTTTTCTTTGTTTACCTGTGTAACAAGTCTTGGTTCCCTTTTGTCTTCAGCTTCCTAGATCTGCCCTGCCCATGTACTCATTCTCTTCATTTGCTGCTCTGTAACTGGCAAGCAAGGGATGTATTTCTGATTAAAAACAAACAAAGCACTTGAAGAAATTTAGGAAAAAACAGGAAAATTTTAAGTAGCAAAGTAAAATAATTTTCTCATTCTATAATCTAGAAGTTAAATACTATTTTGACATGTTTTTCCATAAATACTGAGGCATGCCTCATTTTCCATTTGTTGGAAGTTTTTATAAAATCTAGCTGGTCCTGGGCCTCCCCAGTGGCGCAGTGGTTGAGCGCTGGGTTGCGAAGCTGCCCGCAGCCTCTGCGGCGCCGGTTAGATCCCCGGCTGCTCCCCGGCCACCAGAGGAGGGTCCCACATGGCACGCAGACCTCTCCTGCCGCCCGCTGCTCCCCTCAGCAGTGTACTTCGGTCCTTCTGCCTGCTCTGCTCCCCACTCTGGCTCTGGTGAATTCTCTCACCCTCCCGCGCTTCTGACTGTACCCAGTGCTTGTATAAATAAATAAAGATAAATCTAAAAAAAAAAAAAAAAAAAAAAAATCTAGCTGGTCCTTCTCACCCTGTCTGCCTCCTTGTGACACTCCCACAGTCTAGTCCCACCCGTTCTGCCCCAGCTCATCTCCTTTTAGGTTGTAGGGAAGAGGCTGCAAACGTACCTTCTCCACTCCCATGCCACTGCCATGGCCTTCTTCTTTGAGATAGAGCATTCTACAACACTGTGGCTTCTTAAAGAGTGATGCATAAAAGACTTTAAAAAACACAAAGGCTCTCCTGACATGGAAGTGTTATAATGCGGCGTTAAGCTGGTTACAGCAATGTGTCTATCACAGTCACTCAGTTTTACACTCCAGCTACAGGGTAACCAGCAAAGACCTTACTAAGAAGTTGCTGTAAATTCAAATGCACAGATGCCTTCAAATGGAACAAAAGCTTTCACAACATTTAAACAGCGAAGACTATGAATTTATACTTTGATTATAAAGTTATTTACATTGAACTTCAAATAAAAGACTTAAAATTTTAGGAACGTCAACACATCATTAAATATATTTAAAAATAATATTTAATACAAAAGAAATCACTTGTGTAAATTCCTTTGGTTCTCTATCCTGTTATGCTTTGAACTCATAAGTTATTCCTTCCCCACCACTACTGCTACATAAATAAGGGAATATTCTCATTTTGGATATGTGAAAATGTATTGTAAATAAAATTTTTACATTACTTCTGTTCACAAGAAACTTACTGAGCCCAGCAAGACTGTCGCCTAAATGTACTCACCAGACATGATGCAGGTAGTAATTCTACAAGCATCTACACTGACAGGGCTACATAACCATAACAATGATTTCCAAAGATGTCATAAAATGAAAATACTAAAGATAGTAAAAGGAAAGCACATCTGTTTTACATATAACATTACCTCACATCATTTCTCTATTATTTCTATTGTACTTTAAAAGAATATTTTAGTTTCAGGGAACAAAAATCATGCTTGAAAGTGCAAAGGTCACTAAGGCGATGTACATCCCATTTTTGCCCCAAGGCCTTCAGTGTTTCTAGTTTACTTCAATAAAACATTGCCTAGCTAGTTGGTAGTATTGCTCCTCAGGACCTCGTATCGATTGTGACAACTGACCCACATAATGATCATCAAGTAAGCTTACATATCTCTGCTGCCATTTGGCAAATGACATATCTCACAGATTTCAGAGCATTGAAATACAAACAAATCCAAAATGAAGTTTACCGTATTAGAAGGACAGACCTATAAGGCAGATCCTTCTAGCAAACCCACCATACAAAAACAAGCATTAAACCCTGAAATTAAAAATACTAAAGTTACTGTTTCATAATGAACATTCCAAATGCACATATAAAAAAAGTATGATTATTATGAATTTATTTAGGGCCTCCCTGGTGGCCTAGGGGTTAAGTCTCAGCACTATCACAACTACCACCCGTGTTCAATCCCTGGCCAGGGAGCTAACCTAAATGTGGCACAGCAGACCTCTCCTGTCTTGCTCGCTGCTCCCCTCAGCAGTGTATTTCAGTAGATCTGCCGTTCCCCACTCTCTCTGGTGAATCCTCTCACCCTGCCCCCCACCACCTCTGGCCTATACCCCAGTTCTTGTATGCATAAATAAATAAATAAATCTTTTTAAAAAAGCATTTATTTTAAACAATGTCTTTGTTCCATCAGTCTTGGATTATTTTATCCATCACGAGGATAGTGTAGAAATTTTTTGAAATAAGATAGATTTAGGATTCCAGCTAATATTCAGGACAGACATGCCAGTTACGCTAGAATTAGAATTATAAGCCATCTCCTAGTGAGTTCCTCCAGGATTCTGTGTGTGAGTTCCAGGACCGAGCCCTTGGGAATGGGGGGAAGGACATATGCAGCATGACAGCCTGAAATAACTGTCAGAGAACAAATGCAAGCTACTAGCATGTGTGGTCTGTGATGGCAAAGATGCCCAGTCACAACTGACAGACAGGAATTGAAGGAGAGTCCACAGGTTAAGGAAAGACTATGTTCTTCCAGACTATTGCATGTTTTTTGCTGAAAATTGATGTTCTAAATGATAAGTTTAGATTAAAAAACACCAACACGGAGTTAAGGTAAGTAAAGTGTGCCCAAGGTGGTCACATACTCCAAATAGCTCTTTGGATTAAACTGCCATTAAGACAATTGGGATCATTAAGACAATTTGGTTTGACTTTTAAAGAACATCAATGGCAATGTTCCATTTGATAATGACACTGCAATTTGAATTCTAACAACTATCATGTCATTTATTAGTTGTCAAATAGTTTTACAATTGGTTTCATGATCAGAAAATATAGGATGATTTCAGATTTGTCTTCTTTATAAAACTGTTGAATTTCTGAAAACACAAAGAAAACTTGCTTTCTAAAAATGTCAGCTTTGCCACATGATGTTCAAAGATCTGACACCAAAAGGCTCTCAAGTTTTACCATCCACGGAATCTTTGTTGGTAACTGAGACCCATCTGCTGTTTTCCACCTGAAGCTAGAAAGAAATAAGACAATTATTGTCTACGTTACTCTGAAAATAAAAATTGCAAATTTCAATAGTGAGTATTTCATTTTGAATTTTCCTTTAAACTGTGAGTTGAAGATATGCTCTCACCTTCTTCAGTAGTTTATAGCAAAGTGAAAGAAGTTGGACCAAGATAGCCATCATGGATCTTGTCTTTGTAATACACTTATCAACCTGGAGTGGCAGAAAGTAAGCCAATCAAATGTTATCACAAGGAGTATATGTCAAAAGACACTATCACTTACTTAGCTTCAAAATGATGATATTTCTCCCTTATGGAGCTGACATGAGCAGCCCGAACACAAGTGCAGGGATTTCTGCCTAGTTCTCATGACTATTTCATGGGAACACCCAGAAGAATGAATGAGAAATCAACCTTTCTACATCCGGCTATTTAGGAGCTACTCAAAGCACTCTAAATAGCAGCAGTGAACTCCCTACTTTCCAATTTCTTGGCTGGCGTAAGTGCAAATTTCCTGAGACAAAATATGAGCCCATATGCAGGGGAGTTTGTGCCCTAGTTAGAGCAGTGATGACATGAGGATTTAAGGGCAGCAGCTCCGTGCCAAGGAATTAATTATGACCAAAAAGCGAATTTATCTGGTGAGTCTACTGCTCCCTGGAGTCAGTTAAAATTGCTGATAATGAATGATTCTTACAGTCAAGGCACAAAAATTGGAAATAAATTGCCATTCTGTTAGTATTAATATTTTATTTGGTGAAAAGGAAGCTGAGAGTTAACCTGGTAAAAAAGTATGAAAGTTTCGCAAGTGTCTACCTGAAGAGCCCACCCTCCCTTTTACCTTCAGAAACACCTGATTCTGCAAAGGTGTCTTAGTTATTGTCTGGAGCTGGTGGCATAGAGGAGTTAGCTTGTTTATTTCCAGGAGAAGCATAAGCTTGTCGTCATCTTTCAGCTGAAATGTAATGTAGAAAGTTAAAACAACTCCAACAAAACTCCATCTTTGAAATCTTAAATATCTTTATATCTTAATAATATACTCCCAAAGTGGGTAATCATGACATCACCCCCAGCACCAGGCAGGTTAGGCTGCATTACCTGTTTTGAGAAAGCTTGTACACTTGAGGCAAGCTTTAAGCCCTCTTCAGCAAAAACCTGGTGGACAGAAAAACACTACTTTAGATATATGTCTTAAGGATAGTTGATAAGAAATATTCTCACTCATAACTTTCACATAGAGTTTTAACACTAAAACAAACATAAAAGATGTCATAGAACTAAAGTTTTTCTCATATCCAAGAAAAGAGTTTAACTGTATTCAGGATATTTCCCAGGCCTGATGCAAAATCAATGCAAGGAGACGCTCCTCTTACATCTGCTCACCACCAGTTACACTAGTGGATGACATGGACCTATGACTCTGAGTTATCCAAAATATTCCTGGGCTTCTGAGGGAGTCTAGAGGTCATCTCATGATATCCCCTATTATAAAAGGGTGATGAATCTTAGAACATGAGGTCAAAAGGGTTAGAACATTCCTACTTCCAGTTAAACAAGATAAAATGTGTCACTCCTATACAATCTTTAACCAGCCATCTCAGAGGACTAATGCTATTGGTTATTTCTGACCATTCACCACATATGTCACAAGTTATTTGGAGAACAAGATGATAGGAAAGAACAGTGGAAAACTGAATATATAAGAAAGGAATATTCAGGATGATTATTTTTATTTTTTATTTTTATTTTTTTAAAGATTTATTTTATTTATTTATACAAGCACTGGGTACAGTCAGAAGCACGGCACGGTGAGAGAATTCACCAGAGTCAGAGCGGAGAGCAGACAAAACAGACAGACTGACAAAGAAATACACTGCTGAGGGGAGCAGCGGGCGGCAGGAGAGGTCTGCGCGCCATGTGGGACCCTCGCCCGGCGGCCAGGGATCGAACCGGCGCTGCAGAGGCTGCGGGCAGGTTCGCAACCCAGCGCTCAACCGCTGCGCCACCGGGGAGGCCCCAGGATGATTATTTTTAAATGGTACGTAGAGTATATTAGAATGAGAAATCCCAGGAGAGTAAAGGGACTTAACTAAGGTGGCATCAGCAAGAATGACAAGAACAGGGCAAATCTGAGAATGATTTAAAAAAAAAAAAAAAACAGGTATTAATGATAAATTAAGAAAAAATATGAAGAGGGAGACAACTGATTAGGGCTAATTCTAACCCACCAGTGTTCTTATTTTTTTTTAGATTTATTTTTATTTAATTATGCATACAATAACTGGGGTGCAGGCCAGAGCTGCAGGGGAGGTGAGAGGATTTACCAGAGACAGAGTGGGGAAAAGACAGGCAGACTGACTGAAATACACTGCTGAGGGGAGCAGCAGGCAAAACAGAAGATGTGTGCTGCTCCATGTGGGTTAGCTCCCTGGCTGGGGATCAAACTCATGCTGCAGTGGCTGGCATTTGCTTGATAGTGCTGAGACTTAACCCCTTGTGCCACCAGGGAGGCCCCTCCCCCACCAGTGTTCTTGCTATCACTGGATAGACTGATATCAAGTTCAAATAGTCCTTGTACCTTCCCTACCTTTAAAAAGAGTAAGTTTGGAGATGGGCGGAGCAACATGGCGGCGAGGAGACGCTGCGAGTAAGATCTCCCATTAAAAAAAGTGAATAGGGAGGAAAAGCGGCAGGTCCCAGTGAGAACTGAGACAGGGAAGATAAACGGACGACTCCAGCAAACTGCCCGAAGAAGAAAGTTGCCATAAAAGAGGACGAGAAGGGAGGGAAGCGCAGAACCCTGCTCCCCTCCCCCGCCCACAGAGGCGGCACTCTCCGACCGGCAGAGACGAGGGAAACAACAAACCAAAACGCCCAACAAGAAAAACGGATGCAGCAAGTGGGACTGTGAGTGGAAAGGAACTATTTCAGCCACCACACCCCGTGAACGGGAGCTGAGGCGAACCCTGCAGGATCCGCCGCGGAGGTGAGCTCCAGGTGCCAGTAAAGAGAGCCCCGCCCACCAGGAGGAGCCCAGCACCAGCACACAGCCCCAGCCGCCCGGTAAGCTTGCGCGAAAGCGGCGCTCGGATTGCAGCTGCCCAGGGCCCTGCGCCTGCGACCTAGGCTTGCGGGGAGACGGCGGAGGCCCTCCCTGAGTGAGCAGGAACAAGGTGCCCAGGCAGGGGAGCGGGATTCAAAAGGCGCCATTCCCGCGCCACTGATCTGGGCTACAGCCCGCGTCCTGGAACTGAGGGCTTTGGAACTGAGACCCGGGCGGAGGCCCTCCCTGAGTGAGCAGGAACAAGGCGCCCAGGCAGGGGAGCGGGATTCAAAAGGCGCCATTCCCGCGCCACTGATCTGGGCTACAGCCCGCGTCCTGGAACTGAGGGCTTTGGAACTGAGACCCGGGGCACGAAATTAGGGGCGCGGGTTCCCCACGACGGTGGGGCACAAGGCAGACACAGCACCCCAAAGCCGTTGAGGTGTACCCTACCATCCCCGCTCTGCTCCCTGTCCCACGGGGTGGAAAATCAGCTCCCCAAGGGCTCTAGGAGAGATCTCTGGTGCCACCTAGCGACTTGACCCCAGCACAGGCTACTGAAGGAGCTAGTGGCCAGCTGGGGAGTTAGCCCACACCGGGCCCCTTCTGAACAAGTAGTCTGAGCCCACAGGGAGAGCGAGCACCCACAGCCGGGGCAGACCAGGCGCGCAGAATAGTGTGCCTGAGACCAGAAGCGCAGGGAGTGTGTCCCACATCACCATTTTAGAACAGGGACATTTCTTCAGTAAAGACTACCTGCAGAAGGCTTCCTCAGGAGCCAGAGGTGAGCGGGGGAAGTTCGCCCACGCCAGAGCCCCTCTGGCCTGCAGTCCAAGCCCAGAGGGGAGCAGGAACCCACCGCCGGGGCAGACCAGGCGCACAGGGGAGTGTGTCCCCACATCGGCATTTTAGAACAGGGACCTTTCTCCAGTAAAGGCTGCTTGAAACTGACAGATGACTCCTGGAAGAACCAGAGGGGAACAGAGAAGCCCACCCAAGATGCCGGCAAGTCCCAACAACACAGTGTCCCAACGCATACGGCAAATTAGAAAACAGACAGTAGGGAGGAGAAGAACCACACGCAACCTAGCAACTCTCCAGAGAAAAAGCACACCACAAAAAGAAAGCCAGCCCCCAGATTGCAACGACAATAACTTGGAAGAATTTCTGAGCCTTCCAGAAAGAGAATTTAAAATTGCCGTGATTAAAAAACTGACAGAAGTCATAAAGGAAAACAATGATAAGGGAAAAATAATCAACGATCAGAAGAATGCAATTGAGTCCCTAGAGAGGGAAAACAATGGTCAGAAGAAAGAAATTGAGTCCCTAAAGAGGGAAGTAAAAGAAATGCAGGAGATCAAAGAATTAATGGAAGAACTAAAGAATTCTGGGAAAAGCAATGAAAGCAGAATAGATGAAATGGAAGAACGAATAAGTAATCTTGAAGACACAGAAATAAAAAGAACCAAAACAGAGAAGGAAAGAGAAGTACGAAGGAAAAAGAACGAAGAAAGACTTCGGGAACTATCGGACTCCATGAGGAAAGGAAATATAAGAGTTATAGGAATACCAGAAGGAGAGGAGAGAGATGTAGGAACAGAGAAAATATTCAAAGAGATAATTGAAGAGAACTTCCCAAATGTGAAGAAGGAGCTGAAAATTGATATACAAGAAGCAAGAAGAACACCAAACTTCCACGACGAAAGGAAAAATACAGCAAGACACATAATAGTAAAGCTCCCAAGAATCCAGGACAAGGAAAAAATAATGAAGCTGGCAAGAGGGAAGAAACAGATAACATTCAAAGGAAAACCAATCAGGCTGACATCAGACTTCTCCGAAGAAACACTACGGGCAAGGAGAGAGTGGAGGGACATAGTCAACAGACTCCAAGAAAACAGATGCCAACCAAGAATACTCTATCCCGCAAAGCTCTCCTTCCTCTTTGAAGAAAGAATATGGACCTTCCCAGACAAACAGAAACTCCGGAATTTCATTGCAACTAAACCCCCACTCCAAAAAATACTACAAGGAGTTCTAAAGCCAGAACCTCAGAGCGACGAATAACAATGAAAGAAGGCCAAAAAAAAAAAAAAAAAAGTTATTAAAAGAATAAATAAATAAAATCAAAGGAAAGACAAACACAATGGCAAATACAGATGTTAACATATCAATATTAACTCTAAATGTAAATGGACTAAACTCTTCAATAAAAAGACACAGAGTTGCAGCCTGGATTAAGAAACAAAACCCAACTTTTGCTGTCTCCAGGAAACACATTTAGCTACAAAAGATAAAAATAGGCTCAAAGTTAAAGGATGGAAAACAATCCTACAAGCAAATGGACCAAAAAAGAAAGCAGGAACAGCTATACTTATATCAGATAAAACAGATTTCAAACTCAAAAAGATAAAAAGAGACCCCAATGGTCACTACATTATGATCAAGGGGACAATACTTCAAGAAGAAATAACACTCATTAACATATACTCACCAAACGAAGGAGCACCAAAATATATCAGACAACTGTTGTCCTCTCTGAAAACAGACATCAGAGAAAACACATACGTAGTGGGAGACTTCAACACACCACTATCAACAATGGATAGATCAACAAGACAAAAAATAAGTAAAGAAACCAAAGCTCTAAATAAAGACCTAGAGCAATTGGGCTTAACAGACATCTATAGAACACTAAACCCCAAAAAAACGGAGTACACATTTTTCTCAAGCGCACACGGATCATTCTCCAGGATCGATCACATACTGGGGCACAAGACAAACATCAACAGATACACCAAGATTGAAATCATATCAACCATCTTTTCTGACCATGAAGGCATCAAACTAGAAATAAACCATAAAAAGAAGGCAAGGAACTTTCCTACCTCATGGAGATTAAAAACCACACTACTGGAAGACCATTGGACTAATGAGGAGATCAAAGAAGAAATTAAAAAATTTTTTGAATTGAACGACAAGGAGGACACCAATATCCTAAATGTATGGGATGCAGCAAAAGCAGTAATAAGAGGAAAATATATAGCAATAGAAGCTCACATCAAGAAAACAAGAAAGAACGCAAAGAAACAACCTAATCTCGAAGCTCAAAGATCTAGAAAAAAGAACAACAAGAAAACCCCAAAACCAGTAGAAGAAAAGAAATAATAAAAACCAAAGCAGAAATAAATGAAATTGAAACTAAAAAAACAATCCAAAAGATCAATGAAACCAAGAGCTGGTTCTTTGAAAAAATCAATAAAATAGACAAACCCCTAGCCAGGCTCACAAAGGAAAAAAGGGAGAAAGCACAAATAAACAGGATCATCAATGAAAGAGGAGAAATCACAACGGACACAGCAGAAATCAAAAGAATAATCAGTAACTACTATGAACAGTTATATGGAAACAAGTTTAACAATCTAGAGGAGATGGACAAATTCCTACAACTCTACAATCACCCAAAGCTAGATAAGAAGAAATAGAACACCTAAACAGACCAATTACAATTAGCGAAATTGAAATGGTAATCAAAAACCTCCCCAAAAACAAAAGCCCAGGACCTGATGGATTTACAAATGAATTCTACCAAACATTCAGAGACGAATTAGTGCCTATCCTTCACAAACTCTTCCAAAAAATTGAGAAGGAAGGGACAATACCAAACACGTTCTATGAAGCCAACATTACACTAATACCAAAACCGAACAAGGACAACACAAAAAAGGAAAACTACAGGCCAATCTCCCTAATGAACACTGATGCAAAAATCCTCAATAAAATTTTAGCTATCAGAATCCAACAATGTATCCATAAGATAATTCACCACGACCAAGTTGGATTCATTCCAGGGGCACAAGGATGGTTTAACATCCGAAAATCAATCAACGTTATCCAACACATCAACAAAAAGAAATATAAAAACCATATGATAATATCAATAGATGCTGAGAAAGCTTTCGACAAAGTGCAACACCCATTCATGATAAAAGCCCTTGAAGTTCTTGGGATACAAGGAACATACCTCAACATCATAAAGGCCATCTATGACAAGCCAACAGCCAGTATCATTCTCAATGGTGAAAAGCTGAAAGCAATTCCATTAAGATCTGGAACAAGACAAGGATGTCCACTCTCACCATTGCTTTTCAATATAATACTGGAAGTCCTAGCCAGGGCAATAAGACAAGAGAAAGACATCCAAGGAATCCAAATAGGAAAAGAAGAAGTCAAACTATCACTATTTGCAGACGATATGATATTATACATAGAGAACCCCAAAAACTCCACAGAAAAGCTAATTCAACTCATCAATCAGTTCAGTAAAGTGGCAGGATACAAAATCAACACGCAAAAGTCAGTAGCCTTCCTATACACAAACAATAAATCTGAAGAAGAAGAAATCGAAAAGACCATCCCTTTTGTTATTGAAACAAAAAAAATCAAATATTTGGGAATAAATCTAACAAAAGAGGTAAAGGACCTATACAAAGAAAACTATAAAACACTGTTAAAAGAAATAGAAGAAGACACAAAGAAATGGAGAGACATCCCCTGCTCATGGATTGGAAGAATAAACATTATTAAAATGGCCATCCTTCCAAAAGCAATATACAGATTCAATGCTATTCCAATCAAAATTTCAATGTCATTCTTCAAAGAAATAGAAAAATTATTGATGAAATTCATATGGAATCACAAAAAACCCCGAATAGCCAAAGCTCTCCTGAAAAAAAAAGAAGGGAATGGAGGCATCAGACTCCCAGACTTCAAACTATACTACAAAGCCATAATCATCAAAACTGCATGGTATTGGAACAAGAACAGACATACAGACCAATGGAATCGAATAGAAAATCCAGAAATAAACCCACAGATTTATGGTCAACTAATCTTTGACAAAGGAGCAAAGACTATGCATTGGAGCAAAGAAAGTTTGTTCAATAAATGGTGCTGGGAAAACTGGGTCGCTACATGCAAAAGAATGAAGCTTGACCACCACCTCACACCATACACAAAAATCAACTCAAAATGGATTAAAGAACTAGACATAAGACCTGAAACCATAAAATATATAGAAGGAAATATAGGCGAAACACTACGTGATTTGCACATCAAAGACATCTTTACAGACACATCACCCAAAGCAGTGATAGTGAAGGCAAAGATAAACAGCTGGGACTATATCAAATTAAAGAGCTTTTGCACAGCAAAAGAGACAATAACAAAAACAAAGAGAAACCCCACCAACTGGGAGAACATTTTTGCACCCAACACTAATGATAAAGGACTGATCACAAAAATCTGCAAAGAGCTGATGAGACTCAACAACAACAAAGAAAATAATCCAGTCAAAAAATGGGCAGAAGAGCTTAAAAGAAACTTCTCTGAAGAGGAAATGCAAATGGCCAACAGGCATATGAAAAAATGTTCAACATCACTTGTCATCAGGGAAATGCAAATCAAAACTACCATGAGATACCATCTTACACCAGTGAGAATGGCACATATTAAAAAACTAGCAACAACAAATGTTGGCGAGGGTGTGGAGAAAAAGGAACTCTTCTGCACTGTTGGTGGGAGTGCAAACTGGTCCAACCACTGTGGAAAGCTGTGTGGAGATTTCTGGACCTACTAAACATAGAGCTTCCATATGACCCAGCAATTCCACTCCTAGGTATTTACCCAAAGGACACAGAAACATCAATTCCAAAGAACACCTGCACCCCTATGTTTATAGCAGCACTGTTTACAATAGCTAAGCTTTGGAAACAACCCAAATGCCCAAAAATAGATGACTGGATCAAGAAGATGTGGTACATATATACCATGGAATATTACTCAGCATTCAAAAAAGATAAACACATGCAATTTGCTGCAACATGGATGGCGCTGGAAGGGATCATGCTCAGCGAAATAAGCCAAAAAGAAAAAGAAAAATACCGGATGGTCTCACTCATAGCAGGAATCTAGAAAACTTAAATAATGGACCAGGAAAATGAAAAACTATAAGAAAGTGAAAATCAAAATCAACAAAAAACTATGAACCAGAGACACTTTTAGGGGCGGGGGCGGGAGGGGAGGGATTGGGGTCAGAATGGGGGGCGGCAATTGTATGGGGAATATAACAATAAAATTTATTAAAAAAAAAAAAATAAAATAAAAAGAGTAAGTTTTGCATCTAGATTCTAACCAAATGAATTGACTTACTTACCCATATGTTCTACACCATTCCATATTACCACTTTGTATTTTACACATCTTATCTTTCCTCTAGCCTACAAATCCAGTGGGGTCGAGATATAAGATCTATTTCAGACTACCTTAAAGATGACAACTCCCAAATCTCTCTCTCCATTTCTGAACTATTGTGACAGCAATTTTGCAGATCCACTTGAACAAAACAAAACGCTTGATTTCTACCTTTTAAATCTAGCATTTTCCCTCAGTGTCCCCTATCTCAGAAAGTAGCACTGCCACTTACCCAAAGTGGCAGCCAAAAACCTATATAACATAAGTTGGATCATGCCACTGTGCCTCCAAACACTCACTGGGGTTTCTATCATAGTTGAAAAAGAACAAAGGTCATCACAGAACCACAGAGAGGCCCTACCTTACCACTTTCCTTCTGGGTCACTCCATTCCATCCCAACCTGCCTCCTTATTGTTCCCCAGATACCCCCCAGCCTATCCCGAAAACTTAGAGCCTTTGCACTTACTTTGCCTAAAATATTCCACCCTCAGATATACATCCTGTTCACTTCATTAATATCCCTACTCAATTATTACCTCCTTATAAAGAGATCTTTTCTGACCACCCCTGTGGCTAGCCTGCCCCTCCCTTATCTAGGAAGGGACATTATGCACATTATACACTTAACTTTTTGTGGCCTAACTCTTCCCACTAGAATGTAAGCCCCATGGGAGCGAGGGCTTGGTTTTGTTCACTTTTCTCCACAGGGCTCTTATTCCCAGGGTCTGACACACAGGACAAACTCAGTAAACATCCATTGACTCTCTGTGCTCATCCAGTTCACAGACAATTCTCCAGACTTTGGTTTAGTGAATAATCTCACACAGAAAGAAGGTGAGGAGTGGGTCTTCTGCAATGAATTATCTCTATGGTGTGGTGTGACTTTGAATGGACACAGACCATATGGAAAGGAATGAATCTGGAATTTAGTTCAAGTGTTTTAAGGCAAATAGCTCATTTATAGTCAACTTTACAAAAAAATCCAAAAGAAAGATGTTCTGTAATTCTTCTGATACTGCTGATACTGTGGACAATTGTCCTCTCAAGCTGAAACCCCTCCCAAAGAGGCTCAGCATTCTTTGGGAAAACACATGGGGGCAGCTGGGAATGCCAAAGGAAATCACGTGAGGTGGCAAAATGGCAGAAATGTCAGATGTCCAATCTGAGATGCTCTTGGTTCTACGAGTGGCAAACACTGATGTGAGACTGAGGGAACACAAGGAAGGAGTGCAGCCGTCCACCGGCCATCTAAAGCCTCTAGCTGGGGGCGATTAGAAGTAGGCCTACGTGGACATGCACTGGACTAGGCAGTGGGCTCGGCATGGATCAGGAGGCACACACAGGAGCGCACGGTGGGAGCTCTCAGCAAAGCTGTCTCTCCCTGGATGCCCTGAATCATCAGGGATGCGGAAGAAAAGAAGGGCGCGTACACTCAGGACTCTCGTGGCCTCAAGCATAGGACAGCTGCTCTCTTGTGGGCCATGCAGTCAATATCATTCATCCCAAGTCAATAATGAATTGGTTTCACCTGGCCAGGAAAACCAAAACCATGATTACATCCATTGACTCTCAAAGCTCATTCTACTTTGTTCCGACAGTGGTTAACTTTTTTCCAACAAGATAACCAAAAAAGCTGCACAGAATGCTACTGCCGGTCCTCTGCTTGTGCACTTGTGTATCGCTCTACAGTACACTGTGTGTGCACAGCTAAGCATACAACAGGATACAGTAAGTCATTTAGAGAACCAGTCATCACCCACTTTTAGCCCAGATTAAAGTAGCATAAAATGGAAATAAAACATACCTCTAGTTGATGAATTAAATCCTGGGAAGTTTTCAGTGGCCCCTCTCCCCTAAAAGAAAATGAATTATTAAGGAGGTAAGAAAAAGTTACCACCTGAAATTGATTTTATAATATTAATGTTCTAGAGCATTTTGTGTATTAACAGATCCCAAAATCTCAGGAATAATATTGAATGCTGAATTTTCCTTTTTAAGCTTTTTGATTTTGCTTCATAAATTAAACATGTGAATCTAATAATAAGTCTTTTTTAAAAAAGATTTATTTATTGTGGGCCTCCCTGGTGGCGCAGCGGTTGAGTGCTGGGCAGCAAAGCTGCCCGCAGCCTCTGCAGTGCCAGTTCAATCCCCGGTCGCTGGCAAGGGTCCCACATGGCATGCAGACCTCTCCTGCCGCGCCCGCTGCTCCCCTCAGCAGTGTACTTCGTCAATCTGCCTGTTCTGTTTCTGGCTCTGGTGGATTCTCTCACCCTTCTGCCATTCTGACTGTACCCAGTGCTTGCTTGTATAAATAAATAAATAAATCTTTAAAAAAAAAAAGATTTATTTATTTATGCATACAAGAACTGGGGTGTGAGCCAGAGGTGCGAGTGGTAAGAGGATTCACCAGAGACAGAGTGGGGAGCAGAACAGACAGATGTACTGAAATACACTCCTGTGGGGAGCAGCCCAAGACACAGGAGCGGTCTGCTGCACCATGTGGGTTGCTCCCTGGACAGCTGGGGATCGAACTCATGCTGTGCTATAGTGGCTGGCAGTAGCTTGATAGTGCTGTCTTTAACCCCTGCACCACCAGGGAGGCCCTGATAATAAGTCTGAACCAGTCTTTCTTACAGGATTAGGGAATATCAGATGGAAAACTACCAAAAAGGATTCAGACTCTACAAATGCATTAAGAAGAGCCGTGGACCAGGTACAAATGAGAAGATCTGAAATACAAGTTGCTGGTTCTGCCCTTTAACCACTGTAATTTATGCAGAATTTATTCCCATTTTGATGAACTGTTGTGAGGATCAAATGAAATTATGAACCAAGAACACTTTAAAAACTATTAAACTCTGGTAGTTTGAAAATTTTTTTAACTAAAACTCCAGTTAAGGGCCTCCCTGGTGGCACAGGGGGTTGGGACGCAACCTATGAAGCTATCTGCAACCACTGCAGCATAAGTTTGATCCCCGGCCAGGGAGCAACCCACATGGTGCAGCAGACCTCTCCTGGCTCGCCCGCAGCTCCCCTCAGCAGTGTATTTCAGTCAGTCTGCCTGTTCTGTTCCCCTCTCTGTCTCTGGTGAATCCTCTCACCACCCACACCTCTGGTCTGTACCCCAGTTCTTGTATGCATAAATAAATAAATCTTAAAAAAAAAAACTCTAGTTAAATCCTAAATAAAGGAAATATGAATTATATGTAAATCATTAACTTATAAAAATTAAGATAACCTTATAAAAATGTTATATATAAATTACTAAGAAGTTACCCAAATTACTAAGGTAACCTTAAATAAGAGCCAAGGAAGCGCTATAAAATTGTCCAGGAAAACTATTACTTTTGATCTGCGTCTAATCAATCACTTGTATAAAGATTTCAAGGGCAGGGGCCTCCCTGGTAGTGTAGGGGTTAAGTCTCATTGCTATCATACTGTCACTGCTTCGGCCTAAGTTCAATATCCCGTGAGGGAGCTAACCTATATATGAAGCAGCAGACCTCTCCTGTCTCACCTGCTGTTCCCCTAGCAGTGTTTTTCAGTAAATCTGTCTGTTCTGCTCCCCAATCTGTCTCTGGTGAATCTTCTCACCCCCTGCACTTCTGGCCTACATCCCAGTTCTTTTATGCATAAATAAATAAAAATAAATCTTAAAAAAAAAAGATTTCAAAGGCTTGTTTTCTAAACTTACTAATGCTGGCTGGGAGAGACGTGGATATACAGGATGAAAAAAAAAAGCAGAATGCAAAATCATTTCAAAATTATGCAAAGAATGGGATGCAAACCTAAAAGAGAATCTCTTCTAAATCTAAATTCTCATGAAATAAATGTCTTCTTGTTGCATTCACTTAACTGTCATAAGAACGACTTATAGTCTTATAACCATAGTCTTTTTACACTTGTAACTGACCTTCACCAATCAATTAACATGGCACATTTTGTTTACAACAAAAGCTATATTTACCTAGTGAATAAATACAGCGAATAGGCCACACTGGACATGTTCCGTCCACATCGAACAATCTCATTCTCCTGATCCTCCCACTTCTCAATCTCGCAATTGGCATCAGAAGTGAGCAGACCCAGCTTCAGTCCAAGCTTTGCTACTTTGGCCTGTTCCTATAAAACACAGATTTTGATCTAACAATTTAGTGATTGTTGATGGAAAAGCAAGACTGAATGTGAAACCACTGCAAAGAAAAGGTTCTTACCTCAGAGTCAGGCTTGTCTGTCTTTAGTGATTTTAGGTTTGCATTATTCTTCTGTGACAATAAAAAGATTAAATTTCTTAAAAAGCAGTACATAGAAAGCATAACAAAGAAATAAGATTTTTAACACTTTCAGTGTTAAATTATATTAAATTGGTTAAATTAAACAATATTAAATTGGTTAAATTAAACAAGTAATTGCCAATATTCCACCAGTGTGTAAGTTTAGCTTTGAACAGGTAGAGAGTTAGAAATCTGGGTCCAGAGAAGGCAGAACAGTACCCTCAAAGGACTTAAAGACTTTTGCAGTCTTCTCAGACTCTAGTTTTTATACTCTCAAACCTTCCTGGGCTCTGTTGAGTTATTCTTATGAAATGATGAAATAAAATTAGTCATTTCATGTAGATTTCCATATACTCCTAATATCAAGACTCTGAAATTGTGTTCCTTTCACCAATTTTGTCCTTTGAGGGTAAATTTTAGCCTCCCAGTCTCATTGACATCCCAATGCCTAATCCTGTACCCCAGAATGTACTGAGATTATACTTAGAATTTAGGATTTAATATTTGAACCAGCATATTTGATGGACCCCTACTTCTGAAACAGCAAGTTTGTTTCTAATGTAGGCTATTCGGAGCTAAGAATACACTTCTCGAGGAGAGGATAAAAATTGTACAATAGTCAGGCTACCTGGCTGGTCCTCAGATGCCTATTTACTTGAGAAACAGAAACCACTACCCACAACAATATCGAGAAGTTATCTGGAGACAGCACCCAGGGTGGGCATTCCCCTCACTCTGAGATCCAGCGGGATTCCCCCTATAGGGACTCGTGGACATGCAGGGGCCTGAGTTGCGGGTAGCCCTTTTTTAAAATATTAATTTAAAAAAGTAAAAATGTTTTCATGAGTCAACCTTTTTAAATTTTTTAATTGAGTACATCTTCACACATGAATGTAGAGTATAAATTATAATAAAGCAACATACTCATGTGCTTAGCCTAAAATACAGATCACAACCAATACAGTGGATGTTTATATGTACCTCCTGTTCTTTTCCTTTTTTAAAAAAAATTTTTTTATAGATTTATTTTTTATTTATACAGTAGCTGGCATGGGCCAGAGGCATGGGAGGGTGAGAAGATTCACCAGAGACAGAGTAGGGAGCAGAACAGGCAGACCAAAGTACACTGCTGAGGGGAGCAGCAGGCCCGAAAGGAGAGGTCTACCGTGCCATGTGGGAATCTCCCTGGCCGGCTGGGAATCCAACCCATGCTGCAGAGGCTGCAGACAGCTTTACAGCACTGTGCTCAAACCACTGAGCCACCGGGGAGGCCCTCCTTATTCTTTTCCTTATTATTACCACTACTTGTTACCTATAACAAGCTAACTATACTGTCACCAGTTTCACTGTAGAATAGACAGCCTCGACTTTTCCCTTTCTTTCTTTCTTTCTTTCCCTTTGGTTGTATTTGCTCATTTAACACAAACTTTTTGAGATTTTCTAATGCTGTTTACTATAAAAAAAAAAGAAGGTAATGGACAGAAAAAAATATATACAGGGGAACTATAAAGTTACACACATACAAATAGAAGTCATCACTAACATACAAATAGAAGTCATCTTTAGTATTAAAACTAAACAGAGATGATCAATGATTTCTGGAACTAGTTTCTCCTTGTAGCATCACACACAGAAAAAAAAGACTCACCATCTTTATCTTCTTCCTTAGTCTACTAGACTATACCAAACATTTAAGAAAGAATACCCTGGAGGTCTTATTTTATTTAGATTTTTTACATCCTATCTTGTTCTTTTAAATGTATTTACAAATTATTATTATGAAAGTATTAACAGAAACTGAAAAGGAACTGCCTGTAAAGTATATCATCTTTATAAGATGATCAAGCCTGCCATCCAGTGGACACTGTTGGGAAATACAGTCAGAGGCATCAGTTTCAGTTTCATGAAGGTAAATATTTCAAGTCCTCAAACATAAGTAGAATTAGATTTTTTTTTTTAAATAATAAATTTTATTTTTATATTCCCCATACAATTGCAACCCCCCCCCATTCTGACCCCAATCCCTCCCCTCCCGCCCCCCACCCCCAAAAAGTGTCTCTGGTTCATAGTTTTTTGTTGATTTTGATTTTCACTTTCTTATAGTTATTCATTTTCCTGGTCCCTTATTTAAGTTTTCTAGATTCCTGCTATGAGTGAGACCATCCAGTATTTTTCTTTTTCTTTTTGGCTTATTTCGCTGAGCATGATAGAATCAGATTTTGATTTCCATTCCCAAGAGGGATGCGAGGACCAATGCCCAGATAATATATTATATGTTTCTCCTATATGTGACATATTTTCAAGGTAGAAAGCATTGTGAAAGTTCTTGATCTGTACAAAATGATTCTAATATGACCTTTTGAGTTAGACCCCTAATATGGAGAATAAAAAGACCTCTGACTTAAAATCATGACTTCTTACTATTTGTAAAATGTCACTTGTTCCTTCAACTTCCCAAACCCAAAACAAGTAATCAGAGTGTGGCCTATATCTAGATCACTACTCAATAACTCAGAAGAATCAACATTTAATATCCTAACATTTTCTGAAATGCCACTTAAGGGTGATGAGTAGCAATAGATAACAAAAATCATTAATTTGAATTCTGAATAAAAAACATTCTGAAATATACAAAAGAACTCTACTTACCATTGACTTTGGAAGTGAAAGGTAGCCATACTTCTCTCCTACAAATAATACATATAACTTAAAACAAATTTCCTATTATTCACATTTAATTTTTTAAATATTAGTAAATAAACAGGACTATCAATAATTATTTTTGGCAACTTAATCTTATTATGTGGTTCAGAAATAAAACTGCAATTTGATGGTGACATAAGGACTGTAAACATTGCATCTCTCAGGCACCAAGGTTGGCCAGTCACTGCCTCCTCCAACATAAAAGCAGAAAGGCAAGAGATCTCCCTGACATTTACTTGTATTTACAACCAGCTTCACTCCTTCTTTTGCAGCTGCCTGCCTTTAATAAAACTAGATTCTTCTTTTATAAGTACTAGTTATCAGTGCTTGCTTCTTTTTTCTGCAAGCACCAGACCAAAACTTTTACAGCTAACCTCATCATGCATTCTCCCAGTAGGAGAAAAGGACAAGTCTGATGTAAAAAGTAGGAATTAACAAAAAGCAGGAAGCACAATAACTAAGGAAAGGAAGGTGATGTGCAATGCCCCCTTTACCCCTGTGCTCTATCTTTCCTGCTTCTGGCTCATGTATAAAGTCAGGTCACAATGGATGACAAGCTTTTTTTAAATTAGTTATATCTGGGGAAAGAACTGGAGATAAGATCTGAACAGTAATTGTTTCTTGATTTCAAGGAAAGGAAATATGTTCAGTTTTAATACATTAAGTAGTAGAATCATGTAATTAAAATGGTTGCTAATATCAACCATCTTGAAATACAAAAACAGCAATTTCATATGGTTCCACCTAATAAAAGCAAATGTAATGCAAAAGCACTAAACCATGCTCTTTCTTTTTTTTTTTTTTTTTTTTTTTTTATAGAGGCATGTTTCATTTATTTATTTGTTTGTTTGTTCGTTTGTTTCGTTTATACATGCACTGGGTACAGTCAGAAGCGCGGGAGGGTGAGAGAATTCACCAGAGCCAGAGCCGGGAGCAGAGCAGGCAGAAGGACCGAAGTACACTGCTGAGGGGAGCAGCGGGCCGCAGAAGAGGTCTGCGCGCCATGTGGGACCCTCCTCTGGTGGCCGGAGCAGCCGGGGATCGAACCGGCGCTGCAGAGGCTGCGGGCAGCTTCGCAACCCAGCGCTCAACCGCTGCGCCACCGGGGAGGCCCTAAACCATGCTCTTTCTTACAAAATGGCTATTACATGAACAGGATGCACCTGTTCCACTGTGCTGTGGAATATGGAATCTACTAGCTGCATAACAGAAACATGGCCAGGCTCAATTGAAATATGGGTGTAAGTGTAAAATACATACTGAATTTTAAAGTCTATAATGCAAAGGAAAAATTATGAAAGATTTCATTAATCCTTTTAAAATACTGATTATAAAGTAAAACAATATTTTGGATATATTGGATTAAATTAAAATGCTATCAAAATGTGTTTCATCTGTTTCTTTTTTAATTTTTCTTATGCCTCCTAGAACATTTTTAATTAAATACACTTCACATTATTTTCCTATTGGACAGTGCTGCCCTAGAAGATGAATTGTCACTAAAAGTCAGCTAATGGCACTTGGGAATAGCTTTATGATTCAAATCATTCCTTTGTAATGTCAGAATTGTAAGAAAAAATTACTATGGTTTTCAGATCTCAAATGTGAGAGAGAAATAAAACTTGAGGAAAAGGCTATTTCTATGCCTTGCCTCCTAGCCCTGATATAAAAGTAACTGATTTAGCTCTGAGAGGATTAACAGAGGATAGTCTTCAGGTCACTTAGAACCTCAAAAATCCTATCTATAACATCCTAATTTTTGAGGCAAAAATTTTTAGCTAAAGCTAAAGAAGAGATCATCTGCCTAGTATTCAGCTTGAAAGTAAGAAACCCCAGTGACATGTAGTGTCAGAAAAAGTATAGTATTCTTGGGCCTCCCCGGTGGCGCAGTGGTTGAGCGCTGGGTTGCAAAGCTGCCCGCAGCCTCTGCAGCGCCGGTTTGATCCCCAGCTGCTCCCCGGACACTGGAGGAGGGTCCCACATGGCACGCAGACCTCTCCTGCCGCCCGCTGCTCCCCTCAGCAGTGTGCTTCGGTTCTTCTGCCTGCTCTGCTCCCGGCTCTGGCTCTGGTGAATTCTCTCACCCTCCCGCGATTCTGACTGTACCCAATGCTTGTATAAATAAATAAAAAAAAAAAAATCTTAAAAAAAAAAAGTATAGTATTCTTCTCTTTCAGGTCTGGTCTACCCATAGTGGATGCTAAAACCTGTGCTAAAAAGACTGTGGAGCCATGTGTGAGAGCAGCATGAGCAAAATACCGACACCAAACAGCAACTTCTAAGAGGGAGTTGGAAAGAGGAGTGGTAACACTCATGATATATGTTGCCTGCTCTGATCTAGTCTACCTTCTTTGTTTGAAAGATGGGAAACTGTGGGACAGAGGATAAGGAACCTGCTCAAGGGCACACAATGAGAAAGGGAGAACAAAACATCTGCCACCTCTAATTATAATGCAAACACCATGATAAATTATTTCATTTTTGTTCACTGAGATAAAAAAAATATCTGAAATTCAGGAAGCCAGGTAATATGCCCAGATCACCTTTACTAATAGATTGTTCTACCTCATTATCTCTTCTGTCATTTACTCAGCCAGATCTTTAGCTAATAAGCATTGACCAAAATAAGAGTCTAGTCTCCCTGTGCTCACTTGCTTGTTCTGTGTTCTGCCTAAGATTAGGATCTGCCTATCATTTCTGGAATGGTGTGGGGAGATTAAAAAAAAATGCAGAACTCACAGCTGGGTCTTGTTCCCAGAGTCGGTCTGTTCTCTCTAGAACACTTTAGGGTTGGCATGGAGTTTAACAGGTGGCCCCTGGTATGTGGCTGGTTAAACCTCATCTTTGGCATCACTCACACCTCAGTGAGATTTACTCACAGGCACACCCTGGGGACAATTATTTTAAGCTTCATGTTTCTGGAAATAAAATGTGCACAGAATACCTGCTTCACAGGGTTACTGAGAGGGCTAATGAGATGATGGGTACAAGGAACTTGTCAAAGTAGCTGGCCTACAGTTAAGTGGCATCAGAGGTGGAAGCTATTGTTATTTTATGGTTGTACCTTTATGGTTAGGTGTCTCTGAACGATCACATTGACCCCCACAGACCTGAGGAGCCTGTGGTTTTATTTTTCACTGAACTTCCCAAGCTGTTTTTTAAAGAGGCTAATTTTGATGGGAGAAAGAAGAATCTCAGAGACAGAAAAAAGGGAGCACTGGATCATGCTGCACCAGCTGTGCTGTGAGAGAAAGCCTTCAGAGGGTGGCGATTCCCCATGACATCAGCGGAGCTTCATCTGCACAGAGAAGCAAGGGCAGGAGCTCTTCCGTGGGGACAGGACATGGGCTCGGTCTTCTACCAAAGCGCCAGACAGGCTGGTACCAAAACAAGGAGCAAGGGAAAGGAGATGGGAGAGAAGGAAGAAGCAGGAAAGGCTGAGGTCTGGCGGGGAAAGGGGAAGGGAATGGGCCCCATGTTTTCACTTCAGTGATTTAGCTTTAGTGTAAGGTAATAGTAGGGAAGACAATGATGTTGAGGAAAAGGGTATTTGTGGGAACTTATTTAAATTTATTTATTTTATTTAATCTTCACCCCCACTTCCCATGAAGTAGTTATGTCATTGTTACCGCCAGTTTGCTGATATGAAAGCTGAAGGACAGCAAGATTAATTAGGAAGTGGGAGAGGCCATAGTCTGGTTTCAGAGCCTGACCTTGGACTTCTATCCCATTTTGTCCCTGGACATGAGATTATAATACATGAGATTATAATCCTTTATTTTCTAGGAATGAAAAAGATAGACCAAGAACAGCCTGGCTTAGAAACTTCAAGGACCCCAGATACACAGATGAAGAAGAATCAGAACCCCATGTCAAAGAGACTAGAACAAAGAGGACTTCAGTTTCCTTTCCAGGGGCAGATAACATTGAAATTGCTGGCCATGGACACAGAAGGAGCTTAAACAATGATGACTCAGCCAAGCCCCAAGTTCATATGAATGAAAACAAGGATGCATTGAAAACAGTATGAGAGAAACCTGTACCAAGTTGAATGCTGCCAGAGAGAAGGGGAGAACCTGCTGGCCGGTCGGTTAAGAGCCATACTCTTTTTGGAATGGCTGTATCTATTAGTGGGGTGCTCTACAACACACTTTTTACATATGGATGGAGTTGGATCACATGCCAGAAAAACAGAGGGCCACCCTCTGCCACTCCTACCCACCCCCTGCAACCTCTTACTTTCATGAACTGGTGACACCTGATTAAAAACAAACAAAAATGGAAGATAATATTAAAGAGAGGCAGGTTGATGGATGCCCACCTAGGGGAGCCTCCACGCCCAGCATTCAGAGCACTCACTGACTTTGGGCAGCATTCCCAACAACTTTCAGAGCTGGCAGGAACCTCTGAGATCACTCAACCTAAGGTCGTCACCAATGAGAAGAGAACACCCAGGCCCAGAGGGGGAGGGCTTGGCTGAAATCGGTTAAGGAAGTAGTGGGCTTGCAGATGCCCTGGAGACCCAGGCCAGGTGTCCTTCACCACACCACACCACACCACTGCCCTCCAAATTTCCTAAACAATTCCTAAGTGGATCAACTGTAACACTTTCTCTTTTATATATGAAACTTGCTTCATATCAAAATCCATGTAACTATAAAAATCTCATCAAAGCATCAAAATGATATCTCATTCACATTAACTATCACAAAGATCATTAAAGGTAAAAGTACAGTAAACATTTATGATATTTTAAATGATATTATATCTATAAAGTATACCATTCCCAGATTTTAAAGCAAATCAGTATTTATCCTAAATATTCCCAAAAATATGGACTGTTTAAGTGTTCATATTCAATAAAAATACATAAGTTGATGTTATTATGACTTTAAATGACATTTTATTTTTAAAAAAAAACAAGCAAGCTTGACGCTAACAAAAGTCATTCAAAGGGAAAAATATATATAAACATAAACATATGAAAATAAATAATAAAACACACAGTATAATGGAAAACACAACTGCCATAACTGCCAGTTGCTATTAAAATTAAGAGTAAAAATTCATGCCTTCCCGTACACTTATGGTATTATTCTACATATTGCAAAAATACCAGTGAACTTACCCACCACAGGAAATATGCCAAGATTATGTAGTCATCAAGGAAAGAGATTCCATACAAGTGAAAGGAAAGCAATTCAAAAATCAAATAACTACATTCATTTCATTATATTATTAGTAGAATTACTCATAGAACTATTGTATACAGAAGAGCTTTTATACTAAAACTAAAACCAATTTAGAAGAAATATGAAATGACAACTTCAATAAGAAAACTAGAGTATTAATATTAATTCAAATATTAATTCTAGTGTTAATAATTAACACTAGTGTGTTAATATTAATTCAAATAAATCACAACACAATTGTTCAACAGATTTTACTGCTTTGTCACTAAAATAAAGGACAATTAATATTTTCATATTTTTGTAGAAGAAATTATACAATAAAAATAACCAGTTGGGTTGTAAAAAGATAATTCATTTTGTATCTGAGATTTGACATAAAAAACTAACTAGGTTGAATTAAAATAACAGTATATTTCGTAAGTGGACAGTTTCTCACCTCGTCTTCCTTCAAACACATCTTTGATTTCTCTTAGCAGTGGTGACATGTCACTAATTTGGGATTCCCAAGCTTCACAAAATACATCTAGGTTTTCTTTAGCGATTTTACTAGAAGGATGCAATGTCAATGTTTCAGCAGCAGAAATTATCTAAGGAAACACAATATACACAGGTGTGACTTTTAAAACCTTAGTTATCAAAGTAAGGGGGGGTGCAATTGTATGGGGAATATAACCAAAATGAAAATGCATACATTGTGCAAAAATGAAAAATGATGTAAGAATTATATAAAACAAAATATAAAAAAACCCTCAGTTACCAGAATCACATCAGAGACCAAACTTAAATCTGTATGTTCAATTCAATTCAATAAAAAGTTTTGAAGCAATTTCTACACATAAGTCCCTGTTAAACAATATAGAGATAATAGAACAAAACTTACTGCTTCTTATAATTTGATCTACAGATAAACAGCATGTCCTAGTATATACAAATCTTTATTAAGGGAGCAATTATCTTTAGTCAAGGAAAACTTCTTCAACGAAATGATTTCCATAGCGCAATTCAGAGTTCTGCACAGATAACAAAGAGTGTGCTGTATACTCCATAGAAGAGGTAGTCGGAGTGTTGGTGGTGGTAGTGGCAGTGGTAATGGTAGTGGTGGTAATAGTAGACATAATAAAAGTGGCAGCAATAGTGGTGGTAGCAGTAGTAGTAGCAGCAATAGTAGTAATAATGGGCAGTGGTAGTGGTGGTATAGTGGTAGTAGTAGTAGTAGCAGCAGTAGCAGCAGTAGTAGTAGGCAGTAGTAGTGGTGGTGGTGGTGGTAGTGTAGCAGTAGTAGTGGCACACAGGTTGTAGCAGTGGTAGTACTGAGGGTAGTAGTCTCAGATGCACATACCTATGTGTAGTGATAGATACATTCCTGAGACACTGTATTGGGTGCTTGATAGACACAAGCATTAATCCTCAAAAACAAATAAACAAAACACTACCCTTCCCAAAGAAGCATTATTCCCATTTTACAGCTAAAGAAAATGAGGCTCAGAGATACCAAGTAACTTGGTCGATATCATGTAACTAGTGTATGCAGAGCTGATATGGGAACTTAGATCTGCCTGACTCAAAGCCCGAACTCTTCCCAACATATCACACTGCCTCTCACAAGACACAAGAAAGTGGTTAGGAACCATCTCAGTACTTTTTTACACCACCCTGTGGGTTTAGTTTGGTCAGTTTCTTTGTTTTAGTGACCTGACATTTAATAGAAATTATACCTTACCTTCACCTGAAAACATAACCCACCAACCAAACAAAGCTTACTGAAATTTCTTGATCACTCATTCAATAAAGCATACAAAGAGAGAAAGATCCAGGGCCGGAATTAGGACTTTTGATGTGTGCATTTTATCTCCCTTCCCTTTTGCTACATTCACTGCTAGTCAGGACAACAGGCATTGATTGATTCTGTTTGCCTTGTAGGTCTCACAGACTGAGGATGTTACATCAAGTACTCAATTGATCAATATTAATACTTTATAGCTACTAGATGTCAAAGCCATATTAGGAGCTGGATATAAAATGAACTTCCAGAAAACTGATGTGGTTAGTCACGCTGCCTTTGAGAAAATGAGAACTAGATGCTCATCCTGCTTGGGCCAGCCCCACAGGCACAGGGCCAGGCAAGCAGGTGCCTGCTTGATGAGAACAAGGCTCCCCATACTCAGGGAAGGTGTGCACATGACTATGGGCTGGGGAGCACTGTCCCATCTCTACCAGGAACCACCAGGCTGTGTGCAGACTGCTCAACTATTCCCTGAACGTGAGCTAACATTTTTTTTTTGATCTAACATTTTAAAGGAAACATAAAAACAATATTGCTAAAACATAGATATCCAGAAATAATGCAAACTGTCCCAGAGGCATGCTCTATTGCCTGAAATTATCCCTTTGTGAGACAGATGGCAAAGGCGAGGAGGAAAAGCTGAGGCTGTGGGAACAGAAAAAGCCTCCCAAGTTATAGAAGTTGATAACAGGCTCTCTCACCATGCTGGGGAAGAAAATAAGGCTGCAATACTCCTGCTGCAATAAAGACAGTAAGCAGAGAATTGAAACCAAATAGCAAGTAGGGCCTGAGGAATAACAAGCTGGTTGCAAATGGCAGGAAAGTCCTTTAGTTCTACCCCTTTAGTTCTACTAAAATACATTTAAAAGCCAAGGCAAGCAGGATGACTGCCAAGTGACCAGGCGAGTATGGAACCTTGGTTTCTCCCAATGAGCAGAGTTCCTGTGGTTATAAGAAAATGTTCAGCAGCTGATCACTGCGGAGACTCACTCCTACATTTCCTGCTTCTGTGCATCTGACACCGGTCTCTAAGGTACACATATAATGATGCCCCCAACACCCAGTGCAGCTCAGCTAGCGGCATACACCACCAATCCTGCTGTGCTCAACTAATCCAGGGGCTCCACTTCTATCACCCAAAATTGCAATTAGCGGTTAAGTTCTTTGGGCCGACTATGAAAATGAAACAAGTGCACTTTGTAAATTATATTTTAGAGCTTACCTAAAAAAGAAAGGAAGTCCTATCCCTCACTTTATCCCCTTAGATTAATATGACAGGGACAGTATTAATTTATTTATTTATTTTTTTAAAAGATTTATTTATTCATTTATACATGCACTGGGTACAGTCAGAGGTCTGGGAGGGTGAGAGAATTCACCAGAGCCAGAGCAGAGAGTAGAACAGGCAGCGTGATGAAGTACACTGCTGAGGGGAGCAGCGGGCGGCAGGAGAGGTCTGCGTGCCATGTGGGACCCTCCTCTGGTGGCCGGGGAGCAGCCGGGGATCAAACCGGCGCTGCAGAGGCTGCGGGCAGCTTCGCAACCCAGCGCTCAACCGCTGCGCCACCGGGGAGGCCCGGGACAGTATTAATTTAGATGCCAGTGGCTTAATGGTCTTTGAAAATTATACAAAGTAATATTATAGGAAATTCAGGGGAAAAAATCACAATTCTCCCAAACAAGCACAAGAACTTTCATTTCTGCATATTTCTATATAGGCATTTTTTTAGATATGTGTACTTTAATCAGTAGAAATTATAGTACATGTACAAATCTGTATCTTGCTGTAAATAGATTCATTTAAAATAGATACAAGGCTGCACACCTGAGACCTGTATGTTATAAACTAATGTTACTTCAACAAAAAATGAATAAATTAATCATAAAAAGGTTGACTAAATAAGTAGATATTAATGAAGGGGCCAATCTCTCATTTGGTAGATGGCCAGATAACCCAACTGAATGTCACCTATCCAGCCACACTACCAGAGAAAGTCCCATTATCTTTGTTTCTCAAGGTAGATTTGGCCTCTAATTACACAGAACCATTTATGTCTTCCTTCCACACAATTCGTTATGACACTCACAAAAGACACTATATAGAAGAAACAATTTGCTATTGCTCATACCTGTTGGCCAGTGACCTGGAATGTCTCCTCTGCATGTAGACAGGTAATTTCAAGAGGTTCTGTCCCAGACACGTGACGTAACAGTCGACAGGTCTGTGAGGAAACGTTTCTTTAGTTCAACTTTCACAGGGTCACTCTTCACAATACACAGTATTATTTTATAATCAATAAAGGAAACAGAACTTCACACATATAACTTATCGGAAACTATCAAGCCTATTTATTAAAAATAAAGTTATATATCACTGAGATTATGATAATGCTGGATTGTGGTCTAGGAACCATGCAGGAATAAATAAGGTTATAGTGTATTGCTTCTACTTCCTGTCTGATCAAGGCAAGGTGATCACAAAATGTTAGAACTGGGAGGAATTTTTCCAAGTGTCTAATAGTGCCCACACATTTTACAGGGGAACGTAGCTCAGATAAGTGACTTTCCCAAGATCTCTCGGTTAAACTATGTCAAAGTGACTACAAATTACACATTCTACCAACAAACAACATTTCCACCCAGATTAATCAACACACCTTTCACTGGAGATAACATTGGAATAGGCAAGACAAATGTAATGAGTAGAGAGCCTATATCAGAGAAAATGATTGAAAATCATGAAACTTAAAACATAGTTAAAAAAATTCTGCAGGATTCCTATAATTTGCAGGCTTTCCTAAAATCAGAACACTTAGTTTGCAAACATAACAGACCTGGGGTAGTCATACGATGACTATAGTCAGCAATACTGTTCGTAGTTTTTACAGTTACTAAGAGTAGATCTTAAAAAAAAAACTCTGTACCATGTGAGGTGATGGATGTTAACTAAACTTCTAGTGGTGAACACTTCAGTACATATATCAAATTGTTGTATTAAACTTACACAATATTATGTAGCAATTGTATCATTAAAAACTATAAAAGAGATAAAATCACATCTACTTTAAAATGGACATATACCTACAGTCATTTTAAGAATATTCCCTAGCAGGAATAAACAAGTAAAGGAGACACAGCAGGTCTGGATAGTCTAAAGTTTCCTTCTAACTTTAGTCTTTGAGAGTCTGTGAGCAGGATATATTAGAAATAGGAAGACAGCAAAATGATTCATACCTGAGCATTTCTACACATGCAGGATGTACCCCATATGTACACGGTAAATTCAACTTACCTAGATATCTTTCTTAGTAACAGATGTCTGACATTTTCAGTAGGTAGAAGACTTAGAATATCAAGCAATACTTGGAATTATTACAAACATGGCAATTAAAGCATCAGCAACATAACAGAGATTTGGGCAGCAAAGGGGAAGCTAGAGAAGAAATATGTGCTGCATGCCTTTTCTGTCCCCCCACGTCCAGTATCCCTTTTCATACTTGCCTCCCACCCTGGGGGACTGGCCAATATGGCCTACCGCTGTGTTTGGCCAATAGGAGGCCTGGGGAAAAAAGCAGCAGGGATGAGTAGAGTAAGGACTTGTATCTAATGGGCTGACCCTGCAGGGCACTGTGGCTACTTTGTGTCTACTTCAGAAATCACAACTTGTCAGGACAGCTCTGAAGACTCTAAGCCCTTCCGGTTCCCAGTACCACTGACTGTCCCTGTCAATTTGGACCTAAGAGTGACATCAGCTCTACTATCACTGACCCAAATTATTGCATACACTTTCTATGTGGTTGTAAAGAGCTCCTTTATTAGAAAATTCTTTTAAGTATCCCAGCTCAAGTGTGCCATCTCTTTCCTGCTGAGATCTCACAGATTCAAACAGAAATAAGGTCAATACAACATGTCTCAGCTGCTCTACAATTTCTAAGCTCTCTGAGAGAATGGGAAGATTAAGAAGCATTCTAGTAGCTTGTGTTAGTTGTTTTTGGAGGCCAGATCATTGTAAGAATAGAAAAGATAAACACTGTACCTTTAGAATTCCAAAGGAGAGAAGATATTCATATAAATTAACCAAAACCTGTATTTGTGTTAATATTCTCGGATGACAATACAGCTGCCACTAAATGGAAGTGTCTATAACGAGCAAATGTATTACTCACCTCAACAAGCTGCTCTTTCTGCTCCGAGAGTTTGCAGGTATATTCAGTCAAACCATCTATATTTCCTTCTACGCCAATAAGTTTTAATGCTTTTAGAGTCACGTGATCGGTGTGGTATTTTAAGAGATCAGCTGCCAGCTGAGTTGCTGTATTATGAAGCTTTAGATGTTGCAGGGCAAGAGGTATGAAAGAGAGAATAGTAAGATTTGGTGAACAAGCATTTCATGAACACATAAGAACTAAACAGTAGCAACCTGGAAGCAGCAGCACTTGATTCTTGTGGGGGCGGAAGGGGTTTAAAAATGACTGGTGATAGCATGTCCTATACAGCACTGGGAGTCTCTAAGTTCTCCCAAGGGTGGTGTTACTGCCACACCTCTGTATAAACAGAATGCTGTTTATAGAAGATGAACTGATCACCTGGTGGCAGAGTACCCAGTCCCTTTTCCCATCCTACAACCCTCCAGTTCTTTCCACATAGTTTTTTTTTTTTTTTCCTTTCACTTAAAAAAATGCTTCTGCTGCTCTTAAAGTTAGTGAGAAACAGAACAGTATTAAGAGTAAGGTATTCAGAGTAGAGGAAAACAAAGTTGCAGTAAATGATCAATAGCTTTTTTTTCATAGATTTAAAACTGTTTTAACCTTTGAAAAAGTAGCAATGAGATCTAGTCAATTATATATTCAACAGAATCCTGTTAAATACCTGTATCAAGGCAGAAATGACATACAGACTGGACAGGTGACAGTTGTCCAGTCAGCACCCAGGTGAGAGAAACCCTTCTTGGGGCTAGAGGTGACTGTCTATCTATAATTGCTATCCAGAACTTTACTCTTTAGCTCTAGAACCACACTACACCACAGGAGAAATGACAGCTAGAAGAGTAACAATATCCTGGGTTTTACTTGACTTTGGGTGAATTTTAAGCAATGCTCACCCTTACTGGAGATCTTTGGGCCCTATTAATTCCAATATTTATTCTTCCCCTTATCCTGACATTTTTTTAATGATTTGATAGGTTTTAAATGATGTGTTCTCTCCAGAAAAGAGATCATTTTAAATAACAGTGTCCTAAGAAAATCTGACTTTGAATTAAATTGATTTGAATGAAGTGATTTTTTTTTTTTCCTGGATGAAATCCAATGTTGATTCAAATTACAGGACTTTTTATGAAATTAACAATGGGGTAGTCTGCATTCCTGCAATCAAGGGAGAATAATTACAGTCAGAAACAAAGACATTAAATGCACTTTCCTTGGAAACAAAATACCACATGGGAATTTTTAAAGATTTTGTTTATCAGGTCTTAGGAAATATCTAATGCTAGCCCTTTATTTTAGACTATGAAATAAGTTCTTAGAGACTAAATGACTAGTCCACAATCACATAAATCTTACAGATAGTTCTGGAGAGAACTTCTTAACAACCCCAGGGGATGAAGAGCGAATAAACATGAATTTCCTCCTCTGTACACTCTTGAAAACAGCTTCATAGACATCCCTTCTCAAAATTCTTCTAGGTTGATATTGTTATACCCATTTCAGAGGTAAAGAAAATAAAGCTCATAGAAAGCCACTGTCAAAGGAATTTATGTTCTACTGCTAATCACAGTTTTAATAATAGTCTAATTAAAATGGTAGCCAATTTTTTTTAAATTACAGAAAGTCACACCCTTCTATGGTTAACAAGATGTTAAAATAAAGATTTAAATAGAGGTCAGTAACAAGTGAGAGGTCAAACAGGTTGCCATGTGTATGATTTATAAAAGAAACATCCAAAAGCCAGTTTCATTTTCCTGAATTCCTGACCCTCTTCAAAAAATGTGAAAACAAATTAGAGATAAGGGAGAGGAGAGGCTCTGTGAGGAGGATCTGTCTGGAATGCTGATGTGTGATTGCTGCACATCCCACCTCCAGCACCCCCCAAAGGAAAGGAAGCAACACCACGCAGGGGTTGTAGTAAGTGGGAGCATTGGGGGAGCCTCTGCGGACACATGGAGGTATCCATAGAAAGCCAAGCTCAAAATCTGCTGAGCCCACAGAGTCTTATCATAAGGGTAATGGTGACTAAGAACTTTCCATCTCCCACTTGCTCTCTTCTCTTCCAGAGTCCCAGCTGGCAAAGATCAGAAACAGAGGTCGATAATGGGCATAAAGGGTGTGAAAATGGGGCAAGAGACACACTTTCCCCAAAGCCGCAGGTGTGAGGAGCAGGGACAAGTTCCTACAACTGAATGAAGATGGAAATGCTGAGTAAACATAATAACTTTTGAGGTTGTGTTTAATGACCTAAAGCAGAGATTGGCAAAAATTTTTGTAAAGGCCCAGATAATAAATATTTTAAGCTTCTCAGGCCACACACTCTCTTACAATTACCCAACTCTGGGTTAGGATGAAGAAACAATAGACAACATGTAAACAAAGGGGCAAGACCACATTCCCAAAACTTTATTTACAGAAACAGAGAGTTTTGATGTAGTAGAAGCAAACCCCAGACTTAAAGTGATTTTCAGTGACCTGAGAGAAATCAAGTTAAGTCATGGGATGAACAAATTTTCATTCAGCCACAGGGAGACTGTCTCAGCCAAAAGAATATTTTTTTTTTTAAATCGTCTCCTAAAATACCAAGAGTAAGTACCAAGAGTATTTACCAAGGGTAAGTACCAAGAGTAAGTTTTGTTGAGTTCTGACATTAAATCCATGTAACCACCACTACAATCAATATTCCCACTACCCCTAGTATTTTCCCCAGGCTCCTGTGTGGTCAACGGCCTTTAATTATTGACCCCAGGCAGCTATTGGCCTGATTATTATCAATATAAATTAGTTTTGTGCTTTCTAGAATTTCTTCTAAATGGAACCACCCCCCCCCACACCCCCCACCATACACACACACATTCTGTTACGGTTACTGCTAAATAGTACCTGTACAGTCATACCAAAACTCACTTACCAATATCAGTTCCCCTGTTGATGGAAAGCTAGGCCATTTCCAGTTTGGGGCTATTCTAAGTAAAGCTACTGTGAATATTTCATGTAAAAGCTTTGAGGATGATGACATTAATAAAACAGTGGTTCAAAATAACTAGGTCAAAGGAAAATGTTTTAAATCTGGGTGCAGGCACATACTAATACTAATGATTTCACACAGGCCATGTAGTATGTAAGTAGCAAAGAAAAGAGGCTAAATTTCAAACTACACTTACTTCTTTCTTAAGTTCGTTGAGGCTATGGATGATTTTCAAAATAGTAAGTTCCAGTTCTTCAGCAATGCTTTTTGTTTTCATGCTTTGCTAAAAATTTTAAAAAGAATATGTGTAGTGTTACTCATAGTTTTCATCTGTAATTTTAGTTGAACTATGAATTATAATAAATTTTTATATCAATTTACAAACTATAAAGGAAAGTAGATTTTTTGAAATTCCCTTGTTTATGGTTAGAATGTAAATTAGAATTTTAATTATTTAGTTGTATTTTCCCACTCCATAAACTAGTGAATTTCTTAAATCTAGTTTTCTTCAGTAAAAGTATCACATCAAAAACTAATCTGTCTTCTGCTTGGAATGCTTGTCTGTTCATTCAGATTAGTTTAAAATGAAAATATCTGCAGGTCCTTACACAAATGTCTCACAGAATGGCCTTCTCAGATCACAGTCTCAGTTAGACCTCCCTCTTATCTCCTCAATCTTTTCTAAAAAAAAAAAATCCTAGTTTGCCATTGTACATTTACTTTTTGATTTTTAAATTTTATTATTTTATATATATATATATTTTACATCATTCTTCCTTTTTGTGCATGTAAGCTTTCTCCTCTAAGGTGTAGTCCCCATAAAATTTCCACTACCAATTGACCTGTGCACCACCACCATAGTTCCTTGTGCTCTTCCCACCCTGTTTTGATCCCTCTCCCTCCTCCTCCTCTGCAGAGTGTCTTTGATTAGTAGTTGCATATTAATTTTGTTTTTTAATTTACTATAATTTTTTTTCCTGATCCCTTGTTTGGTTTCCCCTATATTCCCCCTATAAGTGAAACCATCCAATATTCTTTTTCTTTCTTTCTGGCTTATTTCACTGAGCATAATGCCTTCCAGCTCCATCCATGTTACTGCAAATGGCATGAGTTTATCTTTTTTGATTGCTGAATAGTATTTCACTGTGTATATGTACCACATCTTGATCCAGTCATTTATTTTGGGGCATTTGGGTTGTTTCCATATCTTACCTATTGTAAATAGTGCTACAATAAACACAGGAGTGCAGGTATCTTTTTGAATTAATGTTTTTCTGTCTTTGGGGTATATTCCTAGGAGTGGAATTGCTGGGTCATATGGAAGCTCCATTTTTAGTAGTTTGAGGAAATTTTTTATTTTTTTTGTTGTTGTTGTTGTTTGCTTATTTAAAGACTATGTTCCCCACTAGGCCTTGGTCAGCTCCATGAAGGCTGAGGTCACAGTTATTTTGCTCACCACAGAATCCAAAGTATCTGGCATAGCAAATGGAATGGGCAGTGAGTATTCACTTCTTTAAATGACTGACTCTAAATTAAATACCAATATCCTCATAAGCCTTGATCCCTCTCCCTAAAGACGGATTCATCCTCCTTCAAAGCCTCTCAGGATACTTATAAAGCGTTTTTGTTCTTGTCTCACCCTTTCCCACATTCTTCTATATTGCAAAACTCTTGCAAACAAAACTTTTACTTATTCATCAATAAACTTCCAGTGCTTGGCATATAAAAGTCACTCAGTAACAAGGGCTGGAAAAAATTAAATGAATGAACAATTTGTCTGGTATGCCAAAGCAGAGACCCGGGTGCTGGTGAAATAGGTGTAAGGTGCTAATTACAAATTTAAATAGAATTGAATTTCCAACCCAGGGAGCATATCTGCACAGTAAGTCTTTATACTGAATATTGGGCTTATAACACAGAAACAATCTATCCTTGAGATTAGATATCAAGCTAAGCACAAAATATTGCTGTCTACCCTAGGATCAGTTCCCCTGCTAATGTGAGCATTTGCCATGACATGGTGCCATGAAATTATTAAAGAAATCTGTCATTTATATCTACTCTGCATTCACATGTCAATCTGTTTACAAGGAAGTAAACTGCTGCTTCCTTCAGTATACTCTCAGCCAGACTCACCCTCCTTTTTATCTTTACTGCCAAAGCTTTTGCTCATGACTTCCAGATTTGCTCTATCCATGCTGTATATCGTAAACCATGTAAACTACTTTTTGGTCATGACCCATGTCTAAGAAATAAATAAATGGTGCCAGAGAGGTCTTTGGAGTCTCAATTTTGCAATCCAGGCTCTAGAAGAGTGGTGCACACTCCCTGTGCTGTCCCACTTCTGTCTGTCTTTACCACTCTTGCCCAAAGAACTTGCATGTTTTTAAGGGCACCGAGCAGCCAATATTGAGACTCGGTAAGTGGCGGCCTACCAGTTTTAGACCAGGAATCTATACAAAGGTAAAAAGTCTTTTACCTGCCAGCTGGATCTACTCTCGTCTTCATTGCATCTAGACCTCAAAAAGTTTTCTAAATTGTTGTGTCTGTGACTCAGCTGTCCTCAGAGTAAAGAACTGTGCACATCTGCATGGCTCCAACCATGAGATTCAGGTCCCAGGAACCTCTAGGTAGGAGTCTACTCCTCTAATCTTCATTCTGAAGAAGCACTTTAGGGAGGAATTTTCCAAAGATGAGTTTGGTGGGAGAATGGGGGCAATAGGTGCAGCTTGCAACGGTGACAGTGACTCAGAATCCAGACTGGCCAGGGTAAGAGACAACCGGCCTGGAAATGTCAACTGCAGTGAGTGCTGGACAGAAGGGTGCCTCAGCCAAGGGGGAGGGAGATGAGGCACCAGACACCCTTGCCCTGTCCTGACCACATTCACACTGCTGGTTGTTTTGTTAACATCCACAGCTCTGTGAACATTGGGGGAAAGCTACTATATAAGATTTTCACTGATAAATTGCTGTTTTTATGTTAACCATTCAGGAATTGTTAAGGAATCCCTTGCCAAAGTAAGGGAAGGTTTAGCTAGACGTAAAAAGGAAAGAGAGGCTCAGCAGGGGTGGTTTGAATCTTGGTTTAATGCCTCCCCATGGCTAACAACCCTATTGTCAGCCGTTGTGGGACCTTTAGTTTTGCTCATGCTAATGCTAACATTTGGCCCTTGTATAATCAATCGCTTGCTTGCTTTCATCCGCGAACGGGTTAGCACAGTACAGTTGCTGGTTTTACGCAGTCAATACCTACAAGTAGAACAAAATCAACTGTGAGGCTAGGATTAGCCTCCTCTCACAGTTACAAGAAAAAGGGGGGAATTGTAAGAACTTAAAGGACTAAACATAGCAAGACAACAGCCATTTTAAGGAAAATGACCGTTTTAAAGAACACAGTTGTCCATTGCAGGGTAAAACCACAAGAACCACAAGGCCAGGGTGAATGAAACTTAAAGATTGCCAAAGAAAGGCACATAATCAGATTGAACTTGGTCCCTGTTGTGAAAGGTCCCCTTTCACTGATATGAAAGGTCCCCTTTTCTACTGTGAATAGAGTATAAAAAACAGCTTGTCACCCTTAAAGGGGTCCTTCTCTCAACCTGATGAGACTGCTGTGTCAGTACACCAGGCAGAGTTGGACCCTAGCTTAAGCTAGCAATAAAGCCTTTTTGCTTTTGCATCTCTGGCTCCGTGTAGTTTTTGGGAACCCCGGACGGAGTTGAGGCGCCAACTCCTAACAAAATCAAAGTTCTTACAGCCTGAATCCACACAGAAATTAACTGCTGCAGTGACATCCGCGCCTGTGTGGACAGTTCCAAGATGCGTTCCCTGTGTTCATGGCTGGTGTAGGCATAATCAGTGAAGTCTTCTGTACGCTCCAAGAGGACATCCAGCATCATAGACAGATTCTCTTTTGACTGGAAATTTAGGTTCTCCCGAAGACTTTCAATATTCCTCTGAGAATAAAAGGGATACACAGCCATACGTGTCAATATTCCCTACCAAAATGGACGGTAATTTCTGACAGCGCCTAAAAAGACACTAGCAGTTTTTTTCCCTGCCCGAGGGCTCCAGTGATGACTATATTTCCCACAAACTGACGAGGACACATTGTTTAAGACCCACCCATGGCCATGCAAGTTCCCTCCCTGTAGACATTAACACAACATTCTTATGAGATGAGTGACTCTAATGCAGAAAGACTATTATCTCTTAGCATCTGGTAGGAAAAATGAAATTGCCCTCAGGTAAAGGATTTGCAACTGAGAAAATGCTGAGGCAAAGTCCTGGAAGATGTTACACCCACATTATGAACACGTGTTGAGCCCCGAGGAAGGGTGTGGAGGGTGTAGGTATGGGAAGGACTGGCAAAGGCATCCATCTTTCCTCCACTAATTCAGCAAAATTCTCCGAGTCACCGAACCAGTCACCCTTCATTTTGTCCTATATCTCCAACAGCACCTGCCTGATCAAAGCATCCCCTACTAGGGTTGATTTTTATATTTTTCTAAAATGTAAACCTACATTGCCACCTCCCCTTCACTGGCTCCTCACCATCTACAGTCTCAAGTCCAGAGTTCTACTGCACAGCACAAAGTCTTCTAGCATCTTGTCTTTAGAGACCTAAAATTCTGACTCACCTGCTAAGCTGCTGAAAAACCTTTCCCTTTGGCCATCTTGCGCTCAGTTTCCTGAACGTGGGATGGGAACATGCTCCCTGGTGCCATCATTCCCTCACTCAGCATTGTAAGACACACTGTACCACTGCAACCTTATTTACATTCTGGCCCATGAAACACGTCACAGAAACAATTTGGGCCAAGAGTCAATAGCAAGGGTGAGCATGCTTGGGGTCACAAGGAACATTTGTTGTCCATCTTAAAGTCCTTCTGCAAATATCCCTTCAAACTAATCCTCACTTAGGACCCATTGTAACATGAAAATGCCAAGATCTGGAAAGGTCAAAAGGCCATAAGGGAAGGCTTGTTCCCTCCTCTTGGCACACACTGTCTCCAGTTGTTGCTTCACCCTAGGTAGACATCATTTATTTATTTATTTTTAATAGAGGCATGTTATTTATTTGTTTGTTTGTTTGTTTTGTTTATACAAGCACTGGGTACAGTCAGAAGCGCGGGAGGGTGAGAGAATTCACCAGAGAGGGGAGCAGAGCAGGCAGAAGGACCGAAGTACACTGCTGAGGGGAGCAGCGGGCGGCAGGAGAGGTCTGCGCACCATGTGGGACCCTTCTCCGGTGGCCGGGGAGCAGCCGGGGATCGAACCAGAGCCGCAGAGGCCACGGGCAGCTTCACAACCCAGCGCTCGACCGCTGCGCCACCGGGGAGGCCCGACAGCATTTATTTTTAAGCAAGGAAAGAACATGGATGAAAGTGAAATTGACAATGAGGATCTAGAGAAGTTAAACAAAATTAGAGCAAAATAGTCATGTGAAGAAACAACATTTATGCTAAAGTTTTTCATTTTCCCTTTAAGAGAACATACATGTTTTTAAACATACATGTTTTTAGTAGAGTCCTTTTTTTTCTTGGAAGGCTATTCATTTATGTTGTTTCACAATATCTGTCCATGTAGTCACAGGACCGAATACACAATCAAGTATCCAGTTTCCCCTACAAAGTATACTGCACATCGGAAGAACATAAAACACCAAAAGATAACCACTGACGGGGACACTGAGTCTCTTCATAACAGTCTGTGCTTCAGAATGCTTGCTGGTGACAGAAGTTGCAGCGAGAACAGCCGGCAGCAGCAAAGGCACAGCAAGGCTCCTCATCAGCCTGGATCCAGAAATGCAACTCAAGAAGCAAAAGTCCTGGCCCAAACCCTCCTGCTCCCCAAATTACTCTTTGACTTTTGACAAAGCATCTCCTCCCTTAGCTTTCATAAAAAGAGGGAATTAGGGCCTGCCTGGTGGCGCAAGGGGTTAAATACCGCACTATGAAGAAATTCACAGCCTCTGCAGCATGAGTTCCATCCCCGGCCTGCCAGGGAGCAGCCCACATGGTACAGCAGACCTCTCCTGACTCGCCCCTGCTCCCCTCGGCAGTGTACTTCAGTCAATCAGCCTGTTCTGTTCCCCACTCTGTCTCTGATGAATCCTCTCACCCACCACATCTCTGGCCTGTGCCCCAGCTCTTGTATGCATAAATAAATAAACCTTAAAAAAAAAAAAAGAGGAAATTAGAAAATAATCTCTATGATCTCTTTCAGCAATAAAAACTAAAAGAATGACTGTCCTTGTGGGTTTTTTTTTTTTCCTCTCAGGAAGTGATTTAGGGTAGGACTGACTTCAAGGTGTAGACTAGAAGGTCATGGGCTTGAGATCAGAGAGTCCTGGCACTTACTAGTATTCCTCCTCAAAATGTGGGAATCATAATGTCCACCTAACAAGGGAAGTCAGCAATCAAGTGAAATGTTTGTTGAGCTCATAGTCCCTGAAAATAGATGTTCTTTCCATTACTTTCCTTAACCCCATGTTCCTACTTAGCCCATCACACAATTACAAGGCAAAGTGCAGTAAAAGCCCACAGTCCCTATCACAGCCCTGTCCATTACATTGCTGGACATACTGGGTACCTTCTTAGGCCCTGGTTTTCCCACCTGTTGAATGAGGGAGTTATGCTTGATGATTTCCCAGGGCCCTCCTGACTCAGACATTGTTCTTACCCAGAAAGCATTTTCACCATTTCTTTGACTTCTGATAGGAAGTTCTGCTCTAAAGTGGGGGTTCTGGAGTCAGACTGCCTAGGTGCAATTCCCAACTCTGGCACTTCCGAGTCAGCAAATTAGTATCTGTTTCTGAGGATTACAAATAGCTAAGTACTCAGTAGGGCTGGCTCAATAAATATGAGCATGTAAATTGTCCCTTTTCTAATTTAAATTACCATCAGCACAAGTACTATTACTATAACTCAAAGTATCACCTTTTGGTTCGGGGAAGAGCAGGAATCCCAAGAGAACAGATCACGTCAGACAGGAAACTGATCAGAACACCAGGAAGCTATAGCTTGACCACCAAGGAACAGGGCTACAGTCACCCCTATAACCCAAAGCTGTGTTCTCAGTACACATGACACTAACCCAGTGTTACTGAATATAAAGTTTGTGCACAGCAGCAATGCCTTAAAAAGAAGCATCTGCTTTTGTGAAGCAGCTACTCTAAAATAATACACAAAGATATGGATATTACATATAATGATGTGCCTTTGAAATGGAAAGAAAAAAATGAAACATAGTGCCTTTATTCTTACCTTAAATTCTTTAATGCCAGTAAAAATACTGACAGATGAAAAGTCAGTCTCTCCATTTGATTTGCAGTCAGTCACAATTTCAATGACCTTATCCAATGCCACTTTCATGCGGTCAAAAACACCATCCTTGTTTTTATGGGCTGATTCACAATTGGGATGCCTGAGACATGTCTTCAAAACAATTGAAACGTTTTTCTTTTAAGATTTGGTCCATATCACTACACATAAAATCTTACAGGGAACATGTCATGCTAATAAAAATGATTCTTTACCAAAATCTCCTGGGTCCCTGGCTCACCCAGCTGTTCTCCTCACTAAAAGCGGAAGCAGGATGAGTAAAAAGCGATAGCAAGGTTAAGTGAAAAAGGCAGAGTGCAACACTATAGACGTCAGTAAGTTTACTTAAAATTCTTGAAAACAAACCAAAACCGCCACCCTATAACTTCATCATGATTAAAACTGTTTTAAAATGTTGGCATACATGTGCAAGAACTAAAAAGGGAAGAGGAAAAATGAACCAATGTTGTGTGACTATAGATGCATTTTTGACTGTTTAAAAATGATGTAAATTAAAAACTTCAAAAACCTCGATATAACATAAAAGAAGACCAGTGGAATCCAGTGAATTTTATTTTGGGAGCTTCAATGATCATAGCCTAAGGTAAATATTCGGAGTAGAAAAGGCAATTAGAAACAAACCACTAATGAGATGTTTACTATCCACTGGTGAACTATATCAAGCTGTTTGTTGGCCAACTGCTGTTTGGAATTACAGGCTCTTGACTGACAACTGACATGTGGAAGAAAGAATTAGAGTTATGAATTTACAGAATAAACAAAGGGCATGGTTACTTAACAGATTCTAACATGCCCAGCTTTTTCTAGAGCAAATGTGCTGGCTCCCCAAGAAGACAGGCAAACCCTGCAGGCAGTGACCATGTATGATCCCCAACATCTAATGCTACTGCAGCCTATATTCCAACTTAACACTTTCACCTTTCTTATAAATGAAAACTACATAAACTGGATGCATTTAATTAGATTTTCTAATTTATAATTCAGTACAACAAAAATTGTCTTACCTTTGAAGCTGTGAGAAGCATCATTGTACACTTTTCCAGAACTGCCCTAGCTGCTGCCATTTTTGCCTTTTTCTTTTCATCTTTCAAATCCTACAAATGACATAAAATCACTGAGCAGGCTAAGATTGGGTAAACAATCCAATTTTTTGAAAAATCTTTCATTCAAAAAATACTCAACATTTGGGAAATATCATTAAAAATGATAAAGTAGGGACTCCCTGGTGGTGCAAGGGGTTAAGCACCGCACTATGAAGCAGCACACAGCCTCTGCAACACGAGTTCGATCCCTGGCCAGCCAGGGAGAAATACACAAGGCGCAGCAGAGCTCTCCTTTCTTGCCCGCTGCTCCCTCCAGCAGAGGATTTCAGTCAGTCTGTGTGTTCTGCTCCTCACTCTGTCTCTGGCGAATCCTCCCCAACCCCCCCCCCTTTCTCTCTCTCTCTCTCTCTCTCTCTCACACACACACACACACACACACACACACACATCTCTGACCTGTACCCCAGCTCTTGTATGCATAAATAAATAAATCTTTTTAAAAAATGATAAAGTAAAAAAAGGCAGAATATAGTTTTATAAAATGTCACCACTTTGATCAAAATGCAGTCACCCGATAGAGTGGAAAGAAACAAATGCCCTTAGTAAGCACACAGAACCAGGAACCGAGACCTGGGAGAGACCGCCACACTCTGGGGCCTGTCACACGGGATATTCTAAGGCCCATATCTACACATGTCACTAACCAGAAACAACCATCTTGTACATTACTTCATTGAAAGTGACTTATTTGTTGGTCATTAGTTCCTTCAAAACAGATACTTAGAAGTCGACTCTTTTAGAGATCAAGTCTGATTAATCCCATCCAAGTACTTATTCACCTCAAATGAGGTCTATTTGTGGTAATAGCAGCCAACTAGCTGCTCTGAAATGTTTTTAAGGTGTTTCTTGGGTATGTAATTTCCTTAACAGGATTGTGAAGGAAGCATTGGTTTTTTTTTTTTTTTTGAAAAATGAAGATTTATTTTAAAATATACAGGATTTATTTAATTACACTTTTCTTTCTATCTTGATCTTTCAGCTATGATCTTCTCTTTTTTTTTATGGTTCCCCTAACAATTTTTTTTTGAACCAACACTCGTTTACAATGATGTTTGTGTTTTAGAGTGATAGGTTCTACATCTTCTCACCCACCACCCAAGCACCCCTAGTCCACCACCATAGTCCACCCACTGTGTTCTCTCCCCGCCACTTTATTCCTGCCCCTCCTCCTCCCTCTCTGGTAGCCTCAGTTCTACAGTCAGATTTCTACCATTTGTTATTAGTTTGGCTTTATCTGACCCTTGGTTTCATTTCTCTATATTTCACATGTAAGTGACACCATCAGGCATCTGTCTTTCCCCTTTACTAATTTCACTTAGCATAATCCCTTCCAGCTCCCCCCTTGTCTCAAATGGCAAGAATTTCATTTTTAATAGCTGAGTAGTAGTCTACTGTGTATATATACCACATCTTTCCAACCCACTCATCTTTTCTGGGCATTTATGTTGTTTCCATGGCTTGGCTGATATAAACAGGGAAGAACTCAGTTTTGATTTTTTTTCTTTTGTTTTCTCTACTTTTCTCTTCCTATAGCCCTTGACAGAATAGGTGTTATTGCAATTTGGACATAATCTGCTTACGACCATCTAAATCAGAGTTCAACAAACATTTTCAATAAAAGGCCAGATAATAATTGTATTATGCTTTCTAGGTCATGTGGTTTCTGTCAAAAGTACTCAATTCTGCCATTGTTGGTAAAAGTGCTGTAGATAAATATAAGCAAATGAACATGGCTGTGTTCCAATAAAAATTACTTATGAACACTGAAATCTGTCATACTGTCAGTCCTTTTCCATTGGTGGGTTGAGTGAAAAGTCTTTTCTCACAAATAACAATGACTTAAAGTTTGAAAATGATTTGTATTTTATTTGTTTAGCAAATCAGAATTCAAAGGCATCTCTATAATATCATCACTCCCACTCACTTGCATCCCAATATATCTTCTTCAATAGGAAAGAAAGTAACACCAAGTACATGAGAAACTATACACAACCCAAAAGCTAATTCAATTCATATGGTCATACCCCAAAGGACTGTGTTGTACATCTAAATATCATCCATCATGAGCACCTGTCAAAAACAAAGGTTGAGGTCACTTCTAAAACTTCCATCCATTCTCTTGTCTTTATCATACTGGATAGTTCTTCTGTATAACAACTGGTGGGTCTAGCTGACAGAGCCTCAAGAGTCTATGCCATACATAACACTTGCTAGTCATCCATGACACCATTTATGTATGGTGACAAGTGATCGAAGGATGGCATCTCAGTCTGTTCCAGGCCTGGCCCATGGAACAAAACAGAGGCCTCAAGAAAACCCGGTTGATCTAACAAGTACTAAGTGAGGCGTCACGATCCAGTCTGCCCCTCTCCAGCCCAATACCCATGGTCCACCTCCAGCAGCAGCCAGTTCATGGCAAAGCCATATCATCTGTGATACCAAAGCATCTCAAGGCCACGGATTATATACTTAATCTGCTGACAAGATGGGTACTTAACCTGTTTGGATGACATATCCAAACTCCCCAACCAGGAAAACTCAATCCTGGATATGGTAAGGACTTCCACCTTCCTACGCCTAGGAGCAGAGAGTCTAAATTAAGAAACAGACCTGACAAGAACTATAATGGTGCAGTTTGAGTATTACAGACTTTAGAATCAGACATAAAGAGTTGAATCTGCTGAAACAGCAACTTTAAGCACCTTTATTATCCTCTCAGGTTTAGTTTCCTCATGTGTAGAACAATTATAACGATACCTACCTTACAAATGTTTTCACAAGTAAGTGAGATCATGTATATTGAGCACCTAAAACACAGTCAATGCAAATAAACACTGGGCTTGCATTATTACTGCTAATCTAATGTAGAATAGTTACAGGAAGATATAATGGCAGAAAAACATATAATAAATTACAGAAACAATAAAAAAAGAAATTAACAACAAAATATGAGAAGAATATATATGAGGACAAGTTATTTGACTAGCTTTGGTTAAATAGGCTAATGGAACATTCCATAAATGAGGAAGTACTTGAGCTGAACCTTGAAGGCAAGTATGACCTTTCCCAGTGCGTGTGGTGAGATCTGCTGTATATGCAAGAAAAGACATACAGACCTACTCATTTTATCTTGGCTTATTTATGACAAAGGCTATAGATTTAGCAAGCAAAGAACTAACCCAAAGGATCACAAAGATCACACTTCCATTCTAATCAACAAGTAAGCATGCATTTGAAGATTCTTAAATGGAAATACATACGTTTTGTCTATCTCCAGTTAGATGTGCAAACTCCACCATTTCATTTCCAAATTGACTGAATATCTGGACAAATTCTTGAAAGCTATTCACTTTCTCTAGTCTTTCCATAGTTGCAAGGACCTGAAAAAATAGACAATATCTTTATTATCATGTGTAGACGTGAAATAGATTGAGGTTGTCAACGCTAAATAGAGAGAAGGAAAAACGGAAACTCTAAATTCTAGGGGAAAGCAGAGATGGAGTCAGACAACAGGACATAGAAAGAGGGGTCCAGGTAGAAAGAGTCAAAGGTTAGAATCTTTTAGAAAATGATTTGTTTTTAGGATGAGGAGACGTGGGCTTACCTGAAAATCAAAAGGAAAAAGAGTAAAAGAAATGACTAAATATATAAGAGAAGATTGTGTAGCTAAGTCTGAAGGAGATAGGAATGAACAAGTCAAGGTGATCAAATCTTCAGAGAAGTAGAAAGGGGTTGAGGATAAAAGAAGATACACAGAAGCTTTAAGGTCCAGTGAGCCAGAATCAGGGAACTCCATTAGTCTCAGAAAAGTGGGAGGAAGTTCATCTGTAGAGTAAGAATTTATGAGCAGGAAAACAATTTAGCTCAGTCAGGAACTGGCAAGAAGCTCTGGGCAGCCAGTGGTGAACAGAAAGTGCGAACCTGTAGCAGAGCCAACAGGCAATGCGCTGTGTCTTCTTGACATTAGAAATAAAGTAAACAGAAGCGAAACACATTTTCAAATACTTTTCTCTAAAATAACAGTACTGGATTAGGTTTTTGTCAGCACAAGATAGGTAAAGAAAACACAGATATCCTGTGTTTACTTATTTTTAATGAGGATATGATGGATGTTGGCATGCTAATCTGCCCTGGCAGCAAGGGAAATGTGGGCGACGAGCACAGATAAGGCAGATCGCCTTTACCTCACAGGACCTCCATCTTTCAAAGAGGAAGGGATTTTCCTGTCCTTTAGCACTGCCCTATCTACCTCTCCCATTTCTTTTTCTCTTTACACATACACTTTTTGATTTACTCATCAGGTATTTCTGTCCTCAAACCCTGCTGGACCAGTCCTTCCCAGGCTGAGTGTCTCCTCTTTACCTAGGAAGTAACTCAGGGGAAGAAATGAATGCACACATCCTGGCTTCCCAGGACCATCATCTGAGAAGCTGTAAGAGTTCTACAGTGGCATTTAAATTTATACTATAAGTTGTGTGATTATTCAGCAAAGTGTAGGGACTGTGCATATGGAAATTTTGTAGTATGGGTAACTGTGGTTGATAGAATTTTTTTCACAAGCTTACAGTTACTTTCTGATTTGGGGAACAAAGGGTACTAAGAAGTTCAGCATTTTTATCAACTAGACTTCTTCTAAAAACATTCTCATGGCATTCAGCTTTACTTCCATAATTTATACACATGGAGAGCTTTTACCAATTCACCTCTACAAATAGATAATGGTTTTCTGAGAAGAAATATTACTTGCATTCAAAAGGTTTGGCCCATCATTTAGAAATTACAGATATGGAAGAAACACCATGTTTAAACTATAGACAATTCGAATTATATAAACAATTAAAATAGACAAGCATTACCAAATTACCTGTCATTAACCTAAAAAAAAAACTGCTTGGGCAACCCTGAAAGTATAGAAACACCTGAAAAGCAATACCTTATTTCTTGATGTGATTATCTGCTTAATGACTACCCGGTCTGCCAGCAACAACACTTTTGTTACTGAAGAAAGAAGCAATCTTGCAGCCTTTATAACGCCTGTTTTGTCTGTAAAAATTGTGATCTGGCCATCCGTTTCTGGATGATTCAAGCTGCTTACATCTGTAAGGGCTGCAATTGTTTCTCCTAATAAGAAAGGCAAAGGGAGAAAGTCAAATTGGGAACAAGACACATTTAAACTTAAATCCTGACTTTTCTCTGATCTTGCAAGTAAAATGCTACATGAGTGGAAATGATTCAGAAGTCTCATGTCAGGAACAAGAAATTGCTTTTCCATGAGGAATACAAGTATTATCATAGAGGATCTTGCATGACAAAATAATCATACATTCTTAAGACTCATGATGAACATTTGTCTTCATTGAGTCTAAAAAATGTTACAGGGCCTCTCTGGTGCCCTAGAGGTTAAGTCTCAGCACTATCACCCCTATGGCCTAAGTTCAATTCCTACCCAGAGAGCTAACAACCTACATGGCATAGCAGACCTCTCCTGTCTTGCCTGCTCTCCCCTCAGCAGTGTATTTCAGTAAATCCACATATTTTGTTCCCCACTCTGCCTCTGGTGAATCCTCTCACCCCCCACACCTCTGGCCTACACCCCAGTTCTTTTACACCAGAAAAAAAAAAAAGAGTTATAGCTTCTGTCTCCAATGGTATAGCAAACTACATTGTCGTAAGATTCCTGCTCTATAAGACAGTCAGAGAAATCCCTAGAGCCAATAACCAAAGACTCTAAAAGCAGAATAATACATAGGTTATAAGGATTGGGCTTCGATGTATTGTGGGTGATGGGTGGGCAAAGAAGGGAGGTGGAAGGTCAGTGCCTGCTTTAGAAGAGAAGAGAAGAGAGAAGACAAGGCTTTAGGCCCCAATGGGAGGCATACTCAATGAATAGGGGGTCTAGAACAATCACATGTAGGGAAAGAGAGAAAATAAGCAAGTTCATCTGTGGTTCAGCCTGAGCTCTGGGTGGGCAAATAAAACAAAGGAAGTCTCCCTCTTAAGAATTCAAACCACAGGCCAACCCTCACTCAGACCTACTATTTGAATTTACACTTTTTATGATCCCCAGCATAAACTGTTCTAGAAATGAACTTCCAACCTTCTAGAGAAATACTCTTCTTCATCATTGCTACCAAAACTTTTGGTATCTGTAGAAGCGATTATTCATTGATAAAACAATATAAATATTTGTTCTCCTCAAAAGTGAAACCAACCTGTATTTTTTTTCCAAACCTTACTGTTCAACGTAACAAGAGCTTAGAAAGCTAAGATAGAGAGCTAAGATAATTTTTTAGGAGCTAAATAAATCTGTGTATATAATGGATTGATTTTCTCACAGAAGCATAATGTCACTACTACTATATATACACAACAATATACCAGGCCACAGGTTAAGGATCTCATGTAAAAGTGTCTGAATTTTAATGGACAGATCACAGGGTTCGATATAACAAAAGTCAGAATTGAGAAAGATTAGTCAGGTAGAGCACATACAACAGACTGACTGGAAGGAAAGAGACTCAGAGCCAAGCTACAAATCCAGCAGTAATATGAATTATGGCTATGGAAGGGTCTTACTAACCAGGGCAATAAAAGAAAGATTATTCTGGAAATACTGAGATATGGTATATCATAACTTCATAATTTTATAAAGAAAACATAAAATTACTACATGGAAAGTGTAAGAAGGCAAGGAAAATTGAAAAAAAAATTGATTTCAAGGATGTAACCTTTAGTCATTTAAAGAAAATCAGAAGGACATAGGGAGGGAGATGATAAATTTAGTTTTGGATGAGAGGACGTTGAAATGACAGAAGAAAACCCAAATGATGTGACACTAAATGTGGATTGATTATGTATGATGGCAAGAGCTAACATTCCATTCGCAGACGAAGCCTGTGGTAATCAATCTCCAAGATGGCTCCCCACTATTCACCCCTAGAATCTACATCTTTGTTCCTCCCCTCCACACCATATCAGGGTTGGTGCCACACAGGTGTTGGTATGTCACTTGCGAGATTAGATTATAGATACTGAGACAGCTGTTTTGATTGCTCTTTCTGTCTGGCAGCAGCCTACTAACAAATTTTAAGTAGCTAAGAGGCAGAGTGGGAAGAAACAAAGGCCTCTGGCCAATAGCCAGCAAAGAAGTGGAGCCCCTCCAGTGACATAAGAGGGAGGGAGAACAGACCCTACAGCACAGTTAAGTCCTCAGATACCTGCAGGCCCACCCAATACCTTGATAGCAACCTCAGGAGAGACACTAAAGGAAAATCAAGCTGCTAAACTGCTCCCTGATTCCTAATCCTCAGACTGTGTGTCTTTAATGTTTGACTTTTTTTTTTTTAAGTTGCTACATTTGGGTTAATTTGTTACAGTGATAGGTAACTAAAGTTTATATAGCAAAATATACAGAGAAAAAAGGAGTTTTAAATCAAACCTAATGCACGCAGAAAAGGGCAGAAGGAAAAATAACAGTTTACATTCTATCAGCAATAGCTAAAAGGATTAAAATGTTTCCTCTGTACTTGAGTAAAATGTCACTTCTTCCTGTAGCTCTCAATCAGCAAAGATATTACATATGAGCCAGCACAGATGGCATTATTTAACCTTGCCTTTTCTGACTAAACCTCAGGCATTTAACTCATGAATACATGGAAAGATAACATTTGGAGAGCTCCAAACATATAAAGTTGTTTAAAATGTAGACTGTTCAGATAAACAGTTCTCTGAAAAAGTCCTGAGGTGGTCTTACAGGTTCATGATCACCATTTTTAATTTGTTGGAGATAGTTAGCCAGTGTTGTATTTTAATGAAAAACCCAAAGTCAGTCAAACACAAATATTCATGGAGCTCCATAGAAAATATAAAGCTTGACAAGTAGCCAAGTAAAAGGTAAAACATGCAAGAGGGCCTCTCTGGTGGCGCAACCTAATGAAGCTCTCCGCAGCTTCTGCAGCACGAGTTCGATCCCCCAGCCAGCCAGGGAGCAACCCACATGGTGCAGCAGACCTCTTCTGACTCAGCCGCTGCTATCCTCAGCAGTGTATTTCAGTCAGTCTGCCTGTTCCGTTCCCCACTCTGTCTCTGGTGAATCCTCTCATCCCCTACACCTCTGTCCTGTACCCCAGTTCTTGTATGCATAAATAAATAAATCTTTTAAAAAAAAAAAAGTAAAACATGCAAGAGTCCAACACAGGGAATGAAAAGTAAAATAGAACAATTATGACAACTAATATTTATATTGAGCAACTTTTTGCATGCCAAATGCATTTCATCACAATACCCGTAAGACATTAACACTGTCCTTACTTTAGCGATGAGAAAACTGAGGTTTGAAAAACATTGAAAAGTTTGCCAGAACATCACACTGTTAGCAAGTGGAATTGGAATTGAAATCAACATCGTCTGACTTCAAAGCCCTATCAAAGTTCCCTATCACTACTTTATATTATTTCCCTCAAAAGAATGCTAAATTGTCCAGAGGAAAAAGATATTATTAAGGGTTGAGTGGGTTAGAAACATTTCAGGAATGATTTGAATTCAGTCAAATTTGCATATATTAAGAGAAAATGGCGCTTTTGTTTACTGCAACCTCTCATTCACTCTCTTTCTTGAAGAGGAGGTTCTCAAGAAGGGAAAGGCACTTCAGAAAAGAAGAGGCTGCATGTGAGCCCAGGATATCATAGGGCTTCCATAGTCTTCCTGGGGCTGTCTCAGCCGACCACACCAGCAGAGAGCTCCAGTCTATTTGAATGGGGTCACACCCTCTTTCCTTACACACCACACTGCCAATAAGGTGAGGGGCACTCTAATGCCCTTTCGTTACCAAGCCCCTACTCCTGCTTTAGTGAAGGGTTGCTCTAGGAAGGAGTAATATGAAGAATATCTCCACATCTCCAGTGAATTGTCCTTTGCATTATGTAACGTTCGTTGTATAAGCACCCACACAGTAATTTAGTGCCAGGAAAAAAGTGGCTCTACTCTTGAAAAGCTGGTTTGTTTCCTTCCAACAATGAGAATTATATAACCCTTTCTTTCCCACATTTTTGTCTCACCTTCCAGGAAATCCAAAGATAAATTTCATGCTTAGCTAGAGTGACAAAGTTGGCCAAAGTTTTGTATATTTATTTTCATCTCCCATTTTAATGAAGTTATTGCACATATACCTTTTACTTAAAAAAAGCTGTTGCAAATATTTTTAAAATGTATTAAAATAAGGCCTCCCTGGTTGCCTAGGAGTTAAGTCTCAGTGCTACCACCACCACAGCCTGAGTTCAATCCCTGGCCAAGGAGCTAAGCCACATGGCGCAGCTGCCCCCCTCAGCAATGTATTTCCGTAGATCCATCTGTTCTGTTTTCCACCTGTCTCTGGTGAATCCTTTCATCCCCCCACACACCTCTGGCCTGCACCCCAGTTCTATGCAAAAATAAATAGAATCTTTAAAAATAAATAGAATGTAGGGCCTCCCCAGTGGCGCAGCAGTTGAGCGCTGGGTTGGGAAGCTGCCCGCAGCTTCTGCAGCGCCGGTTCGATCCCCAGCTGCTCCCCAGCCACGGGAGGAGGGTCCCACATGGCGCGCAGACCTCTCCTGCCGCCTGCTGCTCCCCTCAGCAGTGTACTTCGGTCCTTCTGCTTGCTCTGCTCCCTGCTCTGGCTCTGATGAATTTGCTCACCCTCCCGCGCTTCTGACTATACCCAGTGCTTGCATAAATAAATAAATAAATAAATAAATAAATAAATAAATAAATAAATAGATCTTTAAAAAAAGTAAATAAATAGAATGTAAGAAAATATAGCTTATGAAAATAAGGCCATCCCCTTACCCACATAAAATCTCTATCCTAGTGAGCAGCTAGAAAACCAAGAGTCAACCCAGAATCCTCCCTTTTGTTTAATCAGTAACCAAGTGCTATCCACTTAACCATCTTAATGAGTATTTTGTGTACCTTCCTGCTCTTTAGATTCCTATGACACTGCCTTGGTTTAGCCTGGTTTATTGTAAAAAGCTTCCAAAATAATTTCCCTGCTTTTAGTCTCAACTCTCAATCAAATTTCTTTCATTCAATTCCTCCAGAATTAAATAGATTTCTTTTTTTTTTCCTAGAATAGATTTCTAACACAAAACTATATGTTTTTCATCTGGCTCAAAACTCCTCATCTGTTATCTATAGCATAACGCCTGAGGCTTTTCATACAACACAAAGAATATGATGTGACTGAACCCTTTGTAGTTACTTGGTCATATCTCTCTCACTCCCTTCTCTTTGTGATGACCCTCCAAATACACCTGGCTCCACGTCACCCATTTCAGTCAACAGCACTGCCATTTACCCAGCTGTTCATACTCCAATCCTTGGAGTTGTCCATGACTCTTCTTTCAGACATATCCTACATCCAAACTACCAGCAAATCCTACCAGTACTGACTTGATATTATATGCAAATACAATCAGCTTTCACCACCCCAAATGCTATCACCTAATCCAAGTCACCATCATCTATCATCTGGACAACCTCCTACATAGTCTCTGATTTTCCCTTATACCTCCTAAGACTGATACACTACATAAAAGCCATCAGTCATCCTTTTGAATGATTAATAAGATTCTGTCACCACTTACACAAAACCTCCCCCTTGTTTCCCCATACACTCAGAACAACAGTCCAAAGTTCCTATCTTTTCCCAAAAGACCGTCCCCAGTTTTGCTCTTTTTACCAGAAATGCCCTTCCCCCAGCTATTTGTATAGCTGGGCCCTCACTGCATTGCAGACTCTGCCCCAGTGTTCCTTCCTTAGAGGAACTTCCTGAATCTCCATCTCAGCAATTTCTTAACTAGCAGTTGTTTTGACTCCGCAAACAACATTTCACAATGTTTGGAGACATTTTTGTTTACCACAATGGGGGAAGAGGAGATCTAGAGGCACTTAATAAGTAGAAGCTACAGATTCTATGAAACTCTCTACAATGCACAAGAAAGCCCCCCAACTCCAACAAAGACTTATTAACAAAGAATTATTCAGCCCAAAAGGTCAATAGCACAAAACCTGATAAACTCTGTCCTCCCTAAAATACACTGTCATTGGTCTACTAATACTTATTCTGATATTATTTTCTTAAGGATAACTACCACTACCTGACATTATTTACTCATTTATTCATACATTCATTCATGGCTTTGCTCACTAAAGGGGGGTTATGTCTCCCTCACTAGAATGCAAGTTCCATGAGGGCAGACTGTTGACTGATTTGTACATTCAATGTTTGTATGCACTAAAAGAATGCCTGACACATAGCCAGCACTTGGTAAATATTTATTGAGAGAATAAATGGAAAAGTGATACTTCAACAAAGTTGAAATATTTATATGCATCAAACATGCCAGGTTCACTCAGGTTTCTGTGCCATCACCTACAGAGAACCGCGGGACACTGTGAAGTTTCAAGTCACTGTCATTTGTCTGCAGTAGCATGCAGGAACATGCTAATTTTCATTCCCACTTCTGGCATGGTGGCAAGTAAACTCTATGCTCCTCAATGGTAGAGTCCAGGGACTCACACTCCTCTGTATCGCCCACATTTTAATGACTTGCTGGCAGTGCTGGTAGTCTACTACCTTGCCTAGTGAAAGAGTTCAATGTTTCAGATTTAGGACTTGACCCAAGAAAAGTTCAATAATACAAGAAGCTAGTCCATGTCCTTAATATCCGAAGCAACTAGAATCACAAGACTAAAAGCATAGTATACATCTTGACTCAAAATAAAACAGTCATTTGTCATCATATCCAAAGCAATACAATTAACATAAAGAGGTTTCAATATACACATACCTGCTTGTTTAGCTTCAATACAGGCAATATTTATTTCTTCTTTCAAATCCCGGTTTTCATTGGCTATAGCTTCCCCTACTTTAACAAATCTTCCAACTGCCAGGTTGACAGCTTGTCCTACACGCTGAATTGCTTGTAGAGTTTTGTCAGACTTTTTGGTATTATCTTTATGATTGATAAGTGTGGTGATCTAAAAATAAAAATAAAAGAAACTTGCTTAAATTTGATCTCAACAGCTTTTTAAAAAAAGATTTATTTATTTATGCATACAAGAACTGGGGTGTAGGCCAGAGGTACAGGGGGTGAGAGGATTCACCAGAGACAGATTGGGGAGCAGAACAGGCAGATCTACTGAAATACACTGCTGAGGGGAGCAGTGGTGAGACAGGAGAGGTCTGCTGTGCCATGTGGGTCAGCTCCCAGGCTGGGTGTAGAACTCATGCTGCAGTGACTGGTGATAGCTTAATAGCACTGAGACTTAACCCCTGCACCACCACAGAAGCTCTCTAGAAATAATTGTTTTAAAAAGAAAAGGGGAGGGGAGGGCCTCCCTGGTGGCACAGCGGGTTGAACAACACGTTGTGAAGCTGTCCGCAGCCTCTGCAGCGTGGGTTCAGTTCCCAGCCGGCCAGGGAGAGACCCACATGGCGCGGCAGACCTCTCCTGCCTCACCCATTGCTCCCCTTAGCAGTGCCTTCAGTCATCTACCTGTTCTGCTCCCCGCTGTCTCTGGTGAATTCTCTCACCCTCCCAAGCCTCTGGCCTGTACCCCAGCTCTTGTATAAATAAATAAATCTTTTTAAAAAAAAGAAAAAGAAAAGTGGGGGGAAGGAAAGTGGGGAAGCAGTTCCCTGAAGAACGAGACTGTCCTATTTTAGAAGTGAGGTAAGGTCAGAAATAGTTAATAACAGTGGGCTAGAAGGCAAGTGTAACACCAATATCCAACAGATGGGTAAGGGCCAGCTACATAGGGCTGTGAATTGGAGTAGTTTGTGTTCTATTGTAAGTGTGTGAGGAAAACTTTTTAAGCAGAAAATGGCATATTCTCTGTAGTAGTTTTTGAATATGTCTACAAAATAAATCTCTTAATAGTTCTCTTTTCTAGCAGTGGATCTTCCCTTCTCTAACATTAAATGTGGGCTGAACTTACTTCTAATGAGCAGAATAAAGTGGAACCAAAGGTATGCTTCAAAGCACTTTGTAACTTCTGTCTTTCTCTCTGGGATCACTCACTGTGGGAGAAAACCAGCTACTGCATTATAGGGGACATCAAGCATTTCTATAGAGAACCCCACATGGTAAAAACTGAGGCCTCCTGCCAGTGGCAAGTGAGTAAACTTGGGAACATATTATCCAGTCCTAGTCAAGTCTTATGATTATTGTGGGTTCAGTCAGTATCTGGACGTCAATCTCGTGATACTACTTTGTTGAGAAATTTTGCAGTTTTTCATGAGGAATAATGGCTTATGGTTTTCCTTTTATGGCCCCCACCCTCACCCCAGACCAAGGACTACAAAGTGTTACAGGGCTACCCCAATGTGAAATGAGACTACAAATTCCATAATGTCATCACCACTGAAGGAGGATTGTTGGGGACTGAGGGTGGAGTTAAGCAACCAGGTTTTGTATATTACCAGACAGGTGGGCCTTGGGGGGTCCTTGGTTTTGTGCTGGCTTTCAGCTTATTATTGGGGTTCCAGTTCAGTGGAATTGGCAGGACGCATTCACCAATTTATTTCTCTCTCTCTTTCTCCCTAAATTATTCATTTTTTCATTTCTCCTTTTTTGTAAATAAACCCTTTATTAACCTTTTTGTGTATGCCTGCGGTTGAGTCTCATTGTAAGTCTCATTATAAGTCCCTCTTGTGCGCGTAGGTGAGTCAGTCACCCATTTCACAGTGGGGTAGCCCTCTAACATTTTATTGTACACTAAGTCCTAATATCATTGATAGGTTCCTGGGAAGTGTGACTTGAAGTGAAATGACATATAACAAAAGCAAATCCTTGAATAACATTATTTCATTGATCTTGACCCATGATTTTTCTTTCCTCATCAAAGGTATAACAAGGGATGTTTTCTGAGGGCCTGCCATAGTGTCCTCACCCAGCTTTGGTATCAGGATAATGCTGGTCAAGGTTATACTTTCAAATACTACCCATAATGCCTCACAAAATCCCAATAAAATATCATGCTAAAAATACTAATATACTAGTAGTACTAATATCCTCATTTTGCAAATGAGGAAACTTGACATCACACACAGTAAAGAAAAAGGACAATGAGGAAGTCAGTGAGTTAAGATCTAACTCCAGATATTCTGACTCCAGAGCTTACCTACAAAACCACTTAGTCATTCTGCCTTCTTGGCCTCTGCTGGAAGATTACATGAAAAATTCAAATAGTGTGTTGACCACAGCACTCAGCTTATAGTAAGCATTCAGTTAAGGTTATACTTATCTCTCTCAGTTAATCCTTAGATATTACTAGAGGTAAGAAAACTGGGACTGAATAAAATTAAGTACATGGCTCACACAGCTAGAAAGTGGCCAAGTTTATCTGACACCAAAATCTTGCTAGAACTCTTCCCTTTAATGAAGATTTTCAATCTTTCTGATTTTTTGGGAGGGGAGGAGAATACTTCATCAAAATAAAATATTACCTAAAAGCTCATTTGGTAATCAAGTCAAAGAAGAATTGCTATCGATGAATTTTGAGGATGACTAAGGTTTGTGAGGTCTGGAGGCAAGGAAACAAATATGAATCTTATTCAAACCAGCTTAATCCTTCTCCATACTTCACAGACCCTGGGAGTTCTGAGCACCACCTGGAGAGCAGAGCCCTTGACTACCATCTACGACAAAAGGAGGACCTTGAAAGGCACTGGATTTGAAACGGAGTTTAAGTTGTATTTACTTGTATTTTACTTATACACAGTTTTAAATTTTCAGTTAAAAAGCAAAGATCGCAGTTTAGGCTAAAGTACCAACTATTGTTCCCTTCTGAAACACACATTTTGCTTTCCTACAAGCATTCTCCCTGGTACATAATTAGGGATAATTAGGCGTGGCTGTCTTCCTCTTACTCAAAGCAATTTGGAAGATGTTCAATCCAAATACAGCTATGTCTTTTAAACTGATATTTAGAGTAACCAAGTCAATTTTAAAATTCCATATTAAAAGATCTACTTATGTCCTATAATTATTTTTGAGCTTTTTAAAGGGAAGGCTCAAAAATTATAAATGCTGATTGTTAAAAAAATGATGGGAAATTTTTTAAAAGCCTAAATAAATATAACCCATAATGCCACTATACTGTACATATTTTGGCACAATTCTTTTCAGTATTATTTTAGCAGTATATATACTCAAACACACAGCTTTACAAAATTGAGATTAATTTTCAATTTCCTTATCAAAAAAAAGACTAGTTAATAGTTAACATTTAACCTTAAGCACAACCGTAGCATCCTACCCACCTATCCATATTTTACATGTATTAATTAATTTAATGCTTACATTTACATGAGGTTGATGCAATTATTACCTTCATTTTACAGATAAAGAACCTGAAATTTGAAGAGGTGAGAATTTGCCCAAAGTCACAAAACCAGTAAGCTGTGTATCCTCTTAATCAGTATGCTACCTTTTCCTCAGATAATGCGCCAAATAAATTTTTAGCAAAAATAAATTGGAAATGACACCCTGGAGTTGCCCTGACACCAGTCTGGAAAATGCCTGAATGAAGGGAAAAAGTGGACAGAGAAGGCATCCATTCCATGGGAAAGAAAGAGGATCTGCTACATAGGACTCCACTGTGGAATAAAAGAATAAGAATGAGGACTTACCTGATAAGGTCTAACAAAGGGTGTCAAAAAGTAACAATCTCTAGTAAATTGTGTCCTAACAATTAAGAACATGAATTCTGATAGGCTTGAGTTCTGGCTCTGCCATGTGACTTTGTGGCAAGTTATCTCACCTTTCTGTGACTCAGTGTTCTCATCTGTAAAAACAGGGACAATAACAGAACTCATCTTGCCAGGAGACAAGAAATCAAGTGAAGACCAGGAAGGGGAGAAAATGGTAGTGACCTAGATAAAAGAACAAAGCCTTAATTCCCTGGGACCTGAAGAATAAAGGAACCAACCCAGGACAGAGATGGTCTCTGGAATTTATCAGTAAGTCCTCCAAAACATTAGATATAAAAAACTGCCAATCAGAGCCTCCCTGGTGGCACAAGGGGTTAAGACACAGCATTGTGAAGCTATCCATAGCCACTGCAGTATGAATTCAATCCCCTGCTGGCCAGGGAGCTACCCACATAGTGCGGCAGACCTCTCCTGACTCGGCCGCTGCTCCCATCAGCAGTGTATTTCAGTCAATCCACCTGTTCTGTTCTCCGCTCTGCCTCTGGCGAATCCTCTCAAGCCCCCCCCGCCCCCCACACACACACCTCTGCCTATACCCCAGTTCTTGTATGCATAAATAAATCATCTTTTTAAAAAAATTGCTAATCAGCTACAGAAACCAATATGGAAGAAAACACATCAAATCAAGAGAGGTGCTTTAAAATAGGCACTTACTTTTTTTTTAAGATTTATTTATTTATTTATACAAGAACCAGGGTACAGGTCAGATTCGCGGGAGGGTAAGAGGATTCACCAGGGACAGAGCAGGGAACAGAACAGGCAGACTGATGAAATACACGGCTGAGGGGAGCTGCGGGAGCAACAAGAGAGGTCTGCCGCACCATGTGGGACCCTCGTCGGCGGGCCGGGATCGAACCAACGCTGCAGAGGCTGCGGACAGCTTCACAGTGTGGTGCTCAACCACCTGCGCCACCAGGGGAGGCCCTAAAATAGGCACTTACTTAATATACCATTTTATTGTTTGAATTATGTGCTTTACCTTTGCAATGAAAAACACACATATAACAAAATACACATCAGTAAAAGAAGACCCCAAATGCCTTCTATTTATCTCCAAATTAGAGAGACAAAGATCCTAGAAAGCTTCTAGGACAACACACAGAGGTATGGGAAGAGGAGTTGAGCTACCTTAGAACTGTAAAGGGTCTGTACAATAGTGAGTGAAATACATCTATCACAGACAGGAAAAGATTAGTGGGTGTTAGAATAAATTCCACACTAGGGTGGAGCCATGTGGCAGATATCTCTCTTCCCTTCCTTGAAT